TTTAGCGCCTTCCTATACAGAGTAGGTATATATATCAATATTAGGGGCCGCTAGGATTCGGTGACTTCGCCGCTTTTTCTCCACCAGGAGCGCACTGGCCGTCGTCTGTACGATTGTAGCGGTGCTGGTTGGGACAGCGGCGGTGGACACCGGAGTGGGGAGAATATTAGGGTTAGAAGGTAATGTTTCGGCTTTCCCACTGCTTCCGGTGGTTTTATCCTGAGGGTTCTCGCTGCTTCTTGCGACATTGCTCAATTGGCCGCGTAACCTGACAACCTCGCTTTCCAGTCCGTTGACCCTATCTTCAAGCGCTCGCATATATCCCCATATCCTGTCCGTTGAGGGTAAATTTGGATTAGGACTAGGAATCGATAACTGCCGTGTGGGTTGATCGCTTGATCCACGTTGATGCGGCGAATGGGTGAAATATGACGCCCCTGATATGTTAGCTAGCGAACCATTAGGGTTGAAGCCTTCACTAGACGGCGCACTTGTGTAGCTGCTATTCCCACTACCGGTACCCGAGCTCGGGGCGGTATTGCTGTCGATGCTAGATGATGGGGCTGAAGGATGATGTGGGTGCTGAAGAGGCGGGTGGGAGCCAGCACGACTGGGGAGGTGAGGCCCCTGTTGCTGCTGCTGCTGTTGAGAATGAAGGGTGAAGCGGGAGTCGGAAGGGTTGAGGCCTAGGGGAGGTGGAAGGTGTGGAGTGCCTGCTTGAGAGCCCGGATGGCTTAGACTTCCCCTGGGTGATGAAACAGAAGAAAAGGGTATACCTAATCCTGTTGAGCCATTGCGCATCTGAGATTGATATTGGGGCATGTTGGACGGGTGTGTCTGGCGGAAAGTGTTTTCGGGGCCGTGGCCAAGTTGTCGTGAAGCGGCGCCGTTTGGAGAGAGAGGCTTGGGTGATTCGGTCATGCCTGATTGTGCAAACATAGAGGGAGAGGAAGGGCCAGGCGGGAACGAAAGGTGTGAGGGGGACTGAGAGATGGAAGAGGTGGACGAATTCGACCGTTGGTGATTGCTGGTTGGAGGGAAAAGGCCGCCGCTGCTGCCGGCACTGGGGTTCTGTTGTGATCGAGAAACACCAAGAGGCGGATAGGTGTTTGACTGGTGGGATTGTTGGAAGGATACGTGACGAGCGGAACCGGGCTGGGACTGGTCTGAACCACCGTCTTTCTTGATAGAGGGAAGGTTCAAGCGCATCTCCTCCTCTTCATCCATTCGGTCTGGCTCTGTGTACATGAGTCCCTCCATTGCATCCTCTGCAACTGGGCCAGTCCCGGCATTGTTGTCGCCAAATTCGTCTTCACCAGCGAAGCTGCTCATGCTGGACCGTCTACCAGCACAGCCGCCAGGCCCTTTGTTATGCCGAGCCAAAGCATCTCCACGGGCGAACCGACGACCGCATTTGAGGCATATATGTGGTCTCTCGCCGGTATGTAGTTTTGTGTGTCGTTTTAGGTCGTGTAGTCGTCTGAACCGGGACTGGCATGTTTGGCAAACGTATGGCTTCTCTTGACTGTGGGTTAGGAGGTGGCTTTTTAGATTGTGGTGTCGAGTGAATTCGGTAGCGCAATATGGACATCGATGCTTCTTCGAAGACGGAGAACGGGCGCCGGATTTGTTCAGTCCTGAGTGTGGGAGACTCATTCCGCGCCTGGGGTCATTCAGGCTGCCAGCAGTGGGCATGGGAACCGGATATGAGAAAGACTTGTTGCCGCCTTCTTCCATCTCGTCTCGTTCTTGGGGTTTGTCCTCTAGAGGATTTGGTTCTTCTATCGGCCCGGGACTGGCAACGGTGGAGCTATTCATGAGAGTGGGCGGATTCTCTCCATTGCCAAAGTTATCCGGGACGCTAGACGGACTCCTCCGGGAGTGTGGTTCCTGTAATATAGAGGCAGGTTTCGAGGCCCGTCTGCTGCGGACAGGAGTAGATTCACGGCCTTCGTCCACAACCGTTATTTCCGGAGTCCTTCTGGCGGACAGAGGATTGCTGCTCTGGCGCTGATTCTGCTCCTCCTCTGCGCGTTTACCGTCAGACGTCATTGTGGTGGGCGGGGAGGGTCGTTTATTCCTTTCAGCTAAGGGTGTGGATGTGACGTTGAGTCCCGCGTTCGCGATGGACGAAAGGTTGCGCTCGTCTTTGAGCTCGTCGGGTTTCAAAAACAACGGTATCGAACTTGGAGTTGGAGTCGCAGAGCTCGAGGCACGACCACTCACAGACCTGGATGCCGGGCTTGGAGGGCAGGCCGGTTCAGGAGCCTGTGTAAGGGATTCAGCCATGCGAAGACTGCTGGTGCGCGGCCAGCTCTGGGTGTTTGTTGTTGGTCACACCACCCAACTGCTGTAGGAGATACAGATGGGGAAGGCCCAGATATTCCAACTGTGACGGTTTGTTAGCCGGTTGGTAGCGTCCAGGCGAGTTTTGCGAGAGAGAAACAGTGTAGGTAAAAAAAAAAAAAAATACAAAAAAAAAAAAGGTAGAGGCGAAAAAGGAACTAAGCAAAAAACGAACTCCTGGAGAGAACTTTTAGGGCATAGAGAGAGGGCGGAAAGCAAACGAGAGACACTGGTCGGTTGGAAATGATCACGTTTTACGGTCTGCAGTGTAGAGTTGATGGGCAGCACGCGAGAGCCATGAAGCAACGGTAGCAAATGATACAAGAGGGAAACGCTGGAACGGACGGGCTTGCAAGCGCGAAGAAAGCGGCTGGCGAGGAGGGCGAAGCAAGGAGGAAGGGTGACACCTACGGTCTTGGTGGAGGTGGACCTGGATGTATCGGCGTTGGAGGAGCGAGTTGTGGCGCAAGCTGACGGGCTAAGTTCTCGTGAGAAATGGAACTGGGAGTGCCAGCCTCGGGTCTGATATGGGGATCGGCGGTAACTCGAGAAAGCCACTAGCAAGCCAGCAGAGGGAGCAGCTATGGATTGCCGGAGGGACGAGGGACGTTGCTGGCAGGTGTAATGTGCGATTCGAGACGAGACGGTCGTCGTCCTGCTCCAGAGCGAAGAGACGGCCCTCCTTGTTCAAGTTATATCCGTTATTGTAGCACCTTAATAATAGGAGTTTGATTCGTGACGGTTTAACCGTTCGCAGTTAGGCGACCAGGGTTTGTTGTATGAATACCGTAGGCCCTAGTAAAATAATGCACTGGCCTAGATGCACTCCGTATGTATGTATGTATGTGTGTGTGTGTATGTTATGCCCCGGGCTCACGACACCGTGCAAAATACCAGCGGCAAGAACGAGAATGGCAACGATGAGCGGCAAATGAGACACGGTATTTAGCTGTCGATAACTCCTTTTTCGATGGCAAATGCAGTCAGGAATCGTCGTGAGGCGGAGAGCCGGGTACGACGCCACGCTGATTAACACGCCTTCACGGGGCTCTGGGTCGAGTTGACAGGTGATATATATATATATATATAGACGTATAGACGTATAGATACAAGTTCACGGCTGGAGGAGCCGCGTCGGGAGAACTTGCAGAGTTGGCCTGGCTAAGGCGCAGTTATGGTTATGGCTGAAGCAGAAGAAGCAGAAGAAGGTGAAGTTGAGCTTTTCTGACGTTGTTGAAGTCGAATTTGGTCGCTCGAGGCTGACTTTTTTTGCGTATTTTTGCGTATTTCTGGTATTTTTGGTGCTGCGTGGAAGCGTATTAGAGACGAGGCGTGACCGTACGGTATCGTCGTTACCGCTATCAAATACGAAAATACGCGGCTCGTGGCCGAGCTGCGGCTCAGCTGCGCGGCCAGGGCGTCCACGGCGGCTGCTTATTGGCTTGTGTTACTCAGAGCGCCCCACAGTGTGGAGAGACCCCTGTCGCCAGAATCTGTTCCGTACTGTAAATACATAGCTGAGTCAGCATATAGTCTGCCTTGAAAAGCAAAAGCTAGGGAAACATCAAAAAACGATCAATCATACGGACTTACCAAGTTCGACTCGACTCGGGTCGATTGCTGTGCTTTGATATCCGCCACGACGACTCATGCAAGCGTGGAGACGGCTTGCATCCTGCATCCAGGCACGGCCGATCAAGCTCGAGACATGTCTTTAGGCCGGAAAAGTCGCCACGGATGAAATGTGCCAAGTTTCACGCTTCATGCAGGCCAGCGGTTGGGAGAAGAGCCTGGTTTCTAGAAGGCCTCCGTCCTTGCCAGCGCGAAGCTAATCATATCCTATTTTATTTCGCTATCCCCGACCGGGGCTGCGTTTTATCCTGGCTTGCTAGTTTAATAGCTTGTCAAGGCGCTGTTTCATCGGCTGTGCTGGTGGCAGCGATAGGCATGGTTGGCTTGCTAGATACGAGCGCAAGTTGTATCAGCGACCACCGGCTTAACCGAAGACGATATGTGCCAATGCGCCCACGCTCTACCCGAAGTGTCCCTGACGCCCGCCTGCAGGACTCGACCTGCTCCTCTGGCAAAACTTGTCCGGTCTGGGGTAGGTTGGCTTGTGCATGGCTGTGATTGGTGCACCCTTCCTCCTCTGTGGCTTTGTTGGGGTCACCTTATCCCCCTGGCCTGCAAACCAAGGCAGCAGGGTAGTTATGCCACTTATTTGAGCTTACTTACCCATTCCTCCATTACTCCATGTGTATATACATAAGGAGATCAGATGTACATATTCATCAACTTATTTTGCTTTTTCTTTTCCCGCTTCTCCCTCCCTCCCTCGACTCGACCTGACGATAACTGTAGCGGGCAAGTGGAGATTGATATCATCGCGACAGGGGGTTGGGACCGTCTTTCCTTGCTGGTGCTCCATACAGGAGCGTTATTGATGCAATGACGTTATGCCAGATGCGTTCGAGATTCGAGCTTCCAACTATTGCATGTAATTGCATGAAGAGGGGTTTCTATTTGCCACCAAACCCCAACTATTAAAAAATATATGGGATCAGATGCGTACGGCAAGCTTTCAATAAGAAAAGTTACACCGGCGAGGCGGTGCTTTGGTCCTTTGAAAACAAAATATAGATATGCATGCACCCGGAACCAAAGAAGCTAACTCACTCTTTCCAATAATACCAATAATAATGCAATATAGTAATAATGATTGCATTGTTGGGCTATGTTATGGCCATAAACGTAGTTATCTGTGGGGGAAGATTTGGGGAAACAAGGAGGTTATCTTCCCACCCAACTAGTTACCAGATGAAGTGAACAAAAAGGGGTTTGAAACCAAATTGTTCAAAAAAAAGAAGCAGAAGTAAAGATTGGGGTCCATTACGCTAAAGCAGGCGCTCAAAATTAAACAATAAAGACCAGGAGCTGCATACAATGAAATATCAAAAACAAAGACTGGCGGTGGGGTGGGGGACGAAAATAAAATATATGCAGAAATAAATGTAATGAGCACAAAAATGGGTATCATTGAGAGTTCGTTTCGTCCTGTCTGTACTCAGCCCTCTGTTTTCAGGCATGACCTTTCTCCGCATTCCTCCTCTTTGCATTTTCTAATGCCTTCTTTAGCCTTTCTTGCTGCTGCTCCTCTGCGCTTAATGTATTCGTCGTGGAGCCTGCTGGTACGCCAACTCCCAAACCAGGAGGAGTGTTAGATGAGCCTATACCAGCGGGGGACGACGTCATTTGCGGCCGAGAGCTGGGGCCCGAAGGAGGCGTTGAGGAGGCGCCAGCGCCATCGCTAGAAGTAACAGCTTGCTCTACAGACTCAAGAACCTCCTCGATGTTCATAATGATAGCACGATGACTAGTTCGAATACTAGACATTCTCGACTGCAAATCATCTTCAATCTTCTTATCCTCTTTCTTTTTCTCCTCTTCGAGGCGGCGGAATATATCGGCACTGGAGTCTGCGACTTTAGCTTCGGCCACAGAGACGTCGTAGTCGGCATTGTTCAGCAACCTATCCGCGACACCAAAGCTTTCCAGCACGGACTCCGAATGCGCCGAGAAATTTCACAAACGCCAGCGCGTTTTGCAATGTTTTAACGCGCCGGTGGGGACAATACTGGGGGTCGAGCGGATAAGGTCCGTGTCAAACTTGTTAATTTTGGCCGAGATGTCATCAAGCAATCGCTGGTTCTCGCCAATTTCCACGCATGCTGGTGTCGTCGAATATGTCCATCAGCTTATTCGTTCGCTCATCTCGAGCTTTGGCAGCATCTAGGAGCGTCTTCTGCTCCAATGCGTTGAAATCCTTCTCCATTTGCTTCAGTGCCGCGGTTTCACCCAGGAAAACGTAGTAACGGCGCTCGGCCTTCTTCCTTCGCCGTTCTCGCTCTAGGACTGCAGCCACACGCTTAGCGTGTCGCAGCTCAAGTTTTTGGAAAATGTCCACAGCGTTACGCATAGCATGGGAGAGCTCAAATTTCCCTAATGCTGATGGCTTCCCTCCCGCTGGCTGCAAAAGCTCGCTAGTCTCGTTATAGAGATGTTGCAAGCGCTTGATCTCCGATGCGAGTCGCTCGTCGACGCGAGTAAACACGATCTCCACATACTTGTCGAACTCCTTTCGCTCTTCGTTCAGCTGTATTTGAGCCTCAGTCTGCTTAAATTCATCTTCTAGCACGTTGATGTCAGAGTAGCCAATCTCCTTATCATTGAAGAGTGAGTCGATGTGAGTTTCTGACTCTTCCTGGCGGGCTTGACGTTGAGCATTCACCTGTGCTTGGCGGCCAGCAGCGCTATTATCCCATGCTTCATGTGTTTTTTCGATAAAGGTGAAGTCTTGGGGGAAATGCTCGATTTCATCACCTATAATAGCGACGCGCGAGCTACTTTCTAGGCGGGGCGGTGGGCCAGGAACCAAAGCTTGTAGCTCTTCGAAAGTTATGAATGGTGAGCCTTTCTTTGGTAGAGCCGGTCTGTTTGACAGGCTAGTTCCCGGCCTGTGGCTGCGATAAGCCACACTCTTTTCCCTAATCAGGCCTAAGAATGTTTCATCATGCTCAGCCCGTGATGCTGACCGCTCTGAAGGGAATGCTGGTGGGGCTTGTAAGGACGGCTGAGCCATCACACGGCCACTTTCCACTGATGCTAGGCGCAGCGCTGAGTATCCTTGGTAAGCTGGACGAGTTGGCGCTGTGGGTTGGGATGGTTTCCGGGAGCCCTCATTGTAGCGGAATGGTGTATAGACTGCATTTGGTGGTTCAACCGTGAACGGAGGGTTGTTTGGAGTTGGTCTTACGGCAGACTCTGGAGGAACAGAAACCGACCTAGATGGATTTCCATGAGCAGAGATGCCCAAATTTGCGCTGGATATTTGATTGCCTGCGGCACCTGCTGTCGGATGTGATCGTGTTGGGTTAGAAGCAGACCGATGTAACCCATCCGAGCCAGAATTATTTCTCTTCTGGTTGGTGAGCGCTGATGCGAGCCGTGGCAGTCCACCAGGGCTATAAGACACTACATCGTCCTGCTCACTAGGAGTTGGAGGATCAGGAATGGATATCTTCGAGGGTACCTCCTGGGATGGCGCTGGTATGTCTTTCGTCGTTGAGTCTGAGGTAGGTGCAGGGGTCGGCACTGGCACTGGCGCAGGCTCCGGCTTCGCTGCAGGCTGTTGCTCTAGGAAGTTTTCCACGTTATACATGATCGCGCGTAGTTTTGACTCTTTGTGCATAAAGGCCGAGAAAAGCTTATACTTTTCCTCCTCGGACTCTGTTGCCATCTCCTTACGGAGCATTGTAACATATCGTGTCAAAGAGGATTTGTACCATGGATCGAGATCTTCATATGGGTCAGAAATGGTTACAATTGACTGTATTGGCCGAAGATCAGCCCTTGAGGCTGAGCGCATAGGGCTTTGCTGAGGAGAGGCATGAATGTGAGAGATTGGGGTAGACACTCGTGGGTAATCGAATGTTGAGACTGTGTTAGAACGTTGATGCGGCTTGGAGTCTGAGTAGCTAGATATCTGGCTACCGGATGTGACTGGCTGTGACCATGCTTCAATGACGCCATCAATAGCTTGGGAATCAACAGGTGTGCTTGACCCGATAGAGCTAACACTATTGAGGCGCCCAGATATATTGCTACTTTGATTGTAAGGTGGTCGGTTTAATGCATCGACTGGGGATATTACATGTGAGCCAGACCTCGAAGGTTGCTCAGGTGATACTTGGCCTGACGCTACACTTGCCGGTTGCTGTGAAGCTGCCTGGGAACTAGCCACTGGAATCTGGGGAGACGGGTCCGATGGTAGCTCGAATGTATTCGTTTTATTGGCGGGGGATTGAGTCCTAGCGCCGAATTCGGCTGTATCATCTATCTCCTCTCCCGTGGAGTTGAAGTGTTCCCAATCAGAAGGGCCTCCAAACCCAAGGGCTGATGCACCAGTGCTCGCTGTGGAGACCACATTAGCTGGTGCTGCTGCTGTAGTAGCAGGGGGAGGGGTGCTGGTAGCAACCGAAGCCGGTGCAGCAAGTGGAGAAATAGCAGGGGCAAGCGAAGCTGCAGGAGTCTGAGCTTCCGGCGGTTGTGTTGCAGGGGGAAGTGGCTGTTGCAAATTACCATCAGGAGGAGGACTGTGAAGATGATTCCGTGCCTCTCCTGCTGGATGTTGGAAGTAACTGTTGTTTCCCGAGTTATCGGCATTTTGGGTCGTAGAGGGTGCGGGGGGTGACACAACTTGCTGCTGTTGCTGTTGCTGTTGCGGCTGTTGCTGATGCTGCTGTGGTTCCGGAGGTGGAAATTGGTACGGTTGCTGCTGTTGCTGTTGCTGTTGCTGTTGCTGTTGCTGATGTTGATGCTGATCATGTTGATACGGTGTCTGTTGCGGCGGCGGCTGCTGTTGCTGTTGATACTGATGTTGATCATATTGATATGGTGCTTGATGTGGTTGCTGTTGCTGCTGCTGCGGCGGTTGCTGCTGGGGAGCCGGGTCATATTGGTGGGTTGGGGGATGCTGCGAATATACTGGGGCAGTTGGCCACTCAGAAGCTGGACGTTGAATCTCCGCTTGATATGCCGATGGTAACGGTGGTGGTTGTGGTGGAGCGTTTTGGTTTGCAACGTAGCTGTGATCGGCAGGCGGCGGTGGCTGCTGCCATGACTGTGGAGGAGGTGGTGGCTGAACTGGCGGATATTCAGGGGCGGTCATTCCATGATTAGGAGGATAATATGCCTGACTGGTTTGGATGGGCTGTTGCCATTGAGGCTGCTGTTGAGGCTGTTGGGGAGGGTTCTGGGAGAACTCGAAAGCGCTGGATGGACGCGGCTAATAGTTACAATATTAGCATAGCTTCTTGACTCGATATGCTCGTAAAGATCTTAATCCTACTTACCGGTAACGGAGGTGGTACGTTGTGCTGGTCATGAACACTTGGCTGATGCTGTGGGCTAACTGCTGATTAGATCGAACCCCCACCGCGAGGATCTGTTGACCCTGGCTAGTGAGGGAGTTCCCGGATAGGACATAGATTCGGATTGTACGTTGATTGAGGCTGCACATTCTGTGATTGATCACCTCCATGCCATTTGTTTGAGTTATCGCCGGCTGGCGGAAGAGGCGGAGGAGGAGGGAGAGGCGGCTGCTGCTGCCACTGAGGCTGCTGATAGTTCTGTGACCCGTACATCACTGCTCTAGATAAACCAGATATATTAGCACCGTATATTGTATATAACCACTGAATACAGCTTGGATTTGTAGAGGAAAATAAAGGTGTCTACCTGTTGTTAACACTATATGTCCGTGAATAGTTGGATCAGGTCCAGGGGTTCACACGGTATACCCAGGGTTCATTTAGTTAAACCTCCCGTCGCGGTACCGAGAACCAGGGCAACGGTCGCCTTGATCCGTAAAGAAGGGCCAGATATCTCTCCTGAAGAATAATAATAATCGTGATTTCGTTGTTGCCGTCGTCGTCGTCGTTTGCGATGTTGCTGATGCAGTTTAGCTAGAGCGGTCCCGGTCAGGCGCAAACATATGCGAAGCGCGCCTGTCTCATCACCAGATCAGGCCCGGTCACACCGTGAGACTTCACCGATTAACTGGTCCGGCCCAGCTAGCTACAGCTCCGGTATAAATCGCCTGGCCAGCAGCTGTTGGTCGCCGTCGTTGCTCCTCTGCTGCCTGGAGCGAAACCTGCGGTTGTCGAGTTGTCGTTGAGGCGGAGGAGCTTTCGTTATCCCCTTTCGGGAACTTCGTAATGCGCCGGCGCTGAGTAAGATTCTCACCGCCAGCAAAACTCCCTTGACTTAGCCATGACAACTAACTCTACCTGGTATAAAACACCACGACTCAGCCATGATCTGGAGACGAGCGGACCAACAGATATCAGAATATTGTGAGGAGGCCTCGAGCTTTACGAGAGGAGGTGTCGTTGCACCATTTACGGGCCTCATTTTAGCGACATGGCGCAGCTATCAGTCTTCTCAAGGGTCATAGCCACGGTCGAGGCATAGCCGACAGCTCTGTGATTCCATGATGTCCCACACTTCACGGAGATAGAGAGCTGGACACAGCGCTCTTTGATTGTACCAACTGGGTACTTTACCTGGAAAGAAGCCAGCTGGGTGAATGGTCCTTATGCGTCCTGAAAGAGGGCCCTTTGTGGCCTTCAAAGGCCGGCTCTACCGTGAAGAAGAAGGCATTTTGCAGAGACTATCTTTGTTTGATTTACTACTACAGCCTAGTAGCAGCAGTTTTTTGTCTACTTGTGGATATCTGGCTCTCTAGAGCTACATTTTGAGCTCCATATACCCCTGGCTATGATGGTTGTATGAATGGTCGAGATACCCATCAGTTTGAACCACGTTTCATGCAATACCCTGACCTTTCATATACACAATATGGCTTTATCCACGGAAATTTGGCTAGGGAATGGCCCTCCATTGTTGCTGAGGCTTCCATTGTCGTCCATCTAGAGGAATGGATCAAGGAGTTGCTGAACCCAGCATGGCCTGACATTTGTAAGATGAGGACTTACGACTGCTCCTTGTAGCCCTGGTCATCAGCTATCTCCCTTTATCCAATGCTGCATTGCTTCATCCAAGCCATTCGAACAATGCTCTTTGACCTTACAGGACATACAATAAACCAGGCCATTCGCTACCCTGGCAGACCTCCCATGTGTTTATCATTATCTCTACACTCTAACGGTCACTCCCAGACTCCCCCAGCATTTCCCAAACATCCAAATTACCCGGGAGGGCACTGTTACGGCCTACCGTGCGAGGTTATCGCTCCATATTACAAACCTGAGCTACTCTGATTCTGTGAAGCACCTAGAGGCCCTGATCCAAGCCCACAGGCCCAATACTTATCCAGCATGGTGGAAAGGGAGCGTATACCGGACCCTACTATGCCGTCCCCGGTAAATTGTCCGGTACCTATTGGATCGGACTATGCCGCGCCAGCTTATCCAGGCCGGCCAGATCTGTTTGACGACATCGAATGGGGACCGTTTCCTTCCGAGGAAGATATAAAAAAGGCGTATAAAGTGTGGTCGATACCGAACAGCACTCTAAAAGCATCCCACCCCTTGACCAACGTTCCGGCTGCCTGTCTAGTACGGAATGTATACGAGAGCATCTTGGCTTCTCCAAATTTACCTATTCTCCAAGAAAATTGGGCTTTCATCCCGCCCAGAGACGCCGAACGAACCGATGGTTGGACTTACAACGAGATTTTTGGCACTGAGCCAGAAGTACAAGAGGACTCACCGGATGATAGTACCTCGAGCATACTCGTACAAGGACACAACCCTCTTACCGACACAAGATACTGGACGAAAGCGAAACTCCAACCAGAACTACGTTCACGAGGAATCGATGCAAATGGCGTCGTTGCTGTCCTACGGCAGAGGCTGTACGACGACGAACGGCAGAGGTCAGAAGCCCGCGGCCTTCATAAAAGCGAGGGCGAAGATAAAGGCAGCTTTTTACCTGTCCAGCCTTTACCAGAATGGGGCCTTAAGCGAGAATCCGATCATTTTTTGGTGAAGATTACTACAAAAAGCCGGTTATCGGCTCTGGATATGTACACCTGGTCAATATCCCTTAGCCCATACAACCCTACGTTCTGGACCAGTCGTGCATACCTATATTATCAGATGGGCCATTTTGACCTAGCCATCGGGGATGCATATCGTGCTCAGCTTTTATGCGAGAAACTTGTCAATCCGTTGAACCGTCATGCTCAGCCTGGCTTCTATATTCGTATATGGGACGCAATCGAACGACATATACTGCAAACCCCTTCCAATGGACGTCAATTTTCCCCAGAAGTCATCCTATTACGGAAAGGGAATGGAGTAAACAGCTTCATTCCCTTAGTACGAAAGGCCGTCCATCATATTATTGTCCTTAGCTTGTTGGCAATGCAGTGCTGGGAGGATTACTCTGCTACCGAGCCGTACCTGACGACGAGACTTATAATGGCTGACCGTGATAAGATTGCAATGACCAAACGCCAGGGGAAATTAGCGCAATTCATCCAAAGTGCAGGAAAAGAAAAGAGACGCAATTCTCGCGAATATTTCTTCGAGCGCCATTATGGCTTCATCACATGCCGTCAGTATCCGTATGATACTTACGATGCTGCCACGGCACTGGAAAAGATTGCGGATAAATTGAACGAGGACATGATGAAAAAGTCACAGGCCATGGTCTATCGCCCTGCAAAGATCCAGGTAGACATAGATGGCTTCAACTTGTCAGTATATGCGTATGAAGACATACGCAAGGGGGCGGTTATTTATGTGGACGAGCCATCAATCAGGGGTCATCTTCAACCATTGTTTAAGCCCTTAAAACATTATTGTGAAAACTGCATGCGCCAACTTAACACAAATGGATCCCTATCGCCGTCCCCTACTGGGAAAATGGCAGTACAGGATTCAAGCTGTACTTGCTCCAGTTCCACCCATGCTCCTTTGTATTGGTGCAGCGCAGATACCCACTCATCTGAATCCACGGGTGGCCGTCGGAGGATAAGCGCCGAAACTGACGATGGCAGAAGAGGGAACCCCTCGAAGAGACAAAAGACAAGCGATGTCCGTGTCGTAAAACAGGAACTTTCGTGCCTAGATATTGCGAAATCTTTGTATCATAACCGTGCCTGTGGGAAGAATTGGAACTGGCTACACAACGCAATGCGACCGAACTATTGGAACTCTGAATTTGTACCACGGGAGCTGGGATCACTATCTCATTCAAACGAAAAGCATGGTACTATATTGAGCTTGTTGCTCCGAGAAGTGTTTGATATCACTCTTCTCCGGCGCAAGACCGATAACAAGCCGAATTTGCTGGCTCATGAGATTGACGAGCTGATGCCAACTCTCTTGTGGCCTGCCACAGGCAAGAACCTACCTTTCTCGTTTGCGGCGAATATACAGGTTCCTTTTGACATCCTGTCGTGCCTGGGAGTGAATATCTTCCGCGATCTTTCATTCGACACTTGGGTAATCCAACTAGTCCTTCGGAAGTTGTTGATGTCTGCTATCCCATGGCACGCTCTAGACGAGGGAAGGTCTGAGGACATTCCTGAATCTCAGCTGGAGATCATCAAACGTACAAGGGAAATTTCTAAGCTTACTCCACAGGAGTCCGACTTAATTATACCAACATTCCCCAACCTTTACGTCTTTCCTGCAGTCTCAGTGTTCAAACATGCGTGCCCCCCTTATCATAACGTGGATTGGAATTGGGATACGGAAATTCCCAACCGCCTTATTTTACACGCCAACAGGTTTATAAGGCACGGCGAAGAGCTAGTCATACGTTACACCAAAGCCCCCTTACCAAAAAATACAGCTGTTCGACTTTTTGGTACAATATGTAATTGTCCTGGTTGTGGCGAAGAGCATTCGAGATCTCCGGAGACACCTGATTATTTCGGGTTTGGAACCAGCGATGAGTCCCAGCCAGAAAGCTCTCCGGATCCAGAGCCGCCAGCTCCTCTCCAAGGGCCTAGTACATCTCGATGGAGGTCACCAGAACCAAATCAGGATACAACATCTGGGGACAATGACACATCACCTGAATTAAGGGGGAGAAGGAACGGTGGTAACCTAGATGGAGGCGCGGATACCGACAATCAAGAACAGGACGAACTCGAGGATTATAAGAGTAGCTCCCAGGAAGAATCAGCTCTGCAGTCAAATGTGAATACCTACCAGGGGCGCACTCCCTTTGACTACAACCAGGCTCGTGAGAGCCAGCTGAGAAATCAAACTTCTGATGATGACTATCAACTGGCAGCACAACTCGTTCTTGAAACCATACCAGACAACCCTCAGCCAGAGTCTAGAGAAGGCCAGCACAGTCAGCTACGGGAGGAATCCCATAAATCATTCAGTTCTACAGCAGCTCGGAATTCCATGCCACCCCCACCTCAAGGTTTGGATCCTAGGCCCAGCCTCCTGAACCCAAGCCACGCAGGGTCCTCACAAGCCCCATCACGCCGTCGTGGCGGGGCCACAGTGAGGCACAAGGGGGTTATCATGTCTTCTTATGAGTACAATCAACTTATCGAGAGAGAGAAGCAACAAGCTGAGCAGGGACGTAATCAACAAAAGGACAGGGCCGGAGACAATTCGTAGTAAGCATGCTAACTAGTCATTTGGTGCACGTAAACTTTATAGTGATGAGTATTTTTCTTTGGATGTTCTATCTTATTGGATTTATATGCTTCGAATAGTTATACTGTATTTCCAAGTATCTCGTATTTTCTTCCTAGGTCCACATCCATATACATAACTGAGATGTACTAAATCTAGAGTAAATAAATTGAGAGTAAATTGAGAGTTAGTTTCAGTTGTGAGCGGAGATGAACCCCAGTTTGTCTCAAATTTACCTTTAGCCAGTTTAAGGAAATGGTCGATCGACTATGTCTAGAATAGATAACCCTGAGACGACCGAGCTAGTCTTGCGGTGTGTGTCATTGTCTGCTGAAATTATCAGACGTCGCCAAACCCATAAGAGCTGGGCTGCGGTTAAGCAGTTGACTCAATGACTAATGTCGAGCGAACGGCTTGTAGACTGTGCCACAGTAGTATAATCATTTAAAAATAACATCTGGAGGATTTAGCGCGTGAGAACCACTCAGTAACTCGGACGGTGCCTCCGTGCGGCCATGCTTCATTTGTGAAACGTCACTGCCGCTATTATTATCCCACACCATCCATCTCAAAAATAATGCTTATTCGGCTGTTGGTGGGTAATTTGATCCGGTAATTTGCATGCACTCCCGGTGCCCCGCGAGTGATGCCGAGTGCGAACGCTGGGAATAAATGTGGCCGGAGGGTTGCAGGTTGACAAAAGCGCACATTGAAGCTCTAATTGGGCGCTCAGACTGGTTACTGTGGCAAATCTAAAATCTCCCTGGCTTGGTTACAGATGTGCCTGCAGTCATCCCGGTGAGGGACAAAAAGGCAGGAGTCTCCCAAGTGTTGTTTATAGCTTGGGTAGGACGCGGATCAGCCGGGATGGCCGCTTACTACGGCAAAGGAAACCCCAAACAGAGAGAGTATCCCTAGGCCAGCCTATCGGACCTGTAGATCTGATATGTCTCAGCAAGGGTATCAAAGATCACGAAACGATCAGCCGGTGCCCGTTCGAACATGTGATTCAAAACTTTCTTAAATGAGCGAGCAGCCATGTGGATGCATAGGAACAGCCTCGCAGAGAGACTCGAGCTCGAGAAGATGGCGTTACTGGGCGAAGGGTTGAAGCCAGGTGGCAGCATGGGATAGCATAGCGTGCGGCACAGCAACACAACACAGCCTCATCGCGAGGGACAGCGGCCAATTAGAGGTCAAAAGTGCACTGTGTCAGAGCATCCTAAGGCATGGTTTGCATCATTTGGCGCATCTCTGCATCGCAATCCCCGAGATTATCGGACGAGGCGCCGTCGCTACCGTCGTGTAAGTGTTGATGTTGATGTTGATGTTTTGACGTTGCGGCTCTAAAGTTTGACACGAAAGAAGGTTTGTGTTTAGTCATCGTCTTTTCTTTTTTCTTTTCTTTTCCGTATCTTCCCAACTTCAGCTTTTCTTGAAGACGACCTTGCAGCCTACGCCGTAACTGACTCCAACCCCGACTGCAGAGGAAAGGGACAGGGCGCAGTCCATACTCTGCTCGTCGTGCCTTTTCGACGCCTCGTCCTCGGCCAGCTTGCCTGTCCTCTTCTTTGGCTCCCAGTTGGTGAGGCAGCGAGTCGCGGTTCTAGAGATATGTACGCCGTCTTGCTTCGGTGCCTTCACGACTTAGATGCTCTGCCTCCTGCAAGTGATGATGGGAAATAGTATCAAAAATATGGCCATTCAAACCGCTTATACCAAGGAAATATACGCCGGGATGGTTGCTGCCTCGCGGTGGGCCCTGAAAACCCTTTGGATGTACATAGAGTGGGGGGACAAGTGCAGGAGATGCCTTTGATATCAATCAGCATACCAACTTGTAGCATCCTTGAAATGTTGCAATGTTCGAGAACATCCCCGGATTATCTGAGAATCGGATGCTTGATATGTTCCCAGCAAGAATGTTACCAGGCAGTTACTATCTTACTCCAACACGGAGGGCCCCCATCTTTGTGATTCCATTGGATGGCGACTCCATGCTACTTGCTTGCTCGTCCCTGCAATACATCGTATATCCCCCGTGAGAATTGTCCCTAGGATTGCTTTAAAATAGTCGAATATGCACGTCCTGCATTTAGACCTGCAAGCTGTGCCGTAATCCGGGACCTTTTTACCACCCTAGTCGTCTCTGCCTGGCGAGGAACCCGGAAGAAACCCGGCCATAATGCCGTTTCAACTGGCACACTAGTTATGCAAAACTCAACTATCCCAGGATTCCTACTGTTTGGTACAATGGGAGTATCTATCAAGATGGTCCTAGCTTCCCACCCGTTTGGATGATCTATTCTTCCCCTTTTTTTAACCTCCGACATATGAGAATACATGATAACCTCCTCGCGTTCCTCCCAAGCGTAAGCGCCGCTAGACTTACCCAGCAACCGGCCGTGATTTGGCCGCTGAACAGCACTCCAGATTTGTTATTCCTTGCTCGAGTGATCTCCGGCTTCACATTCGCTCAAGCTGCGGAGCTTTCATACGCCCCCCTACCACTCCGGCCTACGGCGGCCTTCGTAGATCTCGCCTTGATATATGATTCTTTCCCTAGTGGAGTTCAAGGTACAAAAGGAACACGATTATTCCAAAATAATCCGGAGGAGAAATCTCAGTTTCAGCTTCACTTCTCATCCTCCTCAGCTTCCAGCCCCTTTCAATACTCTTACTAGATCAATTAATTTGGGTCAATTACTTCTGCACCTTTTCCTCCTCTTATAGCCTGACATCCTTGACCGTCCACCGCCCCTCACATGTCGGCTCCCACTAAGGAACTCGGAAACCTATCACTTGGAAGTGACATGTCCTCTACTCGTTTAGGGTCCCAGAATCAGAGGCAAAAGCCTCCATACACCACCGAAGACTCCTCTAATAGTGAATCGGAGGAAGAGTCGTCAAGTAGTGAATCGGAGGAGGAGGAGGAGGAGGACGACGACGACGACGACTCCCCACTATCATCTGCGGTGACCTTCCCTGGTAAATCGTCCATTGTCTATGATCTTCAAATGTTATCTCGAGGCGCAAAGGCAAAAGCCCGGCATGGGCTTAGTGGAGAGTTCTCGGTTGATAAATGCAGGCCAATCTATGGCGGAGGATATGACTTCGACATCATTGACCATGGTCGCGTCTATGTTGGGGAAGGGCCGATTACTTGCTCATGCCTGGACTTCCAGGGAAGCCGCATTGCCTGTCGACATATTTACGTTAGTTGGTCCTGCTACACTCCTTATCATAGCCTGCATGCTCCTGCAACTAACATGGAAACCGTTTTCTCACAGTGGCTTGTCGATCAACTTCATCGACGGGTCCTGACAACCAAACCCTCTGGGGCGCTCAAGCTATCTCCAAACGGAGAATGTGACACGCTGGACCCCATGCTGGAACTCATTGGAGATCGCATGGAAAATATTTGCCAGAAAGTGAAATGGTCATACATCCCTACTCCAGGCACTCCTCCTGATACACAATGTAGCTCGATATCTATGTCACGCCCTGAAAAGGCCAGGGATCTTCTTTCAGCCTTCAGTGCAGATACTTTGCCGGATGAATTTCGCCCTGAGCTTGTGGAAACTATTCGACAGCCTCGTACCCCCGAGCAGTGTGTCGTACAAGGTGACTTTGAAGCGACAATGTTTCGTCTTGCTGTGCATGACGAAAATGTTTACGCCAGTCTCCGCAAGGTGATGCCTTCCGGTGCCCGTGCTGCCATATTTTTTGACAAAGTCCAACGACGGGTACGCTCACTACTTACTGATTTCAATCGGTACCGGCTCAAAGGAACACCAAGGCAGTCGGACCATACGGCCCTGGAGGTCGACATCGTTGCCGACGAAATGCGAGATCACCTACGATTAATCCAGAAAAATATAATTTCCCGGAGTCCCCATGGCTTCAAAGGCGCAGCGGAGACTCTTCTCTACCTCCTCCGTGCAGTCTGCCAGTTCAACTTTGATGCCTTCGAAGCAAGCACATGGGAGCGTCCTTCTGAAGCAGATGAAACGGCTGAGGACCGAAACTTATACCTCCAACTTATCTATAATCCGCTCGATGGCGATGATTTCTTTGTTCTCTCATGCCTGGAGCAGTTACCAGAGGACGTCCTGCAAAATATCACCCCCCAACTGGATAATATATTCAGCGACATGCAAGTGAACGCCGCACCGGTGCCTTATCTTAGAAAACTTCATAGTATAATAGCTGGTGACCTTCCAGCAAAAGCTGCTGTGGGTGCTACTCTGACATCGAGTGCCAGCGGTCAAAAGCGCCCTTCAACCGCCGCATCCGGCAGTGGCCGAAAGAGGACGAAGTGAAGAAACGGCAGATTATCTGTGATTCTTTGCCCCGGAGCGTGTACCTAATTAGTGGCTGGCTGGACCATGTCTTACATTTTTTTCTCTACTCCCGACTTATTGTTTCATTATCTATTATGCAAAATACCCCTGGTGGATAATATGTTAATTTAGGCTTATTACCCTATATCAATATGAATAAACCCATCACTCGCTTACGATTGAAACGGCTTTCCACCTGTAAAACATCGTTATCCAGTTACCATGAAGAACCATCAGGATAAGTCTATAATGACTCTTCCCTGGACCTCGCCCCGACCAAGCCGCTCGAAGACTTCCGCAAGTTTATCCATTTTCTCAACGCATGTATGGGACTTGACAATACCCCTTGCCGCAAAGTCCATAGCTTCAGCAACATCCCTTTTGTTCCCTACAACAGAGCCAACGATATTAAGAGAACGAGAAACCAGGAGCGCCGGAGAACAAGAAGCGATCGGATCTCTGTTGTGAGTTGGGATTCCAACGCAGACTAATGTGCCGTTTGGACGCAGCATGCGTAATGCTTGTGCATATGCAGCATTGGATCCAGTGCACACGATGACTGCGTGAGCGCCGAACCCCCCTGTCAGGGACTTGACCTTTTCGACGATCTCTTCTGTTCCCTTGTCATCTGGTGAGAATTGAGTAATGTCGATGAAGTGCTCTGCGCCCGACTCTCGCACAGTACCCTCTTTGCTGTGATGGTCGATGCCAATGACCCGATGACCAAGGCCACGGCTGGAAAATTGTGTGGCTATATGGCCCAATCCACCACCAGCACCAGATATGACCACCCATTGACCTGGTTGGGCTTTGGAGCGTTTGAGTGCAGCGTAAACTGTCAAGCCGGCACAGAGCATGGGGGCAGCCTGTTCAGAGGACAGGCCATCTGGAATAGGGGTAACATAGTGAGCAGGTCCAAGGATGTACTGCTGGAACGTGCCGGGGTGATAGTATCCAGACAACTTTTTGTTGGCACAGCATCCATCTATACCATCAAGGCAGAATGCTATCTTCTGTTAACCAGTTGTTCACTGTGTGCATTCCCTGTTCGAGGGGTATCAGGTGTTATACATACGGCATCGACCACAAGCATAAGCAATCCATTTGATGCCAACGCGATCACCGATCTTGAGGCCGGACATCTCTGCCCCGGAGCCGAGCTTAACAATCTTTCCAACACCCTCGTGGCCTCCTATTTGGCCTGCTTTGGTTGGGTGAGGGAGGCCAGGCCACTATCCAGACTGAATCAGATAAACATGTCAAGTAAATGGAAGCTGCAAGGACCTACGCTGTTGGTCATAATACAATAATCAGAGTGACAGACTCCTGAGTGTGTCCTACGTGCGAGAGTCAGTATACCCATACCACTATCGCCCTAATAGATGTAGAAACACGCACAAGTTGACCAGGACTTCATCCGCTCCAGGCTCGGGAACATCTACCATGACCACCTTGGTCGACACAGAGCCAGGCTTGTCGTATACAACGGCTTTCGCCTGAGTAGGGATTTCAGATTTCGTCATGTTTACCTTTACTCGTACGACCTTCAATCAAATGTAGGTATTTATTTCTCAGAGGCGATGGTTGTTAGCTACGGGGTATCAGTATTTGTAGTTTGTGATAAGTTAAAACCAGATGGTAGGTACGTAGGTAGTCTTGCCCTTTAAATGTCGAATATCGGTAACACCACCCCGCGATACGTCAGGAGGGGATCATTGCTCTAGTTACCGGACAGCCGCATGGTTGGTTCTCTGCCTGCATCTGCGCTGGCGATCGCAACCGGTTCTTCTTCGGATGTAGGACTTGGATTGATGCGGAGAAGAGGGAAACACGACGCTGTCCAACCTCGGTTGCATGTCTAGCAAAGAGAGTTCTGCGCTGTACAGCTCGAGTTGATAGATGGGTGTGACTACTCTACTCAACTGTGCTCAAGATGGAGAGATACCGTACGCCTTCTGAGCAGTGAGATACCAGATGTTGTTCTTATCATCATCAGCGAGCCCTCTCTTCTCCAGCAGCAGCTGAACTACCTTCATCCATCTCGTCCAGGTAACGGGGTTTCCGCCTCCACCGACATTACAGACGGGCCAGTCACTCCCAAACATGATCCTTGCGGTGCCAAAGGTGTCGAATACGACGTCTGTCCATGGCTGTATGGCATCTACGGTAAAAGATAGCTGGTCTGTATTGTCTTGTTCCACTTCCACTGCAGGTAGTGGTAGAAGTTCAGAAAAGAGGCCAGAGAGCTTTATGTAGATGAGAGGATGGCGTGAGAGAGACGTGATATGCCTTTTCCACTCAATGAATTCTCGGTGGTTATAAGTTTCAGACGGCGATATGCGTAGATTCGGCTTACATAGATGGTCTATCCATTGCTTAGCAGTCGTATGGGGTAGCTACGTTATACAAAGTAGGAGAAGCTGTAGACTTACTTAGTATCAACTTCACCTGGCTGCTGCCCTGTTGATATAGCCTCTCTGACAACTCTACCGTTTCTTCAAGCTGATGAAGTCCGCCACTCCTTGCATCAACTCCGAGATCGAATGTCAGTCCTCGTTGCCCAAGCCATCGTAGCCCCTGGATGAAGCCATCTTCCAGCATGATGCCCCTTGGTTTGTCTTGAAGCAGGTATCTAACTCCCTTGACCTTTCCCCATGCATCTTTTCCATTGTTATTCACTTTCTCTTGTACCTTGGCCATATACATCTCTAGTCCGTCTGGTCCTAGAGGAACAGGCGCCCAAGGGATAATGGCCAGACATGGCACCTTGTCTGTCGGGACATGCCTGTCTCCTTCGAGCGGAATTCCACAGGCAATGTGTGAGATGAATGATACCTCCTCAAGAACATGCGTCCAGCCATGAGGTGCAAGGGATGATATTCGGTCCGTTTCAATGTATACGAAGCCCTTAAAGTGGTAACCGACTGGTAAAGGTGATATTGCTGCATCACGGTACTCCTGGACCGAATGCTGAGAGCCCAGTGGATTAGAGGGCGAATGCCATGCTAGAGTATCCAACTGCGAGGAAGTCCATAGATGCACATGGGAGTCAATAATTGGAGTATCCATGCTGAACTCATGCAGTTACTTGTCACCGTGCTGGTTGTTGTTGTGTCGTCAAGTCAATTTGATACATGCGGCTGTCTCTAAGTTAACTCCGTGAGCAACCTTGTGGGCATCACCAACTAGTTAGTTAGTAAACCAGCCCCTGACGGCGGATTCTAACCATTTTACTCAGATGGATTGATAAAGGATGAAAGGAAGAGTAGTTAGTGAGTGTGAATGATTAATATTATTATCTAATTATCTAGTTATCTGACTCGCTTTCATCGCTAAGAATCACTTCACAGTACTTTTGGGCCAGCATCATCAAGGCCAGGGACATAAAGAGCGTAATTGGTCGTCAAGCGTCGGGGACGCGGGAGAGAACCAGTGGTTGGTCCATCCATAATAGTCTATATACTATCGTGTATGTTTTTTCGTATGTTTTCGAATGTTTTTTTTGATTCCGAGCAAAAGGGTTTTGAACGAATATCCTGTCCTGAAGGAGAGGTATAAACTTTGCAAGTGAAAATGACCATATCAGATATTGCTTGATAGACGTACCTTGGTGACCTGGACGGTGTTGGAGTTGAAGTCGCCAGAGAAAGCGCCAGACTGCTCCTGGAGGTGAGTCTTGACGACCTCCTGCTTGGGGAGGTTCCAGACGGCCTGCCACCAGCCGGTAGCCTTGACGGTGTACTTGGTTCCAGCTGGGAGCTCGGCGGTGGAGAGGGTGTTGAGGGCGACCTTGACCTTGACGGAACCGCTGGGCTTGATCTCAACGAGGTCGGAGGCTGGTGGAGGAGTCATGCGGCGGACCTGGATGAAGTCGAGAGGAACAACGGCGCCCTTGGTGTCACGGACCTCGAAGACACCGAGCTGGTCGGCGAGGGAGTCAAGAGGGGTGTTCCAGGTCAAGATGGTAGCGGGATTCTTGGAGTTGGCGTTGCTGACGGTGACTTCGAGCTCGCATGGCTTGTCGGCGCGGCAGACACCATTGACGGCCTTGATAGAGACACCGACGGATGGGCCAGCAATGGGCTGGGCAGCAACCAAGTTGGAGAAGAAGAGGCAGAGGCCAAGTGCAACAAAGGCAAGCTGGACGGCGCGGGAGAGGACAGACATCTTGATGAAGCTGGTGGTGCTTTTCTTGCTGGAAGATAGAAGTGTCGAGGAAGTTGTGCTTGGGGCTTTTTGACTGAGGCTTTGCTGGCTTTGGGAGTGCTGATTGTTCTGTCTGGATAAATCTCGTCTTGACAGGCGATTCTGACCTCCTTTATATATCTCGAGCGTCGTGCAGTCGCTTCAGTCGCTCAACCAGCGGATGAATCCGTCCTCGACCTTCCGCTGCAACGACAACGAGCGAGCAGGGGTATTCTCTTTCTTGGTGGCCCGCAGACGCGGGATTTCCCTGTGCATCCGCCATGTCTGCGTTCTGGTTCTGGACGCTGTTGATCCTGTCACGACAGAGGAGATGCTCGCTGATGCAATTCACTGGTTGTCTGTCAGCCACCGCTTGGCCCAATATTCAGCACCATTAAGGCTTGTCATATAGTTAATTGAATGCACTATTTACACACTAGGGCCAGTAAGGATAATAATAGCTTTCCCATCCCTGTCCATATCCACCTCCCCCCCGGCCTGCATATTTCCGGTCTCACCGTTTACATCTAGATTAAGTATGCTGCTCCATTCCTCCACCAGGACCCGGCCAGTGGAAAAGTTTCCATAAAAGCTCAACCGCAAAATCAATCGTCGGGTAATTTTCGTGAAAAAGCTCTTCCTGGTCAGTCCCGGCTATCACAACATCGAACAGCTAGCTACCTATTTTAGTCGGACTCCGGAGCCGAGACCCGCTACTGCCAGCGCAGAAAATGCTAGAAGCTCGAAATAATTTCATTAACCAGGCACTTCCATGGAGAAGCAAGAAGTACGGAGTAGAGGGTACGGAGTAGAGGAGGGGTCGAATTCTGCTCATATCGAAAGACCAGCCGTGGATTCTCTGGCCAGGCCGTGGCATGGCTTCTGCTAAACGAAGACGAGCCGCTTGAATGCTTGCAAGACAAATCATAGGCACCATGCAAGCGTAACTTGATTGCCCAGACATGGAATATTCGCTAAGATGTCAGGGAAAAATTACTTGCAGCATGCTGTAACTATGCACCGACAGGGTCTTGAGCGTGAATATTCCGGCGGAGGATTACGGAACGTCATCTATGACCTGATCTCATCCTAGCACAAATTCCAGTATCGACCAGAAATCTCTGCCGTCGCATACTTCACTTTGTTAAGTTTTCTTCTATTCCTTGCTCGGGTAATTCTGACTTGTGTCTTGCTGGTTTTTTTTTCTCTGGCTAGAATCAACTCTAGACCTACAAGCCGTCCCGTACCTAGGCAAGCCCTCCGTATATTGTTTATTTGCGATTCCAATATAGCCATATTAGCGAGGGCAAGGAAGACAGACACCCAGCCGGGCTTCTTGGCTGTCTTACAGGTGCCGATACGCCCTCCAATCTCAAGTCGTATCTTCACCATGGTGAGAAATATAGCGGCAATGGCGAAATAAGCATGGTATAAATTCCACCATTGAGCTGAAGTGGGTACATATCAGAAGTGTCCTGGAAGGAATAAGCATTAAATTCCGACAGATCCCTGAGGGCCTCAGAACAGTCAGTGGTCCGTGAGGAAGAGTCAGAGACAGTTTAACGGCCATATATCATCGAAATGTCGGGTAATAGCGGTTGGCTGCTGTTCAGAAGTGCGCTAATACTGCAATATAGGTTTGCTTTTCGCAGTCCATTGGCCGTGCTTTAGACAAGCTAGATTAGCTGTCGATTAGCGACCTCGCCGCTGCATGAGACAGACGCCCTAGCTTCGAGGCAAAACGTTTGTCTCAACCGCTCTGCTCAAGTGAATTGGGACTCCTAGTGAGCTCATGCTTGGAAGTCAACGAGATGGAGACCAGCAATGTCACTTCTTTTGATTTCCAAGATTCCCCAGTCATTTCGGTTCAAGGCAGAACAAGGCGACGTGGTGGCCTTGCAAAAAGGACTGAAATGCACCATGATATCATCTTGCCGACATTTTTTGGATTTCCGAGGACTCATTACCCGTCGTAGGAGTCGCCAGATTCCCAATCCAGCATTTGTTTACTCCGTACATATGGCGGGCCTGGTTCGGGAGTTCAGGCGAATATGTCCGGCCCATACGGGATTGTGTCTTTGATCCTCTTTCTCCAATTTTATGGCGTTCTCTCTTCGGCTGGCCAGTCCATATCCGGCACTTCTTTGGCAGTGGAAGAGCAATACTTGCAGGCGTGCTATAACGTAGGGTAGGCTATATGAGCGCGAAAAAATCACAAGGAAAAAGATTTCCGAAGTCAAAATAAACAAGGTTAAGCGGTTGGTCCGGCCGCTAGTGATTATTTAGGCCTAGTGTCCCCACTTTGCGGAAAGGAAACTTCACTAGCGTCTTTTGAAAAGTCTATTATATAATATAGCATTAAGTAAGGAAGTGCTTATTAAGCGAAATTTTGTTGAGGCCTAAAAGTTTGTTGTGTTTTTATTTTCAGGCTGCAAAACTTCACGATCAAGACGGACAAGGGACTTGTTTGCAGAGTTGGTGAGACCTCGAGGCGAGATGAGTGCTCCCCTCGACCTAGCAAGACACTTTTCACAGGCGTTTCCGCGGATGGGACCTTCGATTCTCTTCCGGTGAGGCATTTCTTTCATTCCGCTGAAGAAAAGATGACCCATGTTCTCGAAGCTTTCGTTCCTTGCCAGGAATACAGCAGCCTGCATCTCGGATAATCCAGAGCCGGCATAATTATGCCGTGCAAAATGGCGAAGTGGTACGAGAAACACCCGAGTGTTTATTTGTCCGTGATAATTTTCGAGGTGCTTCTTCGGTCGTAGGATCCGATGGAATTCCACATAGCTTGAGAGCCAATACTTCAGTGCATTCGACGTGCTGTAGAGCCCAGAAAATTGTCCCGTCAGACACTTGCAGCTGCCGAGTAGCTTGCATGAAAAAACGCTGAATTAAGCCATGGACACATGCAAATTCCCCCGCCACTCTATGGTTATACTTCTTGCCGGCCTGAACGCCCCATTTGCCGTGTCTTGGGAAACCGCTGAGCGCCTAACACTGGACAATCCTAATACCATTGACTCACAGCCATAGAATGCCTGGTCCTGTGATAAGCGTTTTAGTGAAAAAGCCTAGTTCTATCATGCTATTAGGTGCTTTTGGTATCGATATAACAATTTTATTTATACCATGGATCGCTGTGAAAATCTGTCCGAGCTTTTTTTACCAAGGCATCACCCACGGAATAGCTTCCGTATCCCTGGTGTTAAGCCGAACTTCCGTCCCACAGCCATCCTGGATGAACTGCAGTGTCATACTCTGCTGCCAGTTGAAGTCATCGAAGGATCGCGTCGGCTCTTCGGCCTTGGGATATCCGGGTGGTTTCTCCTTTGCCGGAATTCTCCCGGCGCGGTATTACCTATGCTGGAAAGGTCCAAGGAACCAGTTTTTTGACATAACATCAGAATTCTGACCGACACTTCAACGACAAAGAGTAGGGAGTTTCGCGCGACCAAGCATCTAAGAAATGCTTTAAAACCAACAAAGTCCGTTTGTGTCACCTGTGTGAAACTAATGAATTTCTTAAGCACTGTATGTGTGAGCATCTAGAAAAATGTCCCCCCAAGCAACCTGTAAGGTTAGGGAACGCCTTCTAGTTAGATTCAATACGACAAATGTTGCCATCACACCTATGTACCAGTTGCTGGAACATATTAAATTGAGAAATATTTCTCCAATTACCCTTAAGGACCTTCGAGAATGATGTTAGGTTCATATTATATTCCGGATGTACGCCGCTTCGCGTCCCATACAAAATGACAGGGGACTCATGCAAGCAAGAGTGTCTGGTATACAGCCACAACTTTACATATTAGGTAATATGCATATTTTGTAGGGCAGTGAAGCTTACTCACTTGACGGAATAGCATACAGATACTCCGTACCACGGAAGCCATCTTTATAAAGTCCGAAGTCCGTCCTTCGATACTCTTAACAAGCAATGGACAACAACGTTCTCACTTAATCAGAAGCTCTTTTTTCGATGTCTACACCTCAGGCTAAAGGGCTAACCACTAGGTAATTGGCCTGTAGCACTCTACTGACGGCTCTTTCTCTCATTTAGATACCAGCAGTTCGGTACCACAATCACAGGAGATCTTTGATCCTGGCTCTGCCGGCGAGGTAGGCGCAGATAAGTTTTATCGGCAGTTATATTGTTGTGGCTCTATCAACCTCAAGCGTTTACGTAGCTCGAAAGCTCCAATCCGGTGTAGCAAGCAGTTTCCAATAAAATCATTTCAACTCCATACTCCTTGGGAGGTATCATCTCAAAAAAACGATGCTCACAAGAGACAAATGCTCATTCATCTTGTGCGCCAAACTTTAGCTTTGCCGCGATTCATCCTTTCCAAACCGTTTAGGTGCCCTTTGTGAAACAAAGCGAATGCAAGACCTGAATCAACTGATGGATGCACCAGCCGTTGAAGGACGCAGCCATCACGCATTCCATCTATCTGCGGAGTAAAGAGATCGTTCCCATCCAAATTGTGGCAGGAATCAGGCCCGGGGTACGCTCTCCGTGTCAATCGATCAGGATGGGATCCACCGTTCCACGTTTCATTGGTGGATGATGGCCATTTGGCTATACGAAAACTCCATATATACAGGGGTTAACACAGGTTCAGCCTTATAATTGGGCGAGATGTCTTATAAGAGCCGCTGAAGCCGTGAACTCTCTGATACCTACTTACGCAATCAGTTCCTGCTGGGGCGAAGCATTGCTCCTTCACAAGATGTCGTCGAGATGGCTGCTGTGCAGTTGATTCTCTCAAGGGAGACAGAACATAAGTTGATGAGACGCGAAGCCTGATACTGATGGAAACTACCATTCTTTGTTCAATTGACTAGATACACTGCGTCGCGATGAAACACTCACTGCGGCCAAGTCGATGGCAGAGCCTGACATGTCTTGCTCTTTTCAGCATCCTTGCCATTTATACGTCAGGCTATTATCTCACGGCCATTGCACGCCATGGCCAGACAGGTTTCAACCATGGGATAGAGTCATATCGGCAACGGGGCATGAAACCAGCCGGTCCTGTTGTTCCGGGCGTGGTACAGCCTGATAAGAATTATACTCGTACCCTTGTTATAGCGAGTCTCCAGAAGGAAAATACAACTTGGGTCGACGAACTACAACGGGAAGACCCTAAGCTGCAAACGGCTGTTTATGTTGTGAATAATTCCAGTGCGCCTCTCACTGTGATGAAAAACAAGGGGCATGAAGTGATGGTTTATCTGTCGTACATCATTGACCAATACTATACACTCACGGATGTCTCTATTTTCATGCATGCTCATTTGACGACATGGCATAATAATGATTTATTGGATTCGGACTCTGCCAAGATGGTCAAACGCCTTCGAAGTGAAAAAATTATTCGAGACGGTTATATGAACCTTCGTTGCCATTCAGAACCAGGTTGCCCCGACCATATCCACCCAATTGCCGGAGGTGACGATCTATCAAGCATTCCGGAAGCGGCTGTTATAGGAAAATCCTGGCTCGAGCTGTTCCCCGGTACCCAATTGCCTGAGGTGCTCTCCCAACCATGCTGCGCCCAATTCGCAGTCAGTGCCGACCGCATCCGACGGATACCTCGGGAAACTTATATATATTATCGAGACTGGATTCTCGAAACTTCGTTGTCTGATAGCTTATCAGGGCGAGTGTGGGAATATCTCTGGCAGTACGTCTTTGCAGGTGTCGAAACATTGTGCCCGGAGGACCATATCTGTTACTGCGAAGGATACGGGATATGCTTCAAAGGGAAAGTCGAGTTTGAATACTTTTATGAAATGCAGTCGTTGGGACGCGATATTCAAAAGCAACTTAATGCGCTGAAGATGGAGAACGGAACAGTGATCAAGGGATTCGAAAAGAAAGCCGAGGCTATGCAGGCGAAAATAAACAAATTAGTGGCTGAGATTGAGGCGATGAGATCGAGGGTTCTTGGGGAATGAAACGGCTTTTTGCACCACCCTGGGTATAAATGTTGGCGTTGGATATGTTTGGATTTTCATGCTTGTTATGGTTATGTTGGTTTATGCTTAATTGGTTATCGGCTGGTCCCGAGTCTTATCCAGGCCCTTTACATCATTCACACATTCCTATTTGTCAGATTATGGCTCTATATAGCTCTCTCTTCATAGATACAAAGTAATCGGTGATAATAAGACTTGGTTGGAAAGACCTATCACCCATGATATCTGGCATCGCAGTCGCTTGAAAGCACCATTGAGCACAGCTCTAAGCGTCTCCTCATGGAGGCTTTAGATTCCACAAATAAGCTGGCAATCCTTATGCATGCGCTTATAATACCAATTAAGCCATTCGGTTGTATCCGACAAACAAATTTCTATTCCGTCTCGGGGATAGATATGCCGAGCAGGCTACTTAACAACCGAATCGATCAATAGCCAACCTGCGGTTTAATATACGAGGATTGTTTCACAGAGTGCCTTCCCTGTGCTATGGTACTTCAAAATGAAGCTAGATAGATAATAATTCGGCAGTCTGCCCTTTGTGGTACGTACTCGTTAAGTGCTGAGCAGCCTCAAATTAACTGAGCAAGAAGATACAAAAAATCATGCTTCACTAGTGAGACTATATACCAAATCACACAAAATTGGTTAGTTATTGGAGATTCACAAACATCCCTCCATCAACTAGAAGCTGGGCACCGGTCTAAATTCCGAGTCAGTCTGGCGTATACTATACATATGAGAAAGGCGGTTGAACTCACCACATAGCCGCTCAGCTGCTCGCAGGCTAGGAATACTGCCGGGCCAGCTAGATCCTTGGGCACACCCAGACGGCCAAGAGGGACTCTACCTTCCATGTACGCTCTCTTCCCGTCATCTTTCAAGTCCTCTTCATTTAATCCAGTCCGTATTGTTCCGGGCAGCAAGGCGTTGCATCTGATGCCGTATTTCCCAAGAGATACGGCGGAAGATTGCATTAAAGACAATATCCCGGCTTTAGTAGGGGTATAATGAGCTTGAAGGCCACCGCCAACAAGAGCAGAGATGGATGAAACTCCTATTATTGACCCTCCTGGCGGAGACTGGGATAGTGCCATTTGCCGAGCAGCTGCTTGGGTGACGTAGAATGCACCGCTCAGGTTGACGGACGCAGTTCTGTCAAAGAGCGCAGGCGATATTCTATATACATACATTAGACTGTTATTCGACCACTTGTCGGAGAGATGTTGCAGGTAGCTAGTCAGTTATACATACTCTAGGAATTCTTTGAATTCGCATATTCCGGCATTACTGACAAATATATCCAACCGGCCAAACGCAGATACTGTTTCTCTGATGAAATCGGTCCCCGTCTCCGGCAAGGAAACATCTCCTGCCACAGTGATGAGCCTTTGATCTACTGAGACCTTGTCACCCTCAGAAGCAAGAATATCCGCGATCTCTTGCTTCAGCGCTAATATCAGTTCCTGCTCATTGTCCAGCCCGAGATGGTTAACAGCCACATAGGCTCCCTGTCTGATATACTCAACAGCAATGGCCTATGTCAGCAAAACGAATGCATGTCTGCCCCCATGGAGAGGGTGAAGAACATGCGTGGAATCATCTCTGGTTAGTATTATGATCCTGTGCAGACAGAGGAGGTCTACCATACACGTCCTATGCCTGTCAATCCTCCCGTTATCGCGGCCACTTTTGTGCCCAATAACCTTGGAGAAGCCATCTTGATGATGGTGATGCAACTGGCAGCTTATTCAAGAGTTAAGACAGGCGCGTCAACTCGTGCTAAATAATATAAAAAGTGGATGAAAAGGCGATCATCAACTGAAGGCTGAAATACGAGCAGTTACGCTTTCTTGACTTTCGTGGCAGGGATAAACATGCGATTCCACACGTTTCTCCATCTTTTCTCGAGCACTTCGCTACCGATCCTCATGGCTGAGGTTGAATGGCCGGGTTATGACTAGTTATGAGCTTCCATAGACCGGCTGGGAACGATGAATTTCCATCTTCGGCTTTCGCTGATATGTATGGCTACGCAATATAAATTGCGCGGGACAGCCTGTTGAAGCGGGAGATTCTTCATCTCACCCAATACCGTATATTGAAACAGCCTTCAATATGTTATACCCGCGGCCCTTTACGGTTTCCTGTCTTCTGTGGCTTTCCTTGTCATATGCATTCAATCACCTGGCAGCAGCTGCCGCTCCATCTGTCTCGAGCCCAGGATGCGTACCTAGTGGAGCACTGCTGCCTCGTCCAACAGACCTGGGCCAGTCACAGTACATCAAGGATGCTACCAAGAGCCTTTCTCAATCTCTGGATGATGCAGTCTCAGGGAAAATAAAAGCTGGCTGGGATGTTGCCAATACGTCGTTCTCAGTTGCGCTCGTCTCGCCCAACGGCGGCGACCCAAGGACCGGCATTCTCTGGGAATACCATCATCTTGGGGAGAAGAACGTCAACGGCACCAAGCATCTTGATGGTGACTCGCAATATCTGATTGGGTCAGTGTCGAAAGTGTTCTCTGACTTGCTCCTCTTGAAGTCGAACGTGGACCTGCATGACCCCGTCGCCAAATACCTATCGCAGCTCAAAAATGAATCTTCTCCAATTGATTGGGGCAATATCTCCCTTCTCTCTCTTTCAGAACATCTATCTGGGACTCCGGCTAATACCAGTACGTCACTTTACTGAATATTTGTGTAGAATATTTCTGACAGTGATTAGTCGGTGCGCTTCAATTCTACTTTCTGCAACCCCTATATCTAGCACTAGGATTTCCGCCTTTGAATGGGAATGATTATCCGTCATGTGGAATTGCGGACTTGAATAAAGGCTGTACTCCTGAAGGTTTGGATATGCAGCCACCTTATTGCTCCGTATGCTAAGAATAATCCAGAACTTCTGAATGGGCTTGCCTACTCCCACCCGGTTGCGGAGCCTTACGAACGGCCCATTTACTCCCAACTGTCGTTCACTCTATTTTGCCTGGCACTTGCCAATAATACCGGCAAAGATTATGCGCAGATGCTAAATGAGCAAGTCATTAGCCCACTCGGTTTGAGAAATACTGGTGTTTCTCCAGGAGATGATGAGCGTGCAGTTATCCCTAATATTGAACAACAGGGATGGGGTGCCGAATATGGGTATAATGCTCCGTATGTCTCCCTATCTCTTTTTTTTGTTTATAAACTAATAACAGATTAAAAAAGTGGAGGCGGTCTATATTCCTCATCGAACGACCTATCTATCCTTGTCACCAGAATCCTTGATTATTCAATCCTCCAAAGTCCCCAGAAGACTAAGAAATGGCTCCAGCCGAGATCCGCTACCGCTTCGCTTAATACTCTCGTCGGCCAGCCCTGGGAAATTTTACGAACCTCCAATATGACTCCTAAGTATCCACATACAATTGATATCTATGGAAAAAGCGGCGGTGCACCAGGTTACATTTCTCAAGTAAATGTCATTGACCAATATGGAATTGGAGTTGTCCTTTCAACTGCGGGGCCATTGGATTCTAAGGCTCCTTATATCATCACTGAGGCCATACTCAGTGCTGTTCTTCCTGCTGCTGAAGATGAGGCTCGCAAACAGGCAGAAAAATTCGTCGGTGAATATACTAATCATAAGAGCAACAACGCAGAGTCTGCAGACTATGCACTTATCACACTTAAAACATCTATTGATAACGGCACAGGTATCAGATTGGACTCTCTTACACGCAATAACTCCGATATCCTTGAAGGTATACGCAAGATCTGGTCTACCAGCCTTGCTATAGTGGGTCAGCTCTCTCCGGAGATGAGAGTATATCCCACTGGCATCGAGAAAACTGTTACCACCGACAATAGGAGCCTCCTTGAGCAGGATTGGAGAATTAATTTTGACTTATTACCAAATGTTAATGAGAAAGCATCCGACCTTCCTGGATTAGGGAGACTCGAGCCCCTTTGTACATCATGGCAGACCGTGGACTGGCTGTATTATGCCGGCGTACCAATGGACAGAGTTGTATTCACCATTGATATGGAGACTGGCAAGGTTGTTGGTGTGGATATCCCGTTCCTTCGAAGCGGACTTATTGAGAAGTCCAAGTGATATGTGCTAGGTTGTAGCAATTCACAGTTGATGGCATTGCCTAAAATTTAACATCAAGTTATTGTTTGTTCTTTGGAATATTCCGTAAAGAAAGCATGCATAAATTAATCTTGTCTTGTTAATACCTTTAATACCTTGTTTAAATTAAAGCAAATAGAATAAAATAATGCACCTATGACAACTTCTGAGAAAGAAGGGGTAGCTGAGCCGGAACCATGTCTGTCGAGTGCAAGCGATGAAATCTCAGGTGTTCTATATTTATATATATATGTGTGTAGTAGCTGAGAAAAAGAAAAAAGCAACATTCAACCACACTCTTCATTGGAGCATCATATTAGTGTTGTCGTACGGTGCCATTTGTCATTGGGACAGTTCTTTCGCTACCATGCTTTCGATTTTCCTGAGAAGCAACGCCACCATGTCGAAGCGATTCCTGCGGGTTAGGAGCCAGGATATAACGTGCTGGAATGAGCCTTGCATAAGGGTTCAACTTGAGCCCGAAGCCAGGCTCATCCAGTGCACTGACATCAAGATAGCCTTTGGAGGGAATCGGTTCATTTAAGAAGAGATCGCCAAATACAGGCTGCACTGTCTTTCCATCAGGTGAGTTGGCCAGGTATTCCTGGAAGGGAGAATTCGGCTGAGATACGACGAAATGGTAAGAATAAGGACCAGACGCATGTGGCACGACTGGGATATCATAAGCAGCCGCCATTGCTGATATTTTCAGCAATTCGGTCATTCCTCCCACCCACATAACATCTGGCTGGACAATGTCAAGATTTCGGGATTCGATAAGCTTTCGAAAGCCATACCTGGAATACTCGTGCTCACCAGTTGTGAACTTGACAGTTGGATGGGCCCGTTTAAGTAGGGCTTGACCGTCAACATCATCGGGAGATAAGCATTCTTCCCACCAGTCAATATTGATACTTGCTGCCTCGCAAGCTTTGACAAGCTCGATTGTGTATGGAACATTCAGAGACATGTAACAGTCAACCCTGAGCGGGAAGTTTGGTCCGACTTTCTCGCGTTGCCGCCGTAGATATTCCACGTTCTTACTTAGACCACTTGCGCCTTCATCAGGGCCATATGGTAGCGCCACTTTGGCACCGGAAAAGCCCATTGACTTTGAGTAGCCTGGCTCTGGGCCAGTGCAGTAGAAGTCTAGGCGGGAACGAGTTGCACCACCGATAAGTTTGTAGACTGGTTCATTGCGGATCTTTCCAAGCAGGTCCCAAATAGCCAGATCTATGGCTGATATGGCAGCAACAGTGAGGCCTTTGCGTCCATAAAACATGGATGCCCGGTACATCTTTTCAAAAAGGTTATTTGTATCTCTTGGGTCTTGGATATGTTTGTCAGATGCGGGACTGTCCGTGTATAACAGTTATGGGGAGCGAGTAATCCTTACCTGCACCGATTAGGAACCTTTCGAAATGCTGTGCCACTAGCCAGCAGGCTGGAGGGCCTCCAAACCCGGTTGCAAACCCCTTAGTGCCATCCGTTGCTTCTATTTCAACGCAAAAGGACCCAAGAACATTTATCCCCCAGCTAGTCCGAGAGCCTCGATATTGCTCCCATCGAGACATCGGAGTTGCAATGGGAGAATCAATGAGCCAATGTCCACCTTTGACCTAAAGCAGAAGTGTTATCATTATGAGCTATAAATGCTAGCCGAAAAGGGTCCGTAACATACATTGTGATAATCGCCTCCAGAGCCAACACCATCAATAACAAAGGTGTTAACTGTCTTGATAATAGGAAATACGGCAGCCATAGTGGTGTTGGTACGGCCTAAATGAACAGAATTGGGACTCTATGAATTTGGGAAACACTAAACTGGTAGCGACCCTTGGATGTTGGAATTTCAGGGCGTGTTATATAGCTCCCCAATACTTGGTCACATTCCAGGTGTGGATCGTGTATCGGCATGAGCTCGCGCTATTCCCCGAGAAAGCTCATGAGAAAGGGAAGTTTGCCCTTGGTGGGTAAAGGTAAATGGCGCAATGACTAGGTATACCCTGATGATTGCCATATCAACCAAAGCGTAGAATTGGACAGACGTGGCCATGGCTTTAGCGAACTTTGGGGGTAAGAGCAGCAGTTGTAGCGACGGTTTAGCCGCCTCGGAAGCTTAAGCATATGAACGTGTTGTCCTTGGTGGCTCCATTCTCCACATGGCCCAGAGTTTCTCGGGTGGCAATACACCGAGGAAACATTGCACCGAGGAGGGCCGTTCACCCGCCCGAGGAGAGTTTCTCCAGATTCTTGCGGAGGTGGAAGAGGATTGGCACGAAGTCCGGGGGAAAACCATATGTATCCAGGGCGTTCGAGCTCACAAAAGTGACATATCATGCATAATGCTTCCCGCTAGTTTATGCAGCACATCAAGGTTGTTTTCCGTCCGGTTCGGCGGAACCCGCCTTCCAACACCACGTTATTGAGACCTTAATTGACCCTCTAATAACAATAGTCAGGCTGCCTCGATGGCGCTGGAGAAATGCAGCCGTATCACCATGTCGTCAACACGCTCGTGATGTGGATGCCAAGTCCTGTTGAATGAATGATCGGGTATCATGCATAGATCCTTGAGAAAGAAGAAATATGAGCTCGATATAGATTGGAATCAATCCTTCAGGTGCTGGGAGTAAGCCATCTTTTCACCACCGCAAGGTTGAAAATGAGCCCAACCAGCAAGTCGCCAAAAACATGGCGCTATCCACGAGGTCATCCTGGTAGCGGGCGCTCCCTCGACAGCTCACATCCGGATAATTCAGGGTCCTGGAGTATTTTTAGACCGCAATACTCCGTAGACAACGGGTGAAGATAGAGGCGAGATGTTGATTTCCTCTCATGTTGAAGACTTGAGGTTGAAGAAAAGTTGAGTCCCCTTTTTAGTTATAGATTATGTAAGCTTCCCTAAACGGTAACTTTTCTTCCTCAACCTCAACTCTTCAACCTCGACGTAAACAACACGATTGAACAGCGAGATATGGCCAGTATTTGCCTGTTATTCAGCCTTGTTTGCCATAGTGGGTGGGAATAAACTCGGCGCGTGGGTCCGGCACGCAAGAGCCTTTGGCCTCACGAGGTCCGAGCTATGCCAAAAGTCGAGCTATCGCTTGTTTTCCTGCCAGCTGGGGACGACTTGATAACCAGTCAATTCGGCTGCATGGGCTCAAGGGGGACAGCCATAAGGATCTCAGCAGAGTCAGCACCAATTGGTTGGGTCCTGGGCCATAAAGCTGCTCACAGTAATCCACAAGCGAATTTGCAAAAGCCACGCGAAAGACCAGCGCGATACGGGACCGCAAATGATAGTGACAACAAGATAAAAGGGATAGCTCACAGCACTCCGGGTATAATTGACGCGAGCAACGAGCCAACGAAGTTGACCGGCAGAGGAAGGAGGTTGGCGTGTCCGAACAGCTCCCTACCATGACGGACACCTTCTCATGCGCATGCGGCCAAGGATAAGCCATGAAGAGCCTGACGAGCGTGGCCTTTTCACCCTAGATCCTGGGTGCTGATAAATAAAAAATAAAGTAGCCCAAGCCCACGCCCGCGACATTCTCAACGTGCATAGAAAAAAAAATAAATGGGGCAGCGGAAGATTCGCTAATACTTCCCGTGAACGATACATCTGCTCCGAAATCTCCTGAGACATATGCGCCATCATATTATCGCAGTCCAGCGTAACATTCAGCTTCCCAAAATATCCCCGATGGATTATATACGGAGTAACTACTATGAAGGCGTCAAATTCAAACAATTATCATTGTCTAATCGGTTTATTTTGACATTCTGCATGGAAATGCGAAAAATTCGACTTTTATTCTCAATCGAAAGCTGTTCTTGAGAGTAATTAACTAGTTAGTGATTCTGATGTTGCTTGAATAGTCAACATTTTTTGAGCCTTTGTCGAAGTTCTCTGTTATCTAGGTGTGCAACCAAGAGGGTGGGCATGTGCGCCGGGGATCACGACGTGCTCTCGGGTGGGATCAGCCACCACGCCTCTGGAAACTGCTGGTATGGCCTGTCAAGGGCTCGACTCTCAAAGGCTGGAGCCGTCAGACCAGCAAGCCAGTCGGCACGCTTTTCCTCTTCCCGGCCACACTCCCTTGGCTTGGGGTTAGGCCTTGGCAAGAAGATGCCGCTGCGGCTTGGTTTGGGAACTGGCGCTGGAAAGTGCCAGACAAGATCTCACCATCAGCTCTCTCCCCTAGCCAGGCCTGGTTAACTGGGACTTTCGGTCATATTGACGGCAGTTCTACTGCGCATAATCCGTACACCTACTCCGTACTTACTTCGGATCGGCTATCCGGAGTGCTTGTTAATGTGCGTCGATGGAGCATACTTTTCCTTCTCCACACGGCTTCAGAAATGCCAACACTTCGCCTCCCACCGCTCAGGTCAAGGCTGGTGGACGAACAGATGATCGCGATGAAATTGACAGTCCCGAAGACGCCTGGTCAGGGCAAGATAGCGGCAATGATGCCAGTGCGGTGGATCGAAAAATCTCCCAATCCTCAGATCGTTCTTTGAAAAGGAAGCGTCCGGTGATGGTCTCGTATATCAACCCACTTCTTCCTTCTGTTTCCTTTTATTCCACATTTTCAAGAAGTCAACTCACGGTGCTATCGCTGACCAGCTCAGATGCGAACTTTGTAAGCAAAGGAAAGTGAAATGCGGTACGTATAGACCGATTCCGAACTGAATAGAACGCAACTCACCAGCGGCCTCGTAGATCGCTCCCAACCCAGCTGTGGCTGGTGTGCCCGGAATGGCCATCCATGCGAGTACAAAGAACGAAAGAAGCCGGGATTGAGAGCTGGGTATGGAAGAGAGCTTGAACAGCGGCTAGGTAAAGTACCCTTATCCGGAATTACGTGAAGCATTCCCGTTATTTGCCGAAATGTTATGCTAATACCTGTTCATGACAGATCGCTTAGAAGAAGTCATCCAAGCGCAAGCACGACTTATAGAAACACATATAATACAGGCCCAGCAACGTCCTGGGAATGAAGTCCAATCAAACCAATGCCCGCCAACAGCTCCATTATATAGCTCTCCGTCGGACCGGTCCGCGGCTCCCGAACCCAGCCCAAAGGATATCCTATATCCGCATCCATCGACCTCAAACTTTCCCACGCCGCACCGCCGTATCTCAGCCGTAGGGACCTATAACCAGGAGCAGAGAACATCCACGCCATCTGATAAATCGTTTCATACGACCTCGCCAATCCAGCTTCAGAATGGACTCTCTCCACAAAAGCTACCACCACAGCCAGGGGAGTCGCAGCAGCCTCATTTTAATACCAGAGACTCCTCATCCTTGAGGATTCCCGCCTACTCTTCGAACCAAGAAAGCGCGTCCCTCGCCGATCATAATGCCGATCTCCCGCCTTACGATCTTCTATACTCATTGGTCGATCTGTACTTTGAACATATCAACGGATGGTTGCCTATACTTCACCGGAGAACGACACTAGATACTCTTTTCGGGCCATCGCCGTTAAGTGAAGAAGACCGGATGTTGTTATACGCCATAGTTGCAACGACTCTGCGATTTTCAAAAGATACGCGGCTTAACGAAGAAAATAGGAAACGTTACCATGACGTGTGCAAACAGAAAGTTATTTTATATGGTTTGGACAATTCCTCCGTCACGTCCTTACAGGCTCTAGTGATCTTGACGCTAGACGTTGTGGGAACTTCTAACGGTCCCCCAGGATGGAAATTACTTGCACTTGTCGCTAGATCTGTTGTTCAGCTTGGTCTCGCCGTAGAAGCTACATCATCCCTAGTTGCAACAATGTTTCCGTCCATATATACTCTCAGAGCCAATATCCTTCCCGACTCTAGGAATTGGGTGGAAGATGAGGGTAGGCGGCGGCTATTCTGGGCAGCTTATCTATTAGATAGGTATTCTACGATTGCCACAGCCTTCGATTTCGCACTGGACAGTAAAGAAGTTGATCGGAAACTACCGTGCAAAGATGAATATTTTGTTAAAAATCAACCAGTTGAAACGAGGTTTTTTGATACCCACGAGCAATTGGAGTGCGTGAGCCGCAGCCAATATATGGGTGCCTTCGGATTTTACATGGAAGTTTTAGGCATACTGTCGAAAATACACTTATTTCTCAAACGGCCGGTTGATATCAGTGCAATTGCCGATGTTAATCAGTGGCAATCCACCTACCGAAAGCTAGATAACGAATTGACTGCATGGGAATACCAATTACCGAAAGAGTACTCATTCGTAATGTCTTCAAGATATTTGGCGTCTTCGAAATCTAGGTCTGTGCATTGTGGCTGGATTATGTTGCACGCAGCCTACCAAACGTATGTGCCCCCCGTTGCGTCTCGATTCCTTGTGGCTAACGTTATCATAGAACGATAATCCGACTACATTCTTCAGCTGCCTACCCAACGACTCGGTCTCCCATATTCACACCATCATATGGTGCTATCCAACGGTGCCTGGCTGCCGTTGAACGGATCCGGACAATTGCTAGATTTGTTGTAGACAACAACGTCCTAGACAAATTTGGCCCACCTTTTGCATTTACACTCTGGGTATCAGCGCGCCTCCTGCTGGTTAATGGCTCAACTGTAGCCCATACATTAGATCCGGCAATTAACTTCTTTGTCGATTCTCTTCGTCGCATGGGCCAATACTGGAAAGTTGCAAAGCGATACAGCGAGATCCTACAGCGAGTCTTGGATGAATACAATGAATTCGAACAGTCTGGCGCTACAAATGCAGACCGTGCAGCCCCCTCATCAGTAAAGATCCTAGCTGACATGAGACGATGTGCATTTGACTTGGACTTTTTAATATCCCATCAACCCCCAAGAGCCAGCAGCTCTAGCCACACTCCAGTCGCCGGAGGGCCCACGGCATCAGTAGGCGGACTGATTACTCCGAAACCCACAAACGCCGCTCCAATTGCACCACCACGCAACCTCAGCCCCCATGAACTTGAGTATCTGGATGTCTTTGACTTTTTCAATGTTCCGCGTGTTCCTCCTTCCGGAGGGAACCCTACTGCTCCGTCAATTAATGGCCTAGCTGTAATGGATCAAGCACAGCAAGTAACAGTCCCGCCTGCCCAGCCACAAACAAACTCCTCTACTGTGACTGCGACTGTAGGAGGAATTTCAGTGACTGATTTAGCTAATGCTGCTGCAGCCGGTGCGGCCGCTGCAGCACAAGCATCAAACGAATTCAATATCACCAACTATATGGTCCCAACACCGGAGACGGATTGGTTATTTAGGGCTACCACATAGTTCAACATCGAGATCGAGATATTCCATAAGGGATTATGGTTTTGGTTTTAAGAGCGAGTTATCCGGCAATTGTATTTTTATCAAGTATAACGTTAACGCAGCGCATGAACTAAATTTAGATTTTATAGTCTCAGCATTTGTATCACTCTTACACTATTAATCAAAGATTTTTTTCCACCATTCATTTAATTTCCCCTATATCAAATACAGTTCAAGGGCCTCTTGGAGACGGCAATCCACCTCTACCAGCAGCTTTCCGTTGGTTTTCAAAAATGATAGAATCAATTCTCACTCGGAGTATACTCCCTCCAACGTGCCTCTGCTGAAATTAATTACCATTTCTAGGATCCTTAATGATATGAAGTAACGTTCCACAAATTCGCTTCGTTTCCCAGAGATCAAACCCGAGCTCAAAACCGTGGTCGACAACATCCATAGTGCGGAATTGTGAGCCGTAAGGTGCCCAAGCAGGTGTAGATTGAGATTCAGGTAAAAGAAGTGAGCCATTCTTCTCATTATTACCTTGAATGAATTGGCTTAGGAAGCTTTGAGCCTGTCTTGCAGCACTTTCACTTCTAACGGGAGTTGTTGTATTGTCGATGAAGAAGAAATCTAGCGAGGAGATGGAAGTTAGTAACATGGAAGTAATACATATTGCAATATAATAGTTAGAGAAACTTACAAGATAGATCCAGAGCATGGGTTGCCGGTGGAATACGCATCACATATCGGTAGGCTTTAGATCCATATGCCTTTGCAATGCTGGTTGAATGGCATGCAAACACAACCGAGGTAATTCAGTCCCATGCCAACCTTTCTGGTTTACCGGGAGGGTAAGGGAATAGGTTCTGAATCTGCCGAATAGTCCCCTCACTTGCATTGGGGAAGTTTATTCGAACGTAGTCAGGGAATCCATCGGGCATGTTGGTATCAGAGCTAAGGCCATTTCCCTCATATGCAGTGTTTGATGCTATGACTCGTTTCACCTCTCTATGGAATCTTCCTTGTTCAAGGAGTATCATAGGCTCATCTGGGACAATATCTCCATCAACCAGGGGAGAGAAACCAACTCCAGGGCCGAAAGAGCCTCCTCCTGTACCAGTTGGCACCTCTACTATCAGATGATGGTTTGCTGTCTTGAGAACATCTGGTGAAGCAGCTCTAAGACAGGTGAGATTGATACAGTTTGTTGATTTGAGAACTTGGTTGTAAACCTCTTTCCTGCGGGAGGCTACGTCTCTCCGGGGCATTATTGATGGAGACTGAACAACTGCCTGTTATTTTCAAAACATGTTAACAAAGGTAGAAAGCACTTTAAAGATAGTAGAACGTACCTGCGAAAACGGAAGGTCACCTTTTCCCCCGTAGGAGGTTAACATAAGGTTAATTATGCCTGCTCCAGCACTCTGTCCAATTACCGTAATCCTCTCTGGGTCACCCCCAAACTTCGATATGTGTTCCTTTGTCCATTGTACCGCTGCAAGGCTATCATGAAGTCCAATATTGGCGGTCATATCTTCTTCAGGGCTAGACATCCATCCGTAAAGGCCGAGACTGCGAATGCGGTTAAGAAAAACATCACCTTCCCAAAGTTATTATGGGGAAACTAACCGGTAGTTGCTTGTAACAAAAACGAACTTTTCACCATCTCGACGCAGGCTATCAAACAAACCTTCCGGGTCCACAGTAATTCCTATTGTATCTTTACTTCCAAATGCATACCCACTTCCATGAATCCAGTGAAGGACAGGGACACGGTCACCTTCCTTAACACCTTCTGGGACTTGTACATTCAAGAACAGGCAATCTTCCTGACCCCAGGTAGTACCGTTTAGACCTGGGAATGGAACTTCAGGGAAGGCACTGCTAACGCAGTCTGTAGATGGATATTGAGTGCCGTCTTGTATGCCGTCAGCCTGTGGTGGGGGTGTCTTTGGCTTGCGAAATCGAAGGTCGCCTACTGGAGGCTGGGCATAGCGGATATTGTTATATTTTGCAACTGCAAGTCCAAAAGAAGTAATGTTGATATATGTTGGCATGTGGATTGCATACCCCAAATTGACTGGGGGGAATGCTTCGGCTGATAGGGGAGGAGTATCGCCAAGAGCTGGGAAGGAAAACAGGGCCAGAAGGCTGATGGTCAATAGGAACATCATGTACTTTTTAAATATGTAGATAATAAGGTATCAGTGGAAGACGGTGTTGGTTGGGTATCATATCATGAACCATCCGCAGGGACCGCTCAGCCTATTTAACCTGCACCATGTGAAGGATTAGAACGAAAGGTAGCTTAATAGCTAGATCAAGCAAGGCCTTTCGCAAGGCCTTTCGCTAAGCCACCAAACTGTGGAAAAGAGAGAAATCATTTGGCCTTTCAACCTAAGAGCGGAAGCCGATCGTTTCCACATAAGAGCCGGTTGAGGGGGCTGTTCCAGACGTGTGAAAAGCCATTACCTCGTTAAGGGAGGGCCTTCAATGCGAAAATGTGCCTCTTTAGGGGATATCTCGTATATCCCCCATGAATAACTTTATCAAGCCAAGTTATTCTTGCATTAGCTCCCGCTGGAAGATATGAAAGGCTTGTTGCCGATCAAAACTCTTTAAGTTCTTGGTGGAACTCTGGTGCAGTGTGCAAATAATGCTTGAAAAAAGTGGATGAACGGCGTGATATATTTCTTTCTTCATTTATCATAGACCATCTGAGTCATAAGCATAGCTAAAAACATAACACATATCAGAATCAGGCTATTTTATGCTCGAATAAAACACTCAAGGGCGCTGACGGGTAAAAGAAAACCAAAATCCGCAGAGGACATCGTAGAGCAAAGCGTCCAGAAAGCCAGGGAAATAACCAAACTCCCCAGGAAAAAATAGGAAAAGCACCTTACACCCGAGGGAAATAAGATAGAAAGACGGTGATATCGAACCGATCACTCTGATGGGTCTTCCTCCGGCTCAACACGAACCAGGACTTCTTCTAAAAAGCCCTCAAGGAAGGCATTGATGTCTCCGCCCATGCCCAGTGGTGCTTCGTTATCCCATCGTTCGATCTCCTTGAAGATACCTGCTGCTTTTATGACCAGCCTCTTGAGTTTTTCGTGGGCGTATACCTGGCGCTGTACTTGCTCCGTAGATGGTCGCTTGCTGGCCGGGGTACCTGGTTGGACTCGACACAACGAATTGAGGGCATAGGTACGGCGATGGAGAGCAGCTTCTAGAGCAGGCAGTATAACTCCATTTAGCGCGGTAATGGGCTCGTTGGAATTGGATTGTTCCTGAGAAGAGAAATGGACGATTGAGTTGGAAGAGACTGAGTCTAGGGAATCGCGCGGGCTTTGAATAGTAGGGCTACGTTCCGGGGTTGACGGGATTGGTGGTTGCGGACGGGTAGAGGGAAGTGGAAGTTGGTGTTGCTGGTATGATGAAGGAGTAGATGAAGGATGGGCCGACAGAGGGGGTAGGTGGTAATGTCCTGGAGGTTTGGAAGTTTGAGGCGTGGGCGACCTTGAAGCTCCCTTAAACGGTGGTATTTCGGGTAATTGCATCGGAGCTGGCTTCCTCTGTATTTGTTCTGCGACCTGTGGCTTTGGGAGGGGCTGTGTAGGCGTACTGTTGGGAGATTCGGCCAGCTTCAGGAAATTAAGATCCTGAGCCAGTGACCGTTGAAGGGCTCGATCGTAGTCATGCGTACTTGGGCTTTCCTCCTCTTGCGGCGGTAAGGAAGGTTGGGTTTTCCCGAGAGCTACAGGTGTCTTTAATTGATCATGGTAAGACGACTGTCTCGGAGATTGTGTCTGAGGAAGCTGAGGCGTTGGCAAAGGTGCCCGTGAGAGGTGACTGTTTGGAGTTGCTGGCGGTGTTTCTGAAGGAAAATTTCGTCTCTGTGGTGATGGGGGACTCTTGACCGTTTCTTTCGACATTTTTCGAGGTACTTTTTCCTGGGAAGTGGGAAGACAGCTGCTGTTTGACTGAGTTCTATTGTGCAGGTTGGGAACTTGTGCTCTTGCATTTGCCGCAGCCTCATTCATGGCACGCAATCCAGCAGCTCTATTTCCTCCAGCAGGGCGTACAGTCCCGAAATCCCACAGGTCATCTTCTGCTCTAGCCATGGCAGGCTGATGTTTCTCCTGCTGATGATACACATCATCCTCTTCATCATCTGGTAATCGGTTCCCATTCTTTGCGAACCAGCGTTCATACCGCTCTATAAGCTCGGTCAAGTATGTTGTCTTTTTTGCTCGTTTCACGAACTGATGTCTAAGCAATTCCTTTGCACTCGGCCGTTCTCTTGGGTCACGCCGTAAACATAGATCGACAAATTCCTTGAATGATTTGCTGAAAGGACCTTGGAGAGTGGGCGGGGCATTCTTTGGAATCAGAAACAGGACCTTCATGGGGTGGATATCCGAAAGCGGTGGCTCTCCCATGGCTAGTTCAATTGCTGTAATACCCAATGACCAGATGTCAGCTTTGTGGTCGTACCCTGACTGTTTGATGACCTCCGGGGCCATCCAAAAGGGAGTTCCAACAAAGGTGTTTTTCTTGGTCATTGTAGCGGACAATTGTCCAGAGACACCAAAGTCAGCCAGCTTGACCTGTCCACTGGCTGTAAGTAATACATTTGCCGCTATAAACTGGAGTTAGCAAGGAGGCAGTTTATTTATGTGAAGCTTTGCAGACGTACCTTTGACATCACGGTGTAATTTGTTGTCGTTATGCAAGTAATCGAGCCCCAGAAGCAGTTCCCTAAGGATAATCATGATATATTCCTCTGATATGCGCCCTGCACGCATCAAATCCGAACAGCTTCCTCCCGAACAAAACTCCATTATGATCCAAAGATCGGACCCTTTTAAAAACGAGCCATGGTACTTCGTGACATGGGGAGAATTGAGCTCCGACAGGATCGAGATCTCCTGTATGATATCCTCAACTTCGTCGTCTGCATTTTCGACGTCAATAATCTTGATCGCGACTGATTGACCGGTTCTTTTATCGACTCTGAGAGAGTGCAAAATCGAGTCAGTAATTATCCTCAATATCGCAACGGGCGTGTGCACATGGAACCGTACCCCTTGTAGACCCTCCCAAAGCTTCCTCCGCCTATTGAAAAGAATGGCGTGTTAGATGGCTGTCTCTGCAAACTGATTCTGGTGTCTGGGAGAGGAGAGAATATACCGATGCAGTTCTGCTTTGTGTAAAGTGTTTCAGGGTCGAGGGCGCCCTCCATCATGGAAGCCGCTCACTCCAGACTGCGAGAAGATATAGTAGAACTGCCAATAGCTGTCACAGCAGCGTGCATGGAAATGTATTCTGCCTCTCTTGCTTCTTTTCCTTTTTTTTCCTTCCTTTTTATCGTCCCGGATTCTTCGAGTAGTCTTTTGGCTGTTATCCTATCGTGCAGCGCGGGTGGAGTGTGGGGGGCGGCACCACCAAAACAACGCCAAACCGGTAGAAAGGACGGCGATGGCGGCTCGTGAAAAAGCTAGAGGGCGACGTGTAGGCCGCCTAGAAGGTCAATTCTCTGCGCGAGCTAGGGCAAAGGGGGGTGAATCCTGGTGTGTTTGGCTGAACGGCGGCGTTGGTTGTTTTGTTGTTGTTGTTTTTCCTCGAAGCCGCATCTTTTCGCGGGAACAAGCGCTGCTCGCTGCTCGGCCCAGCAACAAGACGGGCCAATCAGTCTGCAGCGCCAGGATGTAGCAGTCAGAAGAGCCGCCGTACATAGATGCTATGGAGTCGACAAGTGTATAGACGTGGGCGTAGATGGAGGTGTAGATAAAGAGAGATGATGCTGGTATTTGAAGCTGACGTTGATAGACTGACGTTGAGATAAGAATAAGCAGCAGTCGTCTGTCTGATACTAGATAACAACACCATAAGCAGGCAGATAACTAGCTAACGGTTAGAAAACCATCTCCCCCCCCCATAAATAGCCAGCTGTTTGGCCTTTGATAGCTCCTTTTTTATCCCTTCTGGCAATTCTGATAATGCATATGTCTGTCGTAATTCATACAGGAACATCTCATCCCACATCTCTTAATTAGCCATCTCGCAGAGCTATCTCTTTTAAGTCGTATTTCTGAGGACATCAACATAGGACCAGTTTACAGCTCACTCCACTGACTAGCAACTACCAGGCGGCGTCCGAGGTTGCCAGCATGCCTAGCAAACTGATACGCCTCTCTCTCAATGCCTTTGACCGTGTTCCAGTTCGGATATAGGCTGATGAAGCCGCCGTTGCCCAGCTCGTAGGCGACAGCCAGGACAAAGGTACGGCAGGTGACGGCTCCCATGGTGGTTCTGGGGATATTGACAGCAGTTATACACTCTTGAATGGCCGTGATCCATTGCGGAGAGACTTCAGGCACGTCCCCAACCCTCAGCAAGAGGATAACGGCCTGGTCCGCGGGTATGTTTTTGTTCTCTTCGATCTGCAGCTCCCACTGGCTGCCATCAAAGACACGGTGGTAGAGAATGCCTTCCTTTTGGCTGCGGGCAATAATGATACCCCAGTGAAACTTCTCACTCATGTCTTTGGGCTCTGAGACCACAACATAGACACTTCTAGGGTGCATAGAGAACATCTCAGCACCGACGGCATCTTCTGCGTCACCGGTTCCACCTGCTTCAGTTGACTTTGGCTCTGGTGCTGCATCAGGAGCTGGAGATTCGCTTTTTGCCTGAGTAATTGGGACTGGCATTGGAACCGGCCCTGAGAGCTCCGATGCCTGGATGCTGGTGGAAGATGCTGTCCTGCTCATGACTAGGTCTTTGTCTCCAGGCATGGATACTGCTGAGCAGGTATATAAAGAAGGGTATCTTGATGAAGGATTGTTTCACAGGAGCTTGTCTCTGCCTGTCAATGAGAAAGACGCGCCCTAGACGCCAGTTAGCATATTCAGCTGAAACGCGCGATAAAGGGACTAATAACCCTTAACACACAATGGCCCGGGCCTTTACTCACCCTTTAATAACGCTATGACCCTTTAGCAGCTTCAGTAACAGAAGTATGTCGCGTTGAGTGGTGAGATGTCAGAAGAGAGGTGGAAGAGAGGAGGGGAAAAGGTGCAAGTAGGGAGAAAAAGGAGAGTCTCCAATATTTACCTACCACAGATAACAAGGCAAGCTCGAAGACCCAACACTCACATAGCCAGCTTCCCATTTGCATTTGCATCACTGACGGAATCAGGCTTTAACTAGAATGAATGTCTTTATTGCTTCCTTTTTATCTACCTACGAATATCATAACGCTTCAATGGGAGCAAAGGATCTTAAGAGAGAGAGAGAGTATAAAAAGCAGCCCTTCCGTACATATTATCATCAACCCATCAGATATAGTAAAGGTCATCCCATAGATAGGAAAGAAAAGCCCATAAGTTGAATTGGACCGCCTGAGAATACATCTCCAGATGATATTCGCAAGTCAGAGAGGATTTTAAGGTGTGAGGTATAGTGTTCAGCCGTGGTATCATCATATGCATATCATGTTGCATCAGAAAAGAACAATAAGGGACAAAAAGAGGATATCCTATCTAGTCTTCGATAAAGCCAACCATGACTGTTCCATTTTTTAGACCGGCCTCTTCGATGGTCTTGTCAAGCAGGGATATCAGGTTCTGGCCCATGGATACCAGTTCAAACTCCACACCCTGCTTATTTTCCAGCGGTGACGCCTTGAGCCATTCGTACAGTCGCTGAACGGGGTCAGACAGTGCAAAGCGCCGGATTACGCGACCTGACGAATGGCGGAACTGGATTCTAGTAGTGGTTGCTGGATCTGCGGCTGGTTCAGTATGTGGCTTGTCAGAGGGTATCTTGAAGAAAGGCGAATCTGCGGCGGATGGTTCTTCGTCTTCTTGTCCATTAGAAATGTCCACATCTCCACTCTCGCCAGAAGTATCGACGGCTTTGCCTTTACCCTTGATATCCCCAATGCTCCGGGTTAGGTCATCTGGGTCTTCCGCTTTGGTTGGTTGTTGGCCCACAAGGCTATTTTTCAACGCCATGTCTAGCATCTCTTCCTCGGTCATTGAGTCTATCTTTGACTGAGGAGTGACTTCTGGCTTCCGCTTGGCGACGGGGTTGCGGACATTATGGTCAAGACTGTATCTATCAAGGAACTCGTGTAGCTGCATCAAAAAGTCGGGAGCCTTGACAACCGGTGGACCGGTCCAAGTTTTCACTTGCTCACCGGTCCTTGGATCGATGATTGCAATGTGCGGGTAATTGTCTGATACGTCGTGGCCTGGGAAATAGTACTGGATATACTGGGCCCCGCGGGGATCATCCTTGGAGTATTGCATAAACAGGAAATGCGCTCGTATCGTCTCCTTAACACCCTCGTTCTTCCATAGATCTCGATTTAATAGTTGACAATCAAAAATGGACGAGTCTTGGATATTGACCAACAGCCACTTCATCTTTTCCCGGCCCTCATCTCGTGCAAGGTCCCAGGGTAGGCGGGACATGATTTCAAAGGGAGGCCGGTACATCTCAGCCAGCATGTTAGCCTTAGATGAGGTCTCAGAAGCTCCTCCAGTTGCGCGTGCGAGGACGTCTGAGCTCGACGGATCCGCAGCTTCGGTCCAGATAGAGCGGTCGACTTCTCGCTGATTGAAGATTCCAGGTCGAGCTGCCGTTCCAGGCGTTAGTCCACAGGCACAGACGAGAAACACTAACAGTTAAGAGATAAAGACCTACCTCTACGAGCAGCTCTTGACTGCAGATGGTCCATTATATCTGGCTGGAATCCATCATCTAGATCCGGACCCACGAGCGTTTCCGTCCTTCTCTCCATCGGTGCCCGGACATTGTCTGTTGGATCACCACCAGTATAAAATTCTTGCTGTAGCCTTCTCGCCATCTCTAAATCTGCATCAAAAGTGTCACCGGCTGGCCGGGAAGCTCCATCTTGGCCCACAGAAACACCTCCATTATCGTCATCATCCGAGTCCAGGTGCACCACTCCATCCTCATCTTCGTAGCCGGCTGTTCGTCGAGGCCTTGTCGATGGCTGTGGTACGGATGGGGCAGCAGCAGGTTCAATAGGATTACCTCCGTTCTCAAAATAAAGCTGCATGGCGCTCTCAATATTACTGTCTGTCAGCTGTAGGTACTGGGCAGCGATCTCTGGAGATGCTCCCGTAATCTCTACAAACTGGGCCACAATCGTGTCGGCCATAGTGACGTAGGTGGCCCGTTACGGGCAGGGCGCAGGTAAGGTATAGATGGGATAATGTAGAACAAAATGGCTGAGCTCCGTATATCAACTTCGTTAAAAGGGTGCTCGTAGGTAGATCGGTAGGTCTATGCGTGGGGTAATATAGCGGTCCGAGGATGCGGAATTCGTTCTCGAGGTTGGAGACGTAACGTATCTGCCTGTCGGAAGTAGGCCTGAGAGTCTCTAGATGTAATTTATGCCCACGAGAAAGGACCACCAGGCATCAGCTTGTTTGCGTGTTTAACTTCACTTCCGGTGGTGAGTTTGAACGGCCTAAGAAAAGAAACACAAGCTTAAAAGGGAAGAAGCGCGCCAAGCCCGGGAACGTCAACGGACCGCGCTTAAGATATTCCGTCCCGGTGGCACCAAGGTAGATTAGTCATCTCTTTGCCAAGCCGAGGCATAAAGTTGTGCAAAAAGCTGCGTCTCTGGTCTCTCCCGTCAGCCGTTAAAACGCGGGATTTCCTGATTCGGTTCGGAACGGAAGAACATTTATCTGTCGGCCTCGGACGCGACTTTCCCTCTTTGGGCGCGTGCCTGCCAAGACCAGTCTCGGCTTACCTTCTCTCTTCGTCGCCCTCGCGTCGCGTTCCTGGGACGCGGCTCTTGCCACCTTAAGGCCCTGACGCGCTCGCGCTTCCCGCAACCGCGTCCCAGAAAAAAGGTACTTGTGCAGGTACCTCTGCTGACACTCCACCAGTACTTCTTCATCACCACACTCTCTCTTGCTGCTTTGCCAATACAGCAACCAGACCTCTCGTCCACGCACCTTTGACTTCCTTCACCACACTCGCACCTAGCTTAGCCATGGCTTCTACTGTTCTAGGGAAGCGACAGAGACCTACTCTCGAGTCTTCAGGTAATTGCAGCCCGATTTCGATCTCAAGACGCTTCTTCCCCCAGATCTAACATATTTTCTACTGTAGATGCACCTTCTTTACGATCACCAAGTAAACGGTTGGCAAGGGCAAGCAAGAAGATCTATACAGACGAGGAGGACCCCTTTATAACGTCGACAAGCCAAAAACGCTCCAGCTCCCAGTCGTCCATCACCCGCAAGCGCCCCAGTGATGCAAACACTCCAAGCCGTAACGTACGAACGAAACGTATTGACAATGACAAGACAACCAGCAGCACATCAGCTCACGACGAAAATGGTAGGCTTACTTCTTTCCATCATCCTACTGATTCTTGTAGAAGCGCCAGGCTAATTTTTTGCAAAGATGAAAATGTCCAACCTGTCGAGTTTAGCACTCCAACAACACAAAGATATAAAAATGTTTTCCTTCCAGTTACTCCAAAGCACCGAGTACTGGTTGGTGTGAAGCCCTTGACTCCTCGAACTCCACGAACTCCATCCACACCAAAGACCACTCGTTCCGTTTTCACAGCTGCAAAACAACTTTTCACCCGAAGTGCAAACCCAGGCCAGCTGGTTGGACGAGAAAATGAGGCAATGGAGATGAAAAGCTTTATTCAACGGTCGGTAGACTCGAGAAAAGGCGGATGCATCTACGTGAGCGGACCACCTGGTACAGGGAAAACAGCTCTCATCGACGAAGTCTCACGAGAACTCGAGAAGTGCCCCGAGGAAATCAAGCTTGCCAATGTCAATTGTGCCAGCCTGACGTCTGCACGAGATATTTACGGCAATCTTATCGAAGACTTGTCTGAGAATACCAGCGTATTCAAAAAGAGCGAGGCGGAGCGCCTTGAGGCAATGTTCATCTCTAAGAAGGCAACTGGTCCTCTCTACTTTGTCATTCTGGATGAAATCGATCATCTCCTCTCTGGAGATATCGAGATCCTATACAAGCTCTTCGAGTGGTCCTTGCACAAGTCCTCGCGCCTTATCCTGATTGGAATTGCGAATGCACTTGACTTGACAGATCGACTCCTACCTCGCCTTAAAGCAAAGAATTTGAAACCTCATCTACTTCCATTCCTTCCATATACCCCAGCGCAAATTACTGATATTATCACTACCCGCCTTCGCTCTTTACTACCCAAGGAAGGCCAGAACGCTGCAAGCCAGATTCCTTTCCTCCACCCAGCTGCCATTCAGCTCTGTTCTCGAAAAGTTGCCTCACAGTCCGGTGACTTGAGGAAGGCCTTCGATCTTGTCTACCGAACCATCTCTCTTCTAGAACGTGAGACTCAACAAAAGGCGGCTACTGCTTCTACCACCAGCCCCTCCAAGCTGCCTTTGCTTGAGAATAAGAATCTTGCATCAACCTCTCTATCCACTCCCCCCACCACAGAATACACTGCTGCCACTGCACCACGTGCAACTGTGGCTCACGTTGCTCGTGTCACATCTACTACTTTCGGTAACGGCACAACCGAAAGACTACAGGACCTGAACTTGCAACAAAAAGCCGCCCTTTGTGCCTTGATTTCCTTTGGCAAGAAACAACAAACTGCCAATGTTGTTTATAGAACTCCCTCAAAATCGCCACGATCTACCGCCCCAACCAGCCGAGAACTTTTCGAGACGTACGCTGGGCTTTGTCGGCGCGATAACGTTCTTCAGCCACTCACCGCCACTGAGTTCAGAGATGTTATCAGCAGCCTCGAAACCATGGGCTTAGTTGGAGAAGTTGACGCTCGTAGCCGTGGAGCCGGTTCTCCCGCTACAGGAGCATCTGGCCTCTTCTCTACCCCATCGAAGTCTGGTCGTGGAAGAGCAGCCGCAATTAAAAACATGGCTCGGACTGACGATAGTGGCCTCGTGTGTCTCGTCGGAGAAAAAGAGGTGCAAAGTCAAATCTCTGGGCCTGGTGAGGGTATTCTCAAAGCGCTGCTGGCCACCGATGAGTATTAAATAAGTTTAATCATTACTAATGTATAATTATCAACGTCATGTTTATTTTATGGCGATGAGCGGGTTAATATTTCTCTAGCATTGGTGTTTTGTGGGAGTCGGTCGTTTATTTTTCTGTTTCTTTCTGTTCATCTTCAATCCTGTATTGTTAGTTAGCGTCGGTCTGTGGACTATGCAATGTGTAAATCAAAAAGTTTCTTTTTAAAACACATTCCATAATAATCTTCTAAGCCATTCCGATATATTCGCTCTTTTAGGTAATTCTGTCGTATCCTCTATAGATACGCGTATGAGTAGGCGCTAGAGAGAAAATGGTCTTGGAGGCTGTGTTTTCAAGAGCGTATCACGTGATGTAATTAAAGTTAAGCTCCCGCGAAATATCCCGTTTAGGAAGTTTCGCTGGCCAAGGCCTTGGAATAAGCTTCCGCGGCCCCAGTTTTATCCGCGGCTCTGAGCAAAGTTGTGTCCAGCATCTATTCAAGTATCCATCATCGGTTTCTTGGATTCAGCTATGTGTGTTGAGGCGCAGACCGATGAGACCGATTTCAGGGGGTCCGCAAGGGGAGAGACTGAGAAACAAGATGCACTTAGATAGTATATAAATTGACCCTTATGGCCAGCCATGTCTGATTAATTCAATTCATAAACAATCTACACGACAAGAGCCAAACCGTCCTCCTACTCCAGAATACGCAGGTTAAAGAAATACAGAGACCGTCATCATGTCATCAAAAGAGGACATAATCAGAGAGCTATATCACTACCTCCCCAACAAGCCTGCCGCTATCATATTTGCAATTCTATATATTGCATCGTCCTTTCTCCACGAGTATCAATACAAGTAAGTCCGCGACCAGTCTCTTTAGCTACCCTTCCATCTCAACTACGGCACAGGAGTAGTACTAACTTGGCTATCTACAGTGCCACCCGACCACAAAAATTCACCATGCCATTTGTCCTCGGCACAACATTCTCGAGCGTTGGCTTTGTCACTCGATCGTTAAGCGCCCTTAAGATTGGAGACCCACGCACATTATGGAGAATATCCACCATGTTCACTCTCGGTGCCGGCCCTACATACGCAGGCGCAGACTATTTCGTATGCGGTCGCATATTCAGTTACGTTCGATCCGCAGCACCGATATCTCCACTTCGAACGGTTAGAACCTTCATTTTCTTTGACGTCCTGGCAGAAATTGGAGTCTGGGTCGGAACGGGTATCATGGATAGCAGAGACCCCAATAGTGTAAAGGCAAAGTTGGGCGTCAATCTTGTACGGGCAGCCGTCATTATTCAACTAGCATTATTCATGTGCTTCGTTGCTGTTATACTGCTGTTTCAGATACGGGCCACCAGTCGAGGATTTTGGAAGGCTAGCCACCAGCAAGTCGGGGGTATTCCTGGGTGGGTTAAGGTCACATACACTTTGTATGCGTCTTCCTTGTTGATTGCTGCAAGGTCTGGGTATCATATTGCCGGTAAGCTCACTTCACTATGCTTAAAATTGTGTTTCCACGCATTCTAACAAAAATTTTAAGAGAGTTTTCTTCCTATCGACCACCCGCTGAGAGCCACAGAAGCACCATTTCTGTGCTTGGAAGCTCTTGTGATGTTCATCAATGCAGCTATGTTCAACGTGATTCATCCTGGAGTTCTCCTACCGAGTAATCCTCATGTTTATTTACTGGCAAACGGTACGGAAGCAGAGGACGATAGCCCAGAAGGTACTCTAGAGGACACTCGGTCCCTAAAGATGAAGATTCTTGATCCCTTGGATATCAGAGGCCTGTTTAGCAAAAAGCAGTCACTAAAGCCTTACCAGCAAAGAGCTTTGGTCGAAGATGATGAGATGATGTCTGAAAGTATGAGAATGCTGGAAAATAGGCAGCGCAGGGAGTTTCATTAGGGAATAGTTGCTGTTGAATTGATTTTGGCGTTCGTCTCTGGGTATTTGGCATCTTCCAACAGACATAGATAGGGTTATATATATGATATTAAGTGGTCTTTATATATTTGATGTTGAACAAACTCGGCAAACCTAACCTTATAAGTTTTTATAATGAAACGGCGGCGTTTGTCTATAGAGGTTAGATAACAGAATCTATTCCGTTAATTCCAGGGTATCGTACACAATTACCGGAAGATCTGCCTCCAAGGCGCAATATCAACGACTAGAATAGGCTCATTAGGGCAAGTGAGAGAGTGTGGGAAGTTAGCACAATGTGGAAATCTTAAGAGACATCGTACAAAAAAACACATATCTAAGGCTAAAATAAATGATTGAGGTTGAAAAGTAGAATGTTGAAAAATTGGCTTGGGATATCGTTAAATCGGTGCTCTTGGCATAATATCATGACAAAAACAGAAGATAAGGAACATAACAAGAGAACAGAGAAAGGGGGCAGGTGGTGGTGTCCGTGAGTAGTACAAGATCTGACTAAACCTAATCATCAATTGGCTTGTCCTCTAGTGTAACACCCACAGGTTTTGGAGGAACATCCGATCCAGCGTTATCTGCTTCATCTCGCTTTATGCCGGTGATATGGCTGTATCGGCTAGAGCGAGAGAGGGAGCCTGTTTTCTTAACTTCATTAGTGACAGAGGATGGCACTGCGGAGGCGGGGCTTGTAACTGTGGCGGATGGCGGCGTTGGTACCCGATCGGTAGATGGAACATCGGCAGAAGTGCTTGTGTCTTCAGCTGCCGCGGAAGTGTCCTCGCTTGAGCCATTGGTATGGTTGTTCGTAGTATCTATCGGAGCTGGTGCTGGATCAGGAACCTCAAGGGATTGGCGGACTGGTTTGCGTTCAGAGGTAGTAGTGGCCCCAGAAACACTGACTGGGAATCTAGTGCTTCCGGAGCTTCCAACGGATCGGTCCCTGCGATGGCGAGGGGATGGAGCTGGACTCGTGGCTCTAGCCCTGCTAGCAATAGCACGGTTCCTTTCTTCCATGTTTGCTCGTCGATTGCTTTCATCAGTACTGATGGCACGAGGTCTCGCGGCAGCGCTACTCGACTTGCTAGATAGACGTCTAAGCTCCCCAAATATCTGTTTCTGGTTCACAATCAGGTCGCGGACAAGACGATGGCTGTGTTTTTCATCCATAGACAAGTGATTTTGAACGCGCGGGCGGAGGATACATGGGGCCAGTGTCGATGCGAGAGCGGAAATGTAGATCTCCTCACGAGTAGAAAACTGGTCTTGCTCAGGAATGGTAAGATCGACAAGTCGCCAGAAGTGAGTGGTGATGGCGTCTAGAGTAGCAATATAGGGGAGAGGGAGTTGACCCAGTGTGCTTTGAAGTACTCTGATACGATTTTCATCAGAGGTATCGCGTGTCGTAGTGTAGATTGTGCGGAAAATTTCGTACAACTTAGATGAAACGATTGAATCTAGGAACTTGTTAGCAAGGAGTTTGCCTGCAACATGCGCAGTATATTTTACCTGGGAGTTCCAAGAGGTAGAGCCTCAAGACGCTCGCAACAACGGGCATTTCAAATTCTTGCAACTTTTCATCAATAGCTTCGACCTCATCGTCAACCTTCGCCACTGGTCCTGAGCGACCTCTATTAAGTTTAGCACGTAGTTTATGAGTTTCGACCAGGGGAACGTCTCGGAGCCAGATTGCTCGTCGAGCATCGTCTCCTTCTAGGTCAAGGTAATCTAATAACACTTAGCAGATAGTCCCAGTTTGAATGAATATATTGGGGACGACCGGTACTTACGTCTATCGAGGTATGTCAAGATACCGGTAACCAGGACCGGAACTCGCTTTTTGCCCTCTGCCGCAGTCAACGTTTCTAAATCAACGCCAAAAGTTTGTTCTGCCAAAAATCATTGAGTTAGTTTCATGGGATTTCCAAGTGAAGAAATACAATAGAGGAAGCTCACCCTCTGTAGATTTTGAACCGCTTTCGTAAACGGCCACTTTTGGACAAAACGACCCAGTACGGTAGTTCTCCAGCATATAGCGAAGGTCGCCTTGTGGCTGCATCGCCTCATGATGAAGGACGATTCTATCCATAGTACTCTGTAGAGATGGAATGACATTGCTGATCGTACTCGAAAAGTCGATAACGACTGTTTTGATACCTTCAAGGCGGTGTAGTTCACACTGTTGCATAAATTTCATAGTGTGGAACATTTCCTCTTCGAGTTTACAACGGATAGCATCTAGGTGTCTGACAGCATGTTTGTAACGTTCGTTGGCCTCATCTGCCTGGCGTTTGAGTATTTCCATGGGAGTCTCGTCAGTAAGCTGGTTTCGGAGCGGGTTCCAAGCAGCAAAACGCTCCGTCAAGGTAGGCGAGTCAACTGGGGTATCATCGCTTCCTGTCCCGGTGCTGGTGCGGCTCAGTGTGGTCCCGGAGCGGGTGAGTGGCTTCTTCTTCTCAGGTACTCCGGTCATCTGGAAAACACGCTTGTCCCACTGGTACGTAGACCTAGAACTACCGGTAAATGTGGTATTAATGAGCGGGTTGGGTCCCATAGCACCGATCGAAGTAATAAAACCATTATCGGCCATATCCTGGCCAATTCGTTCAGCGTAGCTAAGGGAGGAGGCACCTAGGTGTTTCTGCAGGTATTCAACGATGTCCGATCCAAGCGACGTATTTAGATATGTCCCAAGTAAGCGAACCTTCACCTCTCCCATTGGTATAGTTTCTAGCATGTGCTTCAGCACCTGCTTCAACTGCTCTGGCGAGTAAACAAGGTCGCCCAATTCTACCGGCTCCGGGTCTTCATCGAGTGGATCAGGCAGGACGATGGTGGGCGCTTTCAGTGCCTGTTTATGCTTCGGGCTGGCAGTGGCACTTTCGGGTTCCTGGAAGGCGAAAAGCTCCTGTTGTTCCCGGTCGTGTATCTGGCGACACTTGCTGAGATATTTCTCATTCAAACTGCTCACTTCGTCACATTGTTTGGCGTATTCCCTCAGTCGTGAATTGAGCGCCTTTTCGCAGGTAACCACTCGGGCTTCATGCTCGCCTGCCCAGCGACTGAATTCTTGGATGACGAGCTGCTGAATGCTGCTTGAAATTTTCTGGTGAATGGCTTGTTCCTCAACCATCTGCTTCCGCATACATTCAAACGCCTGTCAAATGTTAGATAAAAGGTTTAGTCAACGTTTACCATGCCGGGAACAAACCTTGCGGACACTGGCGCCATCATCACGATCGAAACCACCGGTCTTGCGATCAATAGCTGGAACAATCGCACCTAGCTGTGCGGCGTATACACGCTCTGCTTCGGCACGCATCTGAGCCATCGTGAGAATCTGCTGGTTCTCTACGATGCCCTGGTGGAGTTTTGTGAACAGAGTATGAATCCCAGAGGCATAGTCGGGCGTCCAGAAGGAGTCCGCGAACCCCGGTACCGCCACGGCAGTGTTCATGACTGCGGGATAAGGAAAGGAGCGTCGACTTTATCGGGGCCCGACGAAGCGCTGTGTGAATGTCCGGTTCGCTGGAATATCTTGCTCGGCCGTTGGCGCGTGAGCTGGGGGGAAGAAGTTGGAAGCAGGGGGAAGAGCGCCCGAAATGCGTCAGGAACAGAGTCAGAGAGCAGATCCAGCTAGCCCAAAAAACAAGGAATGAAATGACAGGAAGTAAAATGACACGAACGAGAGACGGAGCCGTCGACGAAGCAAAAGGTGAAGGAAGAGAAAGCTGAAGGATCTGGTGAAGTCGAAATCGGTCGAAGCTCTTGAGGCAGACGAAGGCAAAGGAGGCTTGTATCTTACGTAGGTGCTTAGATAAGCGTCACGTGATTTATCAAATGGGCTGACTAATGGTAAATTCAGCCCGATAAGGCTTAGTGCGTCGAAAAGTTTTTCCGTTGTTTCTCCGCCGGTTTTTCCGAGACGGCTAGGTTTCCTTTTTTAGAAACACGGAGCTTATAAATAGAAATTTGTGGCTTATATTGGGCGCTTGTCAATTAATTAACGACGGCTTAACACAACAGCAGCTGGGCTGGTTCAGCTGGTAGCCAGACAGTTTCCGCGCCCCTTGATCCAGGCCCAGGATTGAAACAAGATTTCACGTTGGTCTCACACAGAAAAGGGGCAAACTCTAGCGGCAAACGCTCTACGCAGTAAAAGCTTCTGTTTCGAAACTGCCTCGAACTTGAGATACCCTGTAGAGGGCCAGGGATAGGGACTTATCATGTTGGAAAAAGGCATCTCCAGAGGATCAATGCTGAATGCAAGATACGCCATCTCCCTCTTGAGCCGGACTCGGAGGCCATGCGAGAAATCGCAGCTCTTTTTGGCATGCACAGCACCTCGACTGTTCCATTCCAACGCTGTTGGCGATACTTTCCAGGGGGCATTGCTTGGGAAGATATCTCCAGCATGTAAGGCTCTGTCGCTATACTTCAACCGGTATACACTGATAACACCATACAGCAATTTTTCCTTACACCGCTGGCTGGTGGCTGCACCTTGACAAAGAACAGCGCGCTGCGCGGTACATTGAGTTTGATTTTGATCGCTTGTGTGAAAAGGTTCTTTCACTCTGCCCTTCTGCTACCTCTATTAAAAACTTTCAGAAGATAGAGGGCGGGTTTAGCAAAGTATTCATTATCGAAACCAATAATGACAAGAATGTTGTTGTCAAGCTTCCTACTTCTACTGCTGGATCAGCAAGGCATATCACGAATTCTGAAGTTGCTACTATGACATACTGTAAGGGATAAAGTAGCATATTCTACTCAATATCCTAGTACTAATAGATATGGGTAGTGAAATGCAATACGCAAATTCCAATTCCAAATATTCTAGATTGGAATGATGACCCGGCCAATCCTATAGGGAGTGCATATATTATAATGGAACATGCCGGTGGTGTTCTACTCCAAAAAGCATGGATAGATATGCCGGTAGACAAAAAAATAAAGTGTACTGGATCAATCTGTACAAGCATTTTTCCAATAACGAAACTTGACTTTCCAGCCTATGGCAGCCTTTATTTTTCTGATTCACCTTTCCTGGACGCTGGCTCAAAGCAGAAGTTAGATGCTGACCATCGATATTGTATTGGGCCGCATTGCAGAAGCAGCACCTACCGGGACTACAATGTTGGTGAGTCAAGATACTACAGGTTTGAAAAGCCAAACAGAGGCCCATGTAAGTAAACCTTCCTCTTAATCTCATCATTCAGCCAGTTAACTATATGTTCCTAGGGGGTACTCTATCATCTTACGCGTCTGCTTTGGTCGACTCTGGGCTTGCTAGACTACCACCACCTCACCAACCTCTTCGCCTACAACAGCAAGCCACATACCAAGGTTCCATTGATAGACATGTGGAGCTTCTCAAGACGGCCCAAAATGTTTTCCCTCATCTCATCCAGCATCCGGATATTCAAGCTAGTGCATCACCCACCCTCTTCCACCCAGATCTTCACAAAAGAAATATTTTTGTCTCCCAGGATGATCCTACAATTGTGACTGGAATCATTGATTGGCAAGCAGCGAGTATTGAGCCAGCATTCTATTATGCAGATGAGGCACCTGATTTCGCCAAATTTCCCGCTGAAGGATTATCAGACTCTTCGGAAGAGTCTCTTTGCTATCAGTCATATGAGGTAGGATTAGCCCTACTAGCACCTCGCCTCGGCGCAACCAGGAAGATTGACGAGACCCTCCTCCGGCCATTTCGTTATTGTCATCGCACATGGCGGGACGGGTTTGTTCCATTTACTTATGAATTGATGAGGTTGAGAGACTCGTGGACAACGCTTGGTTTTCAGAATGACTGTCCTATTCCGGCCATGGGAGCAGAAGAGAAGAGCTTCTATAAAGAACAGCTTGATATATACGATGGAATGTTGGAGATTAGACGAGATATAATTGAAATATTGGGGGTCGAGGAAGACGGCTGGGTGCCTGCAGAGCGCTGGGAGGAGGTAAAGAAGGCACATTAAGTTTTGTACGAGGCTGCTATGGATCCACTAGAAAGTGATGGGGATCGCCAGGAGCTTCGAACAATGTGGCCGTTTGATCAATGCCAACCTCAAGATCAAAGTCACTCAAGGAAACATTAATACATAAGGACAATAACTGATGGCATGAATTATAGTTTTGTAATCTGTACGATAGTATTAGAGAATAAGAGCGTCATATCTCATGAAAATACAGTATATGTACAAAATGCATATCGTCTGGTAAATGACGGGGATCTCAATAGCCACATGACAAGAATAATCTGCCTCCAAACCAATTCATCATACACCCAAATAAAGCTCCAAAACACCAACCGCTAAATGAAATGAGAATTAACTATTTAATACCATGTGCTCCCAGAAATCAGCAGAAAATCTTATAAATTTTCTTCCAAGCCGGCCACTGCTCCCTATACTGTCTTTCCTCAGCGATCAAGTCACCAATATCCAGGTCCCGCCGGCCAGTCTTCAAATCCATATCTTTAGCCCTTACTATAGAGGTCCTAAACCATATCTTGTAAGGAATATAGAAAACTAGCACGATTGGAGCCGCAAGATAAACTGAGAACCAATTCTGCGTATGTCCCTTGGCAGACTTATCCTTCAAGTCAACAGGGAAAAGGCCAACCCAGAATTGGGCAATAAGAACTAGCATGTTGAAAACGAGGCCAACGTAAGAGCCTATCAAGCCGGGCTGAGAGCGAAAGGTAAGCTCATCTAGCGAATGGCCCTGTGCATGCCATCCCCGGCGGAACCGGATATGTGCTAGACAGATAGAAGACCAGGTCATGATAGCTGAAAGGCCAGAGATGGCAATCATCCAAGTAAATGCTTCATCACGGTGGCTGGATCCAGCCAAGAAAGATAGCATTCCTGCCACGAATGCAACTCCAACTGCAAAAATGGGCCTTCCTCGGCGGTCGATATATGCCAGGAAACGGGGTGCTTGGTTTTGTTCTGCAAGCGCTGCCAAGGTACGTGAGGACCCGTATATTGCTGAGTTCCCAACGCTGAGAACTGAGATCATAATAACTGCATTCATCACTGAGTCCAAGCCAGTAATTCCAGCATTTCTAATGGATATGACAAACGGAGAGGCCTTGGATTGCGTGGAAGTTGCATCTGACCCGGGTCTCAGAAGGTGTTGATCGGTATATGGAACGAGAAGGCCAACCATTGTCAAAGCTATAATGTAGAAGAGCGCAATCCGCCAAAAGACCTGTTTTACAGCCGTAGGGAGGGATTTTCGCGGATTAGTAGCTTCAGCAGCAGCGAGTCCGACCAATTCAGTGCCCGTGAAGGCAAATGCAGCATTAACAAAACAGCTGCATAGACCCTTGAGGCCATGGTGAAAAGCTCCCGGATCACGCCAGTACTTGCCGCCAATATAGCTCCCTTCAGGCCCACCAGCGATATTAAGCACGATACCGAGAATTCTAAATAGGTTAGCAACCTGCGTCAAAATTCTTGTTTGAGTGGCACTCACATATATCCCACTACAGCAACAACTTTAACAATCGAGAAAATAAACTCCGCTTCTCCATACCCTCGTACACCAAATAGATTGATCGCAAATATTAAAATATAGAAAATGGTCACCCAAAGAGCAGGCGAGAGGGAGGTCGACCAATAAGACACTGTAACAGAAGCAGCCACGATCTCCAGCGGAAATACAACAAGCCATTGTAGAGCATAATTCCAGCCCATCGCAAACCCCCATGCAGGGTCTAAAAAGCGAGTAGAGTAGGCTGAGAATGAGCCGGCGACTGGAAAGAGGACGGCCATCTCTCCCAGTGCATGGACAGTGGAATAGATCATCACACCAACGAGTAGGAATGCAATCAACACCGAAGCAGGGCCACCTGTGGCCAGTGATTTACCTGAGCCAACGAATAAGCCAGTTCCTATAAGCTCAAGAGAATAAGCATTTCAATTTAATGTACTGCCAGCAAGAAATACCACATACCTATAGAGCCTCCGATAGCGATCATTTGCAGGTGCCTGCCATGTAATCTGCGTTTCAGAGGTGAGTTTGCTGTCGCTGCTGCGGCTCCAGCAAGATCAAAGGCTTTGCGGTCAGAGAACGCCGACGTCCTTGTAGTGAGCTGTGCATCCGGATCGCGCTTGAAGCCATCTACAAACCACCGTAGAAAGGTGGCCGGTGCGCTTGGCCTGCGCCCACCCTCTTCGATGAGAGGCGTTTCTATGGCGACTCCATGGAGATGGCGGGGAATGTAACCTGGAGGCGGCTGGTAATATGGATATGAGTGCGAACGAGGCACTTCAATATCAAACGTCGATTCGGGACGGCGAGCAGTTGAAACAGATGCGCTTCGAGCGCCAAAGTCGTCTCGATATCTATAAGACATAGCGGAAGTGACGAGCAAGATGCAAACCTTGCTTTAGTTACGGATGGATGGCTTGATCCGATATTTCCAAGACGGAAACCATCACAGCGACTTTAGTTATCTTGACAGCAATAATATCGGTTTTAAGAATGGATCAAAATTGCCGGCTTTAAAGGGAGTCCCGGATGCGCCTCCTCATGGATATGTATCTCGTCGTCCGAACGAACAGAACAGAATTTTCCTTGACGGCAAACAACCTATTTTTGAAACAACGTAAGAACGATCGCCAAAAACAGAACCAGAGAAAACGCACGGGGGCGAAGGGAGACTCTTAAAACAATCTCCCTGGTAGACAAGGCCGAACTAACGCTGAATCGACGGTTCAGCCCCCCTCGTTGCCCAGTCGCGGAACCAAGAAGAGACCAAGGCCTTGTAGGATAATCTCTGGCTAACCCCTAGATGCGGACTGAAGCGCCGGGGGGACTATAATAGTAGCTGGCCAACCGGAGAAACAACAAGGAGGGACCCTGGTTTATTCGCTGGCAGTTCGGCCGATGAAAGCCATTATTCACAGAAGCGCTCTAGATAGCTGGCTGACGAGTTTCGAGGATGTCCGATTTATTTATATCCGGCCAAACTGCCACAGTTTCGAACTCACTCTTTCCCGTCGTCGACATGTTGCACAGCATTAGTTTCGATTCGACACGAGGCCGGGATCCAAAGATGGGCGTGCCAGGGGGTGAGCTCCAACTTCGCAAGTTGGGCGTGTCAGTTGGTGAGTTCAACGGCGAAACTTCGTATAAGCTTAAAGAGTGCATGGATACAGCTTGACATTTGGACCGAAGAAGCGGCTTAGAGCCTTTCTTAGCGACACCTGATGACCATTTGTTGGCTCGGCTGTCTTCTCTCTCCGCAGAGACTCGGTTGCTTCTCGTATGCTGATTGACGGTGGATGAGAATATCCAACTCCTTTGTTGGTCTGCTGGTTGTTTCTCATCGAATCGGCGTCCTGGCCGGTAACCTATTAAGCTCGTATTCCTTTCTGCATGAGCTGGCCCAAACTAACTAACAAGTAGTGGATACGGACCGTCCAACCTCTCATAATCTCAAGACATCGTCTGCAGCCGCCGAAGTACCGTTTCGGACGGTCCTTAAATTGCCTTGTTCCGTTTTATAGAAGGGGCCATAATAGCTAGCCATATACTCCGTGCAGAGTACTTTGTGTACTCCATACTAACCCTCCACACTTATCGACAAAGGGAAAGGGAAAGATAGGCCCCGGAGCCATTTGCGTAAGGTACCCACAAGCTATCCGGGTTAGCGGTGCTAAAGTGCCATTCACTTATCTGACGCCCTTACACGGTCTAAGGGAAGTAAGGTGAGAATATGTTGGACATGGCGGACCAATCTCATGCCAGGTTTCTGCCTTGTAGAACATGAGAATCCGCAGTCTTTACCCCTGAATATCCCAGCAACAAGCAGTTTTGGATGCTATTTTGCCCATAAACTGGTTCTGCACAGAAACATTCGCTAAACGGAGGGGTAGCATTTGGTGGTGTCGCCAATATTCTCCGAGCTGATTCGATTGCATGCGTAATCTCCCTATGCGCCATTCAAAACACAACCACCAGCCGAGCCACGAACAATCCTGCTCAATATGAGAACATTGGTGTGGGAGATCTATAGATGTTCGAGTTGGATGCCCCATATAAATAACCATGCGGACCAGATGGTCAAGGATTGACCCCCTATCCACAATAAACGAGTCCATGCCATTAGTACCATTCATTATAATAACCATTATCCACCAAATTCAAGACCCGAATCCTCCCGGCCCATCAGTCGGAATGTGGGATGTCGACAGGATTGAAATAGGCAGGAGATTGTACATCCTAAACAAAAATCAGGAACAAACCCATGTCCTTTCCCAACTCGAGATGGCTAACAGAAGAACCCTACCATCGCCGTTAGCGCTCAGTGATTTGATATCTGTCGTCTGCGGTCTATCGTCTGTTGTTCTGTTGTTGTTCTGCTGTTGAAGTCCAAAAACGGCCAAAAGGGGATGGCGGATTAATTATATCCCGTAACTGTCCTTTGCTTAGTCATCCTATCTATTTAAGGTTCTATAGCCAATGAGGAAGAGGCCAATGCCAGCTGGCAGATTAATAATATTTAAACATGCAAATGGCATGTCAACGGTGATAATGAAGCTCATTCCTCAACAAGATACAAGCAGAAGCAGTCGTTAAATCAATATCCATTATCAAACGCCGGAAACCTATCACTACATATACCATCGTCCCTATTCGACCAGCACTTGGTCTAAGATTCTATATTTTCCTCTTTTTTGATTATGTTATCGTCAGCCAGCACTTCACGGAAGAAGTGCCATTTAGATGTTTGGCAACACTCCGGCCCATTTGTTTATGTTAGAGTCTAGCATCGGCAATGCCTTGTCTGCAACCTATCAGTTTGTTAGCATTGGCTCTCTTCCCGGAGAATGATATAAAAAGATTGACGAACTTTGAACCCAAGGGAGACGGTTTCGCCGTACCATTCTCGTATGAAGGCTCTATTACTTTCATCAACAGCCTCTAGGCCAGCCATATACACGGGCCAATGCATGGCTAGCCTTCCAATTCCCTTCGCATGTCTCCTTGCTAATGATAGGATACAGTGCGCGGCAGTCCGTACATGTGAAGGCGAGTGGTGTGTTGCCTGATGTCCACTGATGGCAACCCTATGCAGGTATATTATAGTTGCTTGTTCATGGGCTCTGATGCATGCTATGCTTTCCAGCAATGTGCCGTTCTCAGGAATATTGGGTATACCTTCGAACCAGAAGGCTGATTCCCATGATGCCAGCTTATCTTCTAATCCTCGACGGATACCCTCCTCTTCTCTTGCTGATATACCATGGCTTATTGCGTTGTGGAACAAATTAATATCTGCTTTGATGCTCATTAATTCAGACCAGGCATGGCGGATATTGTTAAAGTGGGCATGGGCCTTTGTAAGTCCTGAGTTAATCGTTGGAGATGTAAAAGGTAACTGTTGCCCGTTGGCAGCATACGCTTCACTGTAAGGGCTGCGGCGTTTCACTATTCCTTCATTTGTGGACATTGCGCCCACAACATCAAGGTATTCCATCAGAGAGACGAGGAAGCATTTAAACGATTGGTCCAAAGGGTCGGCTTGTCCGTGTGATTTAAGTGAATCGAAAATATCCCGGGCACCTGTTAGATGCACTTTCCAGTTTTCTGTCTGTGAATCTAACATCTGTTCAGAAGTGTGAGCCACAGATAATTATCAAATGAGACGATGGACAATTTACCTCAAAGATGCATAAAAGCAAACAAGTTGCGAAATCCGCGAGTCTGAACTGGCATTCGGGATTACTCCAGGCTTGCCCGAGAGACTGAACTATCTCTCCATATGCGTTCATGGCATGGTGGAGATGTACCGATCTATCCTGCCCCGCCGTTGTATTTGCAAGGTGAAGTGCCCCCACAGCACTCATTGCCCGTGAGAGCGTTCTAGACGTACATGCATAATGTGGGAACATGCTTCTGAACGGATTCGAGTGATATGGGGTTTCGTGTATGGCTAGAAACGTAGGCGCCGTATCCACGAAGTAAGGGTAATATATTGCTTCGTCAAAGCCCAGTGTTCCGTTTTGCGAGTAGTTCGCTTTTATATCAATTGATCGCATATAGTTGCTGTTGGCCTTTGGCACTCCCCGGGCGTTGTTGGCCCCTTCTTGACTTGAGGTAGGTATCGGCGGTGATTGCATGTATACCTTGAAAGTAGCGTTTCGATGAGCACCGTCACACTCTACACCGCGCTTGATGCAGTTCAAACAAGCCGGGTCCGTCTCGTCACACTTGACATGTCTCTTTTTGCATGTCGAGCAGCCTGAGAACCCACGCTGATGCCACTTTCTTGTCCGTTTCTTGCTTGAGTTGTCGCTGCTCGAATCCATGTCTCCGTTGAAGGGGACGTATGTATGGATGTTGAATGGCAAGTGGGCGGTGGTCGAGGTGTCGAATGGGCGTATGGAGGTGAAAGTAAAGCGAATGAATTAACTATAGAATCATGATTCCAAAGGGTTTTGAGGCAGGGGTATGATCGGTATTATATCCTTCATGAATATATGAGATCCACGGGTCATTCCCACGGATGCACTGGCATCATGTGCCTTTATAGAGACCCATACTAGAGATCCATCTCCATGGCGCCCCCCCCTCCCCCTCCTTCATGGCCAGATTTTCCCAAACAAGGCTCACCGTATCATGCACGGTTATGTACGTATGCCGCGACGAGCCAGTAAGTCACTTAATTCCAGTCCACCCCTTTGAGACGACTGATGGAATCAATGGAATCCCCGTTGGCAAAGATGGGGCCAAGCAGAGTATATCCGTTAAGACGAGGGATAATTGCTATGCCATGGCTAGTAGGAGTTTATCTCCACTGAGTATACGGATATTTGTCCTGGCCAGGGGTATGTATGCATAAGTTCCATGTAGACTAGTTTCGTCACCTTCTTCAGGCGCAGGGCAAGTAACTCGCTAACTGCCTTTTATGGAGGTGGATGCTTCTTCATTTCTTCTTCACGAGGCTAGCCTTCAGCGATCCTCGTGGCAAACAGGGGCTTATTATGACTTGGGGCAGGGGTTGAAAAAAAGGGTCTCTGCATGGCTGGTGGGTATCATCGACCCGCGCATGTCTGATATCCTGATATGCGGTGAAAGCAAGCGTGATATCAGGTTAGGGGGCCAGGCTGGTTGGCCAGCGTGACGCCGGGGATGGCCATGGCAGGGCTGATTCTGTTAGCGTTGAAACCTCATGCAGCAGGTAAGACACAGCCAACTGTCCGGAGAGAGGCATCTGAGGCTGGCGGGAGACGATAGCTGGATAAGGGACGGCAGGGCAGTTTCGTCGTCGGCGTCTGGTGGGGAAGCTGGGGTGATGAGGCTGGGATGGAGAAGGAGAGTGGACTTGTTGCTGATCTATACTGGTTGACTGGAGTCACTAAGTGAGCTAGCCAGCTAACCAGATAACCAGTCAGTCTAGGGAGACAGCTAGTTAAAAGCAGCCGAAGGCCAATGAGACAGTCGATACTGGTGTGCGTGAGTTGGTGGCTTCGTCTTCATCCTGATTTTTCTCTTGCATCGGGGGCCGAAGCCGTCGTAACTATGGAGTAGGTATCTACGTATAGCTGCGGCTGCGTCTACGCCTGTCTCGTCCAGAGCCACTGCAGTTACGTGTTACATTGGCGTACATTAAGTAACTAAATAACTAGCCCAGCTGTGCGGACGGACGAAGGATAAATATCACGTCACATCGTCTCTTTCTTCGATCATTTCGGTGTGCGAGAATGGAATGTGCTCGATAGGGCGTGATAGGTTTAATAATAATGCATGGCCAGCAGCAGCAGCTGAAAGACAGCTCTCGATGCCATTCGTGCTGTAGCAATGCCGTCTAGACTAGCTACCGAGCTAGACGAGTAAACAAAGTATCGTATCCTTACCCCTGAACATGCGGCCTTGGGTTCAAGCGGATAAGTCTTGTCCACAACTTCACACCTTAATTATCCAGAGACGCGGTCCCCCCAGCTGGGACTTGACCAGTTTTGGTTATTGATTGATCCTTCGAGAGCGAATACGCTGCTTCCTACCCAGCATCCAGTGGCGCGGCGTTGTGTTTCGAGACAGCATTTAGTAAACCAGTCAACTGTGCCGTATGCAGCCCTTGCACCTGGGGCTGTTCTTCGAAGTAACGTTGCATAAGTAGCCTCTGGCTTGGATACATGAACTTTGATGAAGCCTTGCATCAGCAGCAACGCAGTTGAGTTAGTTCTGGCTTGTTGGCTAGCCGGTTGAACAACCTAGCTTCCGCTGCACCGAAGAGTTACGATGCCGCAGAGAAGATGGAGTTTCAGGCAGTAAAACCGCAGGGCCCTCATTCGGGCCGTACTCCGTCAGTTCTTCTCGTCACCTAACTGATCATAGAGTCAGTAAGTAAACACCCACGGCAATCTCCGGCCCTGAAATCGTCTTGCTTTTTCCCTTCTTCTGCTTCTTCTTCTTCCTTTTCATGCAGGGAGCACACGTTGCTTTTTACCCAGTTGGTGGTAACTAGACGCATTGGAAACTCGAGCAGCAAGGCTTTCTTGGTAGCCTCAGGCCGCAAGTTTAGAGAATACTCCGTAAACATGTCTAGACGGGCAGCATCCTCGGTCTCCCCACATCACTAGTTACTGACAACGGTCCATCAAGGCTGGTCCGGCATCCCTACATGCCATGTGAGAGACGGCGTGCAAGTCAAGCGAGTTTCTGGATAGTAGGATCGGATAATAGTGAAAGCTGGGCCTTTGAACACCCACTATCACGAAGCGTCAATAACTGGGGCAGCAGTTAACGGCAAGACTGGATACTGTTTAGTTATGCACTGAGCAGACGCATCTCCGGCCATGAATTCCGCCAATAGCCAGCGTTGAGGATATGAGTTTCAGCCCTGACTTTCCTCTAAGCGAGGACGACGAATCAGACTGTATAGCAGCTGGAGTGTCCGTACCATCCGTAGTAACGCTCTCTCAGGCCGGTTTCGTCTTCCTCTTTTTCAGCATCTGGTCAAATGACGATATAAAACGGCCCCATCTGCTGTGACTGGGCCAGAGACTTTCGGCGTAGCACAGCGTCAGCCGCCGTATTCTGATATGCCACCCATCTCAGATCATCATGGAGATCCCGATTGAATCACGGATGGGACAGCCGCAAGAAAGGGCCGGCTCGGTCCACAGGTGTAACTTGGTTAAGCTTATACCTCTGTCTCTCTTCCTTGTCTCCTTTGCCTCTGCACCGTTGAGTCTGTTTGCGTCTCCAAGGTGGCGACTGCTTGTATATATAAGGGGATATATAGTTACCTGGTCGTAGTCGTATAGCCAGGGACTCCATATAGACAGTTCAGAGTCCATGCAGGATAGCGAGAGCACCCGTAGTAGACGCCCGCTGCATGTCCATATCCATGTCTGTCTCCCGCTGTGCAACCGTTCAACTGCCCATCATGTACTCCGTCATGTCCTCTGTATATCCCATCCTGCCATCCCGTCTTCAACCTCGTCGCCAACCTGGTCCTCGTCTTCAACTTCGTCCTCGTCGTCCCTCGACTGCTCCACGACAGCAACCGCCAGCTGCCGATCAAGCCAGACATTCAGCAGCCCAAGAGCAAGGCCGCCAGCTGGCCAGCGAGCTAAGCTAGACAATAACAAACAAGATAAGCTTGTTGTCCCTTGGCTTCTGCTGCGCGCACTCAGTGGCCCAACCCGGCGCTCGCATGCAGCTCCCGTTGGACGAAGCAGCCAGGAAGCGAAGCCTCTCGTCCTTTTCCACGGATCGATGCCTTCTCTTCCTATGAGCCCGTCCTGGTGAAGGCCGTCCTCTGCTCTTCGTCGTCTTCTAGTCTATCGGTCTATAAGCATGAATAACACATAACTAACACCAGCTTGGCGTCTTCCTGCTACAAAGAAAGAAAAGAAAAGAAAAGAAAAAAAAAACGAACAACATCGCGGACTTTCTCGTCCCCCCCTTAAAAAATAAAATATAAGAAAAATACTCAAGCCAGCGACCAGCCTCACCTCACGCCTCTTTTCTTCTTCTCTGCTGCTCCGGCTGTTCCTCTCTATATCTACGCCCTTCCCTCTCGTTCATGCTCGTCCATGGTCGCTCCTCTCGGCCACCTTTCATGCAAGCGGGATCAGGGTAAGCGTCTCGTCTGCCCGGCATAGCGATGGAGGCGACATGGGCACCGCCAGACAGCCCCTCCTACACGGCCTTCTTCGACGCAGCGCGGCAGGGCACCGTCGACGAGATTCGGGCAGCGTACACCGGCGAGATCGATATCAATGCGCTGCAGGGCGACGGGTTCGAGGGCATGGCCGCCCTGCACCTGGCGTGCTTCCACAACGGCGACGTCGAGGTGGTCCGCTTCCTGCTCGACCACGGCGCGGAGGTCAACATCCTCGACCGAGACCGCGCGGGAAACTCGTACCCGCTGCACTGGGCGGCCAACAGGGACCGCGCCGACATCGTGAAGCTGCTGCTGGACAGGGGCGCTGAGAAGAGCCGGAAGGGCTTCGACGGGCGGAATGCGCTCGGCATGGTGCTGTACTACTCGCTCTCGCCGCGCAAGGTCGAGCCCAAGCAGATGGAGACCATCCAGGTCCTGCTTGACCACGGCTTCTCGGTCGATGAGTCTGGCATGGTATGCTTCTTATCATCATGCTGCTCATTTCTTTCTTTTCTATCTTTCTTTTCCTTCCGTTCTTTCTTTTCGTTGTTGTGTTCTTTCTACTGTTTGTTCGGATCCTAACGAGGCCGTGAACCAAGCTATTCGAGGCAGTCCTCTCGCGCGACCAGCATCTCATCAAGTTCCTGCTCGACAACGGAGGATCCGTAAACCCGCCGTCTCCCAAGGACCCGTCCCTCCTCGGACACGCTGCCGGATTCACGGACTACGAGACCGTCAAGTTCCTCCTTGACAATGGCGCCGTCCTGGACAACCCCACAGACGGCAGCCCCAGCTCCGTCCTGGTCAGCGCAGCCTCGACGGGGGACCCCTCCGTCGTCAAGCTGCTGCTGGAGAGCGCAGACCCAGAGATCGTCAGAAAGTCCAGCAGGGCCATCAGTGCTGCTGCGGCCTCAGGCCATCTCAAGGTCGTCGAGATGCTGCTGGCTTCCAACATGAGTCTCGACGGTGACTGCGCCCTCGGATACCAGTCTCCCCTTCACGCTGCCTGCTTCACCGACCAGCCTTCCCCAGAGCTCGTCAAGTTCCTGCTCAGTCAAGGCGCCAGCGTAAACTCTCTGGACGATCGACTCAATACCCCACGTACGTAACCTTCACCGTTTTATGTCAAAAGTCTTTGGTCGTTTTGTTCCCGCTTTTAACATTTCATTAGTACACTTGCATGTTTCCACGTCCCAACCGGATGAAAAGGTAGTCCAGCTCCTACTGGATGCCGGCGCAGATCTATCAGCCAGAAACACAAACGGCGAAACGCCGCTGCTCAGAGCAGTGTCCGCGCTACATTGTCACTACCAACAAGGAAACCCACACGACCCCCAAGGCAGCGCCTTCATAGTTCTCCTCCGAGGTCTCCTCAGGGCCGGATCCGACATCACAGCCCTTGACCATCTCAACCAAACAGCTCTGCACATCCTAGCATCAAACTCGCCCGCCTGCACGCCCGGTGAATGCCCTGAGAAAGCAGCGCAGGTGCTGCTGGACATGGGCGTGCCTATCGATGCACTCGACAGCAAGGGCCGAACCGCAATAGACATCCTACATGAGAAACACACCATAGAATCCAGGCTGATTCTGCATACCATCGAGAACTACAAGCTACACCAACCTTCCCCTTCTTCGCTATAACATAAACCCAACTCGACACAAGTCGACAATTAAGAGAAAAAAAAGAAAGGTCAAGCAAACCGGCGTGAGCAGGAACACAACAGGAGTTTTATATCGGCGAAAAAAATATATATGGTCTTTTACTGCTTCTAACTTACTACTTACTTACTTAACCTTTTTACCGGACGGGGTTTTTTTTCGATCATGTTTTTACATCTTACATGCACCTTACCTTGCATTGTGGCTTTGGGTCCCAGCTGGACAAGCCTTGTTTATTTTTCGTCTACGTTTTTCCCTTGCCCCCTGACGACATTTTTCTTATGGCTTTCTGTGGGCTCCGTCGATTTCATTATTTATTAATGTAATACCTTACGGGATGACTTAGATTAAACTTTCTTTTTTTTTTTCTAACGAGATTTATGAAATGAGATTCATTTGTTATAGCGCGTCCGTTGTTTATCTACCGTCGTCACAGCGTTGAAGTCCCTTAAGGAGCTGCGCTGACCGGCCCTTCGCCGCCAGGTATTAACTGGTGCGTGCTCGTTAGCTAGATACTCGCCCAATCTAATAATTAAAGACAACTCACCATGCACACATTGTTTCCGTTTAAGAGGATCTTAGAAAGCTTCGTTTGGCCGCCAGAGTAGTCGCTGAAGAAGTTAGCATGAACCGTTCAAAGTAGCTCTGTAGAGTGTACTGTCTGCATACAATTCAGTCACATCCTCGAGCACCATGTCTATACTCCAACGTTAGTCAAATACTCAAACAACCACATCGTCACGAAAGGCAGCTAAGCACTTACTAACATAATCATCGAATCCAAGCAGCGTCCCCGAGAACTCTAGTGTATCAATTAGCAAAAGCATACCACCAACAACTACCAATGTAACTTCTTCAAACACACCTTTATCACCCTTCATAACAACCCATATCTTTGATCCAACGCACTTATCAATCAGCTCTACAGTACCACATCATTAAACCGTCAGTATCTCCTCTAAAGCAGCGGTGCAGGGGGTATTCCACAGCCGGGGGGTTGGGGTCAGCCCACCTAGTGGGAGAAGCTGTGACGCCATGCTGATAGTATATGTTTAAGCCTCGGGTATATCAGCAAAACAACCAGCGTAGGAGCTGTGAGAATGGGTATCTAGCAGTTAAAGCTTCTTTCCCCTTGACAAACTAAAGATCTGCTCGAGTTGTAGGCTTCTTGGTATCTTGTCGACTTGTTCGTTTTCGACGTTTGGGCAAAAGCAAAAAAACATATCACGTGGTGCATCTATGGAAAGAAAGGCGCTAGCCCTAAAATGGAATATTGATGGTATTTGGCTATTCCTACCCCCTACGAGGTTCGAGGATGGAAGATGCTGCTTGGACGGGTCGGTTATTACATAGATGAGAAAATGTATAGGGATAAAGTGTATCGGTAATGTCTACTTTGCTATTATATTTCAAAAACACCCACAACTTTACCAACATCCAACATCCAACAAGACGGAGCCACAACATGATGTCTAGGTAATATAGGCGTGGCTGTTGATATTCCATCTTCACACCTAGAGACTTGCTAACACCCCAATAAGAAGCCATATCATCCATACCACACTCCCGCTCTAGCTAAATATCCCAACACATTTCTCTGACGTTCGGTCAAAGCTGTAGGTTATATCCTGAGGCTCCGTCAAACGCCTGAGCTAAAAGAGTGAGCCCACACCAGTCGCCATTAGGTTGAAGCTGTATATTTGACAAGCTTACTTGAATAAGCTGTCAATATGTTAGCAGGCCGAATGGGCAACGATGATGGTCTGTTGTTCGACGTTTGGCTGCAAAGTAGATTACTGATAACGCCTGGATTGTGTTGGATTACCAGGGACTAAAAGGTCTAATGCCCCAAGGAATATTTGGGTAATGAGTGCGAGTCGTAGTAGCCAATGTAATATTCCAACAGATTGTCTTACCTAAGCCACATGCGTCGTTGAGAATGCCGGATTTAATGACGGATTCTTCCTGTTGTAGCATCCAGGCAACACCTTGGACCTGCCATGCTCGCAAAACTAGGATATCTTGTAGAGTGCAGTTGTATAGATTACCAGCCTAGAGATTGCAAGCAGGAAGTATTCCAGACTTCCAATCGTTGGCTCTCCCTAGCCTTTGGCACTATTTTCTTGTGGGAAGTGCGGCAGGGGGAACAGGCTCGAAGCTTTTAGTGAAGTCTACTGTTGCCGGTGATGTTGCAGTTCCAGCAGGGTTTGTTGTCTTCGTTATAGCAACTTTTGTTTCCTTTGTATAAGGTATGCGGCCCAACCACCTCGCGTGGGCTCATGACACATCTCTCTTGTTGACTTTGCTGATGAATCAGACAACAAATTCGACCCATAGTAAGTTATTGGCACTTTTTGATCATTCGCTGACCATGGTAAATCATGCCGTTAAAGTGGAGTTTTGAAAACGAGACGGTCCTATACGGTGGCTCTAGACGTAGGCAATGTACGTACGTTCCCGAAGGCAGAACCCCATATTCCATCCAGAGCTTCATTTTCATCTACCTCCACCAGGAAGTCGATGTACGTAGTGATCTGTGCATATGCACGCATGTTCCCAAAGGCAGACCCCGGTACTCCATCCAGGTCTTTATTTTCATCTACCGCCGCAGGGGAGTCCATCTTTCATTGCTTTTGCTTTAGCGATGCAACCTTTCATTATCTTGATTGCATTGTTTGGATAACATCCGAGGAGAAACAATATTGGAATATGAATAATTGCCCGTGGGGATAAACGAGAGTAGCGATCTCGAAGCCAATAACATCTAGGGCCAGAGTCAAGGGTCTCTATGCACTCGATCACTCCAACCCAAAATGCAATCATGGAATATATCATGGGGGATCAAGCCATCTTTCGACAGCTTGCAGGTGGCTTGTCGATCAAGTTTGTCGAGTATCTTTTGAGCGCCATGTCATCTATGGCTCTTGGTTATTCAATACATTTAGGTATGATAGCCAATCCTCTTGGGTCGATCAGCGCGTAAACATGATTACTTACCAGGACCGCGGCGGGAGCTGTACCGACGTGGCGACCGTTCGCTGGATGAAATCCGGATGTTGGTATGGGCCAACTCAGTTGGCGCTCCCGCTCTCTCGGTCTTTCTAACGCCTTCCCTTCTCACTCTTCACCTGCTGCACCCCTAGGCAAAGGAACAACGTCCATAAACTCATCAGTAGCATCCCCCCGCCTAATAGAGGCATCCAAACCGTCTTCTCCCCTCTGCTTTTCCCGCCCTAGCTGTTACTGAGCAAAGACCAAGCACATGGCGATAACGCCAGTTCAGACAGCAGTCAGTATATCCGTCCAAGCCATGACTTTTAGTATTCTATATAGACCTTGATAGAATTCTGGCTAGCCGGGGGGCTGGCCTTTCGGGGACCGCTTAATGTTGGACCATAAGGGACAAAAAGGCCCAATGCCCCAAGGATACCTTGGGTAATATGTGTGAGCCTGGCTAAAGTGGAATATCCCAACACGTAATAAGAGCGTGGATATGCTATGAGGGTATATCAAGCGTCCATAGAGGTTTCGAAGCCCAAAAAGCTCGCTGGTAGTCCTTTATAGTCCTAGAGTTCATCGTAGTCGCGGCTAGTAGACACTGATATGGCGTTATTTGCATCGACGGTCAGATCTTCTGCTTCCCGGAAGCCACGCTTGTGAGCTCACTGAATGAGTTGAGCTTGTGAGCTAAAGCTTCCATCTACTGTCCTGAAAAGGGTATAGTTTCAGGAGCGTATGCTTCATTTAAGCCGTAAACGGCCGTTATTTATGAAAAATGGGGTATTTTTGGTAGCAGAGTAGCGAGTTATTGAACGTGAACTCCGCGAGAGGTAAGATATTTTGTAGGAGCCTTTGCTTCATTCAAGTCGTACTCTTGGTTTACTCGAGATGTTCTAGCTCCTTTCCGCAGAGGGGAGTACGTAAAGGAAAAGCTGTTATACAGCAGAGATAATCCAAGTTGTCTTCTCCTGGTTGGAAAGAAACGGAAGTTAAGGTTGGGAAAATGAGCAGCGACAGTTGGTTAAATAGGGGGGTGTTGCCCTGTGAATATTCAGCCAATCACTGCATTCGGAGTGAAGATCACTGCATTTTCATTGGCTGTTGTTATTCACCTTCGATGGTGTGACCTGGTCTAGAACAAATTTGGTCTAGCTCCCATGTGACTGCAGAGCCTCATCGCTTGCAGCGGGTATTTAAACGCCAAAGTCGCCCGCCTGGCGCTTTAAGCTTGGAAAGTCGCTTCATCTGCTTCCTTCACCGAGACATTCACGCCGGAGATGAAAGTACACCTATAGAGCAGATACTTTTGCATTTACGATGTACTTCGCAGTTCCTCTAGCTATGCTCTTGCCTTTTGTCACGAGGAAGATGATGACCACATCTCCCTGTTGACCTTGCTGATACCCCTAGACGATGTTCGTCGAGCACAATGTTCCGAACAGATGAATATGACGATGCCTATGACAGCACTACTGACGCAATTTTCTATACCATTCTGTCACAGTCTACCCTTTCTCTGGGTCGCTGACGACGACATTGCGATTTTTGCCAGCCCAGCTGCGTACTTGCGACGGCGAAAAATGCGCGTCCATGTCTCGATACTGTTCACGCTTTCTTCAACCGTGGAAAAGTGAGCAAGAATGAGAGATATATGCATGCTGAGAACTCCCTTCCACGGTTTCGCAGATTGCCACTGTTGCCGGTTTTCCGGCACTTGCAATCACATAACGCAAGTACGGCGCCATATACGTCACTACGATGAGCCTGAGAGGGAAGGTATACAGGCGCCTATGATGCCTACAGCTCGGTAGACACGAAGTATCGACGGGCGTATGACGGTATACCTCGTAGTCGCCTAGGAGACTTCACCGTGGTGGTTTTGTATGTCCGTTGTTGGGGAGGTCGCATCATGAGAAATGTTTTTGGGGAAGGCAAGGCCGGGGATCAAAGCAGAGGAAAAAGATGAGGCTGGGGAAGTTGATATTGGGGTTAACAATGGGAAAGAATCTGATTTGATGAACAGTCGCGTCAACCGCGGTTCCGTTGCTATGGGGTAGTCTACCCTCGCCACTGGCCGTTATCTAGAGTCGACCTGTCTTGTTTACGCCCCCCAGCCCCCCGAATTAACCACCAACGGCCGGTCTGACAAGGAAACTGTCGTATGCGCGTCATTTGGGGCAGTAAGAAGCGTGGCTCGGCGCTGTCCACGATGGAAGAGCCTCCTGTATCCACGGCTGGTGGGGAGGCAAGTCCCAGTGTCTCGTGTCCATGTGAACTCGAGCAGCGCCACAGGCCTCGTCAGTGTCCTGCGCTCGTGTACGGAGTAGTCGTATTGAGGACATGCAGCTGAACATATCTACCACCACTGCTGCTGCTACTGCGGAAAAGGAGCTGTCTGTATGTACTGGATAGGTGTAGAAGAGTACTCCGTAGCTACCGAAACATGTCAGGGGTCAGCCCAGGGCGATCAACGCCCTGCATGAGGCTGAAGATGTAAACAGGCGACATCAACCACCATCACCGCCGCAGCAAACAACCACAAACAACCGCAGTAGACAACAGATCTCTCTCGAAGCCCGCCTGTCAAAGCTGCTCCCTGCTGTCCTGTGGCTGCTGTCAAGCTCCGCGTTGCTGCTGTATCCCTCTTAGCTCAACTAGGCTCAAGCAGCGAACCTAATAGCCGCATCTCGCTCGTATCGCCATCGTCATCCGCCGACCTCAACTCACGAAAATAACCACAACTGGCCATAACAACAACTTACCATCACCACCACCATCCGCCATCCGCCGAGTGACCGCCGTCGACCGCCGACCCATCACCCTATCTACCTCCCTCCTTGAGCCCTTGCGAACGACGTCAGATGCGCCTTCATCACACTCTCTTCTCGCTGCTGGCGCTGCCCAACCCGCGGTTCCTTATCACGATAACCACGGATACGCAGCGTCGCTGACGACATTGCAAAGCGCCGCCGCGGACGCCTCCTGCTCAGCTCAGGCATATAATCCACTTCCCCGTCCCCGTCCCCTTCGTCTTCTCTTCTCTTCTCTTCCTCACCCTCTTTCGCTCTCGTCTCCATCCACCTTCGCTCCAACGTCCGTCTTTCGCTATCGAACAACTGCTCGAACTGCTAGTTACGACTTCGCTGTTTCATCTCCAAACTTCAACTTGGTCCTTTCGCTCATACAAAAAAACCACAAAAAAAACTGCTCTTTACTGCGACTGCTCTCTGCTCGAGAGAGCAAATTGCTCTCAGCCTTCATCAGGCTTCTTTTTTTTCTTTCTTGCGTGTTCTCGTTGATATACAAAGACCGCATTTCTTTCTTTCACTTCGCCTTTTACTTCTTTTACGGCCCCCGCGGCGGCTTTTTCTCTGCTTTTCGCATCTTCCTTCAACATGGGCAACGTAAACTCCCGTTCTGTTTCTTCTCCGGGTGCTCTCTACCTGAGAGACCAAACCAAATGTAAGCTGTCCTCTTTGTCTGTCTGCTTGTCTGTGTCTTGCTTGTGCTAAATTACCGACTGGGGTCATTGTCTGGATAGTGAGCATCTCCTCTCTGGTAATCACCAACCAGAGCGGCGCCACTATCTTGGTGATATCACCAAATGGCTATCCAGCATCGCAGATTTCTGCAAAGAGAGATGCTGGCGATAACACGCCTATTGAATTTATTCAGGTGGGTTTATTAACACTCTGGTTCCGGACTCTGGGGCTGCGCGACACTAGTTTTATACCCTGTCAAAGAACCGTACTGATGACATGATATCTACAATCTATCTAGGATCCTGATCCTGCAAACAACAGCTCGGGGCCGTCCTTCATCTTGCGGCTAACAAACGAGGACGAGCTCAACTTTTGCTTTACCTTCGTGATACGACAAGAAAAATGCAGTTCGGTTCCAACTGCGACAACCGTCAACGGCGTCTCCAGCGCGCTGCCAACGGCAACTGACAACGTGGTCAAGAGTCTCACTTTCGCATACGCTGCAAACGAAAAGGAACTTGACAACCTGGTCACGCGCGAGTTCCATGCGAATCCAAATCTCCAAAACAATCAAAATGTGCGCCATGTTGGCACATTCGAGACCGGTGGTACGCCATCAGTACAGTTCACCTGGACTTGGAAGTGGAAGCCACCAGCTACAAATGAAGCAAAATGCGGAGGATGGCGCAACTGCTGTAGTTTCCTAGATTACGATGAGAGGGCCAACAGATTGAACACCTTAGCCTGGTTCCAATTTTGGGTCCAAGGCCCTCCAAGGCCCTCGACAAGTCCGAGTTTCGAGTCAACCGGTTTTGAACTCACCGTGCCACAACGCAACCGACAGGTCTCATCCCACTCGAACGTGTCCAGAACAAGCGACCCCAATGAATCAAATGATGAACTCGTTCCCACTTCGTCCGCGCTCGAAAGCCATGACTGCTTTCGAGGCTACTACTTTCCAAAAGGCAACAATGCCGTCCAAAACGTCCAACCGTCCACAACTGCCTTCCCTGGACCCAAGGTGGATGTCGCCTGCCACCATCCTGGGGAGGATATGTGCACGGTTGACGACGGTCCCTTATTCAGGGCCACCATGAAATCTCTAGAACAAAAGACTGGAACTATGCGCACGAGGATGAAAAAGCTGCTCAAAAAGGCCGAAGCAGCCTATCATGCGCGTATTGCCTGCCATGATTCCGTTCATGCTTTCCTTAAAACACTCAGTGACACTGCAAAGACCAATGCGCCGGCAATACAGCCGGCATTAGACCATTACTACGACCGCGCCGCAAGAGAAATACTTATTTCTGAACAGCAGAATGCTGATTATATGCATGAATACGTTGTTCGGCCGCTTTCCCGGCTCTACCATCAAGACATCAAACAGGCCGATGTGAAAAAGAAAGAATTCGATGACGAGAGTAGAGACTATTACGCCTATGTTAGCAAGTATCTCGGTCAACGACAAGATTCCCTGAAAGAAAAGAAAAGAGTCGAGAGTGACTCCAAATACCAGAATAAACGACGCAAATTCGAACTCAAACGATTCGACTATTCCTCCTTCATGCAGGATTTGACTGGCGGAAAGCGTGAACAGGAGCTACTCGCCAGCCTCACCCAGTTTGCCGTCTGTCAGGCAAACGCCCATATATCAACTTCCAAAATCATTGAAAGCCTTTTACCTCACCTTGACGCCCTGGTCGACGAAGTCAACAAAGTCGACAAAGAATTCAAATTTCAACGTACCGAACGAGAGGAGAAGCGCAGACTTCTCGAGAATAGCACCAAGAAATACATCGAACCAGAGGCTGCTCAGAATCCAGGTCCGCCTCCGCCGACTTCTGGTGGTAACAGCACCACAAATAATAACAACAACAATGCCACATCTTACAACTCCGATTCCGACCTCGGTCGTGCAGACAGTACCAACTCTACCTTTCGGGGTTACACTGGCAATGCGAAAGGACGATCAAATTCACCCACTGGAGGAGCGACGGTCCCTACCGGCTCCAACATCGGGTCTGTTTCCTCAACACAAAACCGCTTCAAAGGGTTTCGTGACTTGGAGGAACGCGACACCACCAGCATGGCTGCAGCAGAGAGCACAAACGGCCAGCAGAAAAAAGAGGGGTTGTTGTGGGCTTTATCACGCCCTGGGTCTCATATCGATCCGAAAGGGATCAACAAGCAAGCCTGGCATAAGTATGTCCTCCGTTTTTCCTTACACATCCTGCTATAGAGTGTGTGTCTAACATGACTTATAGATTTTGGATCGTCCTCGACCAAGGAAAGCTCTCGGAATACAGCAACTGGAAACAAAAATTGGACTTGCACATGGATCCAATCGATTTGCGAATGGCCTCTGTACGTGAAGCGCGCAATGCGGAGAGACGATTCTGCTTTGAGGTTATCACGCCACAGTTCAAGCGAATCTACCAGGCCACTTCTGAGCAGGATATGAAGAACTGGATAAACGCTATAAACAACGCCTTACAGAGTGCTGTAGAAGGTCGACTTGCTACTCCTCGGACCAACCAAACACAACCAAAAGATACAACACCTGGACGCACCATAGGATCCGCTTTGATTGGCAAATCTGTGTCTTCAGTTGGCCATCAGGGCACTTCGCCTTCAAATACGAGCAACATGGGACGTCGAACAACAGTAGGCGCACGACCTGGCTATATGAGAAGTGGTAGCCACGGATATGACGACGATCCCGCAAAATTACTACAAACCATTCATACAGCCGATCAAGGCAACACCTGGTGTGCCGACTGCTGCTCAACCTCAAAGGTTGAATGGGTTTCCATCAATCTCGGCATAGTCCTCTGCATCGAATGCAGTGGAATCCACCGGTCTTTAGGAACACACATCTCCAAAGTCCGTTCACTTACCCTCGACATACACTCCTTCTCCAACGACATCGTTGAAATCCTCCTCCAGGTAGGAAACCGGGTTAGCAACATGGTCTGGGAAGCACAGTTAGGCCCAGGCATCAAGCCTGGTCCAACCGCCACTCGCGAGCAACGTCTCAAATTCATCACCGCAAAGTACAGCGATCGTGCTTTTGTTCGCCCCTTGTCACCTACCTTATCTAAGTTTTCCACCGCTGAGGAGACACTACTCGCCTCTATCAAACAAAACGATATCCAAGGTGTCCTCTACGGCATCGCGCTACGTGCCGATCTGAACGCCACCGATCTATCCCGCAAGGCCCACCCTGTCTTCCTTGCTTTAGCAGCAGCCGATCCAGCACCAGCTGGAACCCCACCTGCAAGCCCTAACCTGGGCCGTCAAGCACCCATCAGACCATTCATCCCGAGCCGTTCTTCGAGCTCTAGCACCATAGCTAAGCCCTTCCCAGTTGCCGAACTACTTGTTCAGAACGGAGCCGTTATTCCGCCACACATGCCTGCTTTCGCCCTCTCCGAAGCCGCGCAGCTTTACCTCACCCAACGAACCATTCGATCCTCTCGTCTTGACGGTGGGGGTAACGGCACTGGGGATACCCTCAGTGCTTTACCTACTATCCGCGGACCTGAAGGTAATGGTTCGTCCATGCCGGCAGTCGACAGCAAAGAACGAGAGAGACTTCAGAAACGAGGCAGTGCCGGAGCTAGATTTGCTGGAAAGGTGTCTTCGCTTGCCGGATAGCGAGATTACCCTTTTTTTTTTATACTCACTCTAATACTTTATGGGATGCCTGATGATGATACTCCTCATGCAAATTGCACTTTCTCACCACACGATTGTTAATGTTTGAATACACTCGAAATTGCGTTTGTTTTTTAATGGTTGCGGATGTTGTGAATGACTCTCCTGTTTTGACCGCCCTATTGGGCCTATTATTACCCTTACATGGCGTTGCTTTTTGTCCTTTTTTTGTGGTATTTTGATATTGGCTTCTTCTATATTTTTACCCCTTTGTTTACGGTTCTGTTCACCTGTATAAATTATTATCAGTATAATTATATATCCTTAACTTCATCACTACCTCCTTCTCCTTCTCCTCATCCTGTGGGATGTTTACTCCCGGCGAGTTACCACTTGAGTGTAAGGACTCGTACTTCTCTTTTCTACACTACTAAACCAATGTCCGCTCTGGTATGAGATATCCGCACTACCTCCCTAGAGAAATAGAGATAAATCTAAGCAGTTTGCTATCCATCTTGATACTCGGTCTAGGTTCTTCCTGATATCCCGAACGGCGTTTCAAGCTTACCTAATGACGTAATATTTGGTCACGTGTCACTCTTAATTTCGGATTAATAATAATACTTTAAAGTTTCATGAGTCATCAAAGCTTAGTCATGAAAATCCGGGGTAAATTACCGCTAGTGATAGGTGAAATGGGCTGTATCGGCCTGGGCCTCCACATCGAACCAGGCGCTTATCAGGGGTATGGTATGGTAAGGATAATTCGCATGTGACTGAGGAGCGAATTCCCAGCTCTGATTGGCTACGGAGTGGCGTGGTCTGTGTGGGGAGTTGCTGACATAAGCGAACCTCTCTCGTTCTTTATCTTCCTCGTCCTTCTCCTTCGTCCTCGACCTCAACTTCATCTCTCGTTTCTATGCTCAGTGACGGCGCTGAAGACGACGAAAGAGCCTTGGATTCACCGCTATCGTTGTGTGGTTTTGCACTAGCCGCGAGTTAGCAAGGGATCAGGCACGGCACCGCTACTTGCCACCCAAAGCTCCCCACAGAGTTCCGTTCCAGCTCCTGCAAGTAAACGGCACCTTGGGACCTCCCCCCTCTTAACCTCGCTCGCCTCTCTTCTTCCGCCGGGGAATATCATCGGCTCGTTCCCTCTTTACGCCGCTCACTCGACTGCTTGACGACCACTATTGTTTACCTCGCACGTCTCATCACTATTGGAATTCACTAGTGCCTGTTTGAGGATCTGCAGATCCACGTCATCATTCAACAGGAAACAGGCCATTTGATACAAGAACCGTCTTCGAGAACACAGAACGGGATTCGTCGTCTTTCTCGCTGCATCAGGCCACGTTTTCCTACGTTCTGAATTGCTGCTCGATATCTTAGCGAATCCACCGTTTTCCAACGGCTGTTCAACAGTTTTGCTTAACCGGGAACGCTAACTTACACCGCCCCTTAATAACACTCTATACATACATACATACACACGCCCACCGCCATGTCGAACGCCGCCCATCTGTCGAACTCCCCTCCTACAACCCCTATTGCACCTCGAGGCCGTCGTGCTTCGATCACGGAGATGTTTGCTCGGCCCGGAAATGGTGGGGGCGCACCATTGAACACCAGCACCTCGAATACCGCCCCTCTCTTCACGGCAGCAGCATCAAATGCCCAGCAACAACCACATCGTCGACGGATGTCGATCACCACACTTGGACTGTCTGGCTCTCCCACTAACCAGCCCGCTCCCTTTGGACAGCCAGCGGTGACAAACACACCGACGGCGGCAGCTGGAACCACCGCTCCTCCTCCACCCGGCAGGCGCCGACGCGGAAGTGTTTCAAGTTCGATTCTCTCGAGCTCTCCAACACGGGAGCAGGCGGTTGCTGAGGAGGAAGATGACGAAGACACCCCGATGCCATCGTCTGCGTCTCCATTTGCAAGACGGGTATCCTTTAGCTTCCGGGACCGGGCCGCCAGTATAAATGGTATATATCAATCCCTTTCCATTCCGGACCATCACTCAATTCCCTCATTTAAACAACTCATTACCGCCCCTAGCAGTTACAGCAGGGGTTGTAGCATTGGTAGGAAACTTTTCGTCAACTGAGCACCGGGTCGGCTTTTGATATCGCAAACCAAAGCGGCCATATTTGAAATATTCATTTAACAACCCCGCATAACTCTTTATCCGAAAATGAAAAGTATATATGCTAATATAATTCTCCAACAGGCGAAGGCTTCAACTGGCCAGAAGCTCTTCGAACCAGAGCAGAACGAGCTCCGTCCCTGGCCGGAAGCTTCTCCATGCATCAGCAGCAGCAGCAACAGCAGCAGCAAGGGCAGGGACATGGGCAGGGGCAGCAAAACCAAAACCCGCCGTCTCTCTCGGGCTCCTCGTCCAATACCTCCCCATCCTCGTCCCCGTCTCTTTCTTCATCCTTCTCGTCGGCTTCATTCCCAGGCAAACATCACCGATCAGCTTCCGTTGCTACTATGGAGGCGTACAAGCCGCCACCAAAGGAGCTACTGGAGCGTCACCCTTCGTCCCCTCCACCTCCACCGCAGCAGCAGCAGCCCAAGCCACGGCCCAAGCCAGATTACTTCCAGGAGAAGATCTTGCGGGCTGATTTCATGGACTGATTAAGCATAGCTGATCAGGCCCTTTTTGCCACCTGTGTTTTTTTTCTCTCTTTCCTTTCTCACATCTAACCATTATATCTCGAGGGACTATGTTTCTTTCTTTCCTATGTGTTACTAGGAATGATGGGAGTTTGTCAGGCATGGAAGCAGATCATCGAATCAGATATCAACAACTAGGCGGGGGGTGGGACATTCGAATATTGGTACCGGAGTGAAGTTGACTCTTTCCTCTCTGTTTTATTTCTTTTCGCTTCTCTTATTTCTTTCGCTTTGACGTCTCCATACTATGCTGCATACTTACCAACTCTACTGGCTGGAACATCTTACCATGTAAACCTATGCCCATACCATCACACCTACTTGGCCTTCTATCAGCATGTTTTTCTCTTCCTTTCTTCTTTACCTTTGCAAGCAAGCTCTGGACTCATCGTTCTTCTTCCTTTCAGGTGTGATTAATAGTTATCTAGTTAGCTGGCTATCAATATGAATAACATCAAACACCTTGTCCTCTTATAACTACTAAAAAACAGAAAGAAAAAGAAGCAAAAGAAAGCCTCGCCCAACTCGAACCAGAGGCAAAAAGCGAAGGCAGAGCCAGGCTCTATAGGGGGGTCCAGCGCGGTCATTACACCACTCGCTGGTTAATTGAGTTATTTGGCCTCTTCGCTGGCAGAAAGCAGGGAAACAACTTCATACATACAAGGCAGGCAGGCGCAGAAAAGGCGGAGTCCAAAGAAGGAAAGCTGACTAAGCATGAGGCTCTGTGTGGAGTGTGGAGCATCTTTGTGACTCTTTTATAGATCAGGAGAAGCACGAAGAGTAAGGGGAAGAGAACAGTCAGAGACGGAGACGGGGAGGAGTAAAGGGTCAAGGCAGCTATCAGATAGGAGGGCAGAGAGCAAAGGGTAAAAAAAGAACGGACTGATGAAGGTTCGAACGAGCGGCAAAAAGCGAAGCCAGAGCTACACGACCCATATCAAGTATGGGACGATGTAATACGCTCCAGAATGGAGTAATGTCAACTATGTTATTCGGCCACTTCGCTGCCTAGTTCTACGGCGAGAGCATACATATACCCCTGAGAAGCTGCCTCTTCTGTATTAATAATAAACAAAAGGACCAACACACGTTCGGACGAACGGCAAAAAGCGAAGCCAGAGCTACACATCCCATGGCTAGTATGGGGGCGTAATACACTCCGGAATGGGTTAATTGTAACTGTGTTATTTGGCCATTTCGCTGCCTAGTTCTGCGGCGAGAGCATGCATATGCCCCTTAGAAGCTGCCTCTTCTGTACTAAAATAAAAAAAAGGACCGGCGCGGGTTCGAACGCGCGGCAAAAAGCGAAGTGATACCCTTGGCGACTCTCCCAGGGGGAGGGCCATGAAAATGGCCAGCTTGAGCACCTCTTATTTTTCTGACTCTGTTAGGTTATTTGGCCTCTTCGCTGTTTATTTCTACGGTGAGAGCATACATAAGGGACCCTTAAGTGGGCCTTGGCATATTGATAGCATACAGGGGTGGTTTAACAGTGAGACAACTGATAGAAACAATACGGTGTTATTAGATACTCTTCTATATTAAAAAAAAAATAAAACAACGGTCTATCGAGTTCGCTCAAATGACGAAAGAATGAAGATATAGAACAAATTATAATCAGCTACGCAACAGGTGGATCAGCCCATGTCTGGCAGCTGGTGATGTGATTAGTAGGGAATATTGTTCGTCATGAGCTGGAACTGGTCATAGCCCTTGGTCGACATGCTGGCGTAGCTCTTCCGGATGAGCTCTCTCATATACTGTGCTGCCTCTTGCTCACTCTTCTCCAGGACAAACCGGTCGCGGAAGTTGGTCAGAGTATGCGGCGTGAAGCAAGGCAGGCCGCTGTCCAGCATGAGGGTCACAATGTTAGAAAGCTTCATAGTATAAGGCCGCGAAGCGAGGAAGGCCTTGACCACAAGAGACTCAAACCAGCGGTAGGACTGAGAGTTGCTGTGCGATGCAGTGTGAGCGGCGGATGGAGCAGCGGTAGAAGGTGTAGCGGAGGCAGCCGTGGACGAAGCCGGATGGTACCCTCCCATGACAGCAATCATCTCGGTGGTGAGCTTGAACGGAGCACGCTCGAACCGTACTCCGCCGGGCGCGATATCGAAGCAGAACCCAAAGTCGATGTGGAGGATGTGGCCTGCGTCGTCGATCATGATGTTGCCGTTATGTCGGTCCTTGAACTGCAGCAGGTATGAAATGACCGAATATGCAGCCATGCTCTTCACAAAGTTGCTTCGAGCTTCTTGGAATTTGATCGACTGCTCCCCTCCGTATTTTGATACGAAGTAGTCGTATAGACCGTTAACAGCTTCGCGACCCAGCATGTCTCGAGATATCGAGTTGGGCAAGACATCAATCACACCACACCCGGGTGCGGTTGCCACAACACGGTAAGGGAAGACAAAGACGTCCAGTCCAACGCTGGCAAAGATTTCACGGAACGCAGCAATCATTTGAAGTGCAAGCACATCTTGACGACAGTCATCTCCGACTTTGAAGATGGCAGACTGCCACACCTCATATGTCCCGGCCTGAGACGCGGCTAGGCTCTCGCGTTTGCTTTGCACAGCGGATTCCTTAACCTGGGATAGTTGCAAACCTGCTTCCTCTTGACCAACATCCTCTTCAGCAGGAGTAACGGCGTTGCTACCGTCTTCGATACTTCTCGTCTTCTTGATTCGGAAAGTTGCCATGTAAGGCGCCTTTGCATGGCTTTGCAAGGGCTTTCCAGACTTTCGATCAATGCCGACAACAACGCCGTCTGGGTTACTTGGCAGGTACACGCCAACCTCAACTTTAATCTTTCGCAGCTCCTCTGCAATCTTTTCCTTCTTCTCCTGTTTGGTACGTTTGATGTATGGCCGTAGTTTGCCGGAAATTCCTGTGATCTCATTGAAAAACGCGAACTCCCTCTCATAGAATTCTCTGTCTTCATCCGTGAAGCTGGTAATAACACAGTCCATGAACCTATCCAGCACCGGCTTGAGTGGATCAGGCTATTTTTATAGTTAGTCTTAACTTCCTGAAAATCAACAGAATAGCGTTATTGAAGGTACTTACAATCTGGGAATCCTCGTCCTTGTAGGCATTTGCCTTCATATTCCAGATCACTTGATGGGCGAACATCTGTGATAGTTGAGCCGTATTCAACAGGTAACGTTCTATATATCCAAGTGCGTCATAACGAAGAGCCTGCACAAGCTGAGGAATATAGAAAAGGCCAACGTCTACGGGGAAGCTTTCAAGGGACCGAAGCGCATATTGCAGGATAAACGGATGGTTACCATAAGCTGGCAAGAGATAAGTGACGGCGGAGATGGGATCAATCGGTTCCCAGTAAAGGAGGTACTGCCATATCGTTAGAAAGATGTACACAGGCCTTGGAAAGAGGCCAAGCTTACCTTGAGCTGGAACGAGACATCTTCGGGAAGAGATGGTCCAAGTAAGATTTCCAGGGCGTTTGGCTCCTTAAGTGCCTTTTCGGGGAAGTTAAGTAAAAGCCATCGAATATCACTTCGTAGCTTAGCGGATGGGAATCGTGATCCTAGCTGTAGTGCTAGACTTGGATTTTCGTTCCATGCCAATCGAAGAAGCCCTGTTACGGTCTCCTAAAGGAAATAGTTAGACACCGGCGGACGTAAAGCTTAAGAGTAAGAGACCTACTTCCGTGACGGTCTTGCTACCAGTTCCATAGAAAAAGTAGGATTTCTTCTCCAGGTCTAGAGGGGAAAGCCAGATTTTGAGGCGAGACCGTTCATTTCCAATCAGAATTAAAAGTAAATCATGTTTTGCTTGCAGTGATTTACGAGACTTTGAGTCCACTACCTCCTTCCAAGATACGGTCTCCAACATGGATTCGATATCGTGGAGGATCTGATCTTCAGCTTTGAGTTGCAAGCGATTTCCGCCAAATGACCAACTAAGTAATCTCCAGTTAGATATGATTCTAGCGGGTTATTAAAGAATAGATAGCTTACCTCGGTGGATGGCCGAACCAGCTGAGGGCAGCAGAGAGGATCTGATCCTTAAGTTTCCAGGAACCCACGTTACTTTGTCCAGAGAATGAATGGAGGACCTTAAGACTGAAAAGAATGGTATGGAAATGAATCTCGCGAGCCAACGGGTGGCCAGTAGAGTCTCTCAAGGCAGTCAATGTCTCACTGACCAAGCGTCTAAACACCTGTTGGGTGTTCAAACTGCCCAATCTGCTTGCGCTGAAATGACTTTCTAGGAATCGCAAAACAAGGAAGTGGGGAGATATGATGTTTTGAGCTTTCCTATGGCGCCTGACAATTGCCTCTTTATCGGATGGTGACGATTCAAGCTTGTTCATAAAAGGATTTTTATGCCTAGGGAACGTTAGCAACAGCAATGTCTGAAATGCGAGAGAAGGTATCTTACTTAAACTTCGGATCGAAGATTCCTTGCTTGCGTCGAATGGTACGTTCCCATGCCTGTGCTATTTCTACCAATATTCTGGATTCCATGGCTGGTTTCTCGTTAATCACCCCAAGCCATAGAGCAATTCCCATTCTAATGGACTCCTTGGTGAATATCTGGAAGGGGATATTGACTAGGTAGGCGATAATTGCCGGGTGGCTATCATCAGTATTACACAGGAGAGCGGCAGTGCGGCGAAGGATGTGTCGAGGAAGATCTAGCGATATATGCCTCTCAGTCCTGATTTGATGCTCTAGGGCAGCGAGAGCTTCTTGGACGGTGTCAGGATAATCAGGCACTCGTGCAGTGGTGGTTTGACCTATGGAGCAAATTAGAAGCTTTATACCATATTTCAAAGTAAAGGGATAGATACCATAAGATATCGCTAGAGGTGACTTTCCTCTGCGTGCTGGGGCGGCTTCTGAGTACCGATACTCTTGTCGAGTGGTATACTGGGATATAAAATCCGATGCAACATTGAGGACAGTGCCGCCTGGGTTATCAATGGATCCTAATGATCATTAACGTAAGTTCGGCGGAATTTAGATGGTTGAAATATGGGATTACGTACCTAATCTTTGGTCCGCAAGGGGTATTGCTGAACCCATTTCAAGTGCTAATGAACGGCCCATAGTGATGTGACCGTACACGCCATCATCGTCGTAATCTGAGAGGTAGGTCTATGGGAGAGGACATATTAGCTGATTTGTTCACATAAGTTTAGCAAAAGATCTCACCTGTAACAACCCCTTGATATCTAATGGTGCCATGTTCATAACACTGGAGATCCAAGTCCGCGCTGCGTTGTGGAGATTTTTCAGTGTACGTCTCCTGAAGTCATAATTATCTGATAAAACAATTTGGACTGTCCCTCTGCTTGATGTAAATGTGGACTCCCACGCAAACTCATCCATTTCCTCGTCCATGCACGATGACCAAAGCAGAGTTATCAAGTCCAAAAGAGTGAAAAGCGACAGCTTCTGGCAAAGGGCTGATGGACACTGAGTGATTATCTTATTTGCAGCCAGTGTAGCAGTTTGTTGGACTTGGACGATGCGATGACAACAAGCAGTGAAGGTATCAGCTAGTTGTTTGGCAATGTAGGGGGCCGAAAACTTCACAGATGTGCTTCGGAGAGCTTTCTCGAGGTAGACGGTAACCACCTTATCGGCAATAGCCCTCATACAATTGCCCATTTCTGAAGTGTTCAGGGTGGGATCGAGGAAGTAAGTAAATACTTTGGTGCAATCACCGGAGTTGGCACGAAGGGTTTCTATAAGTAGTGCCGCATTAAGGAAGAGTACTTTAGGGTAGTTCAAGCGTCGAATATCATGTTCTTGTGCCGGCAGCTCAGCAGTTAGGTTCTTCTTCTTTTCAACAGTTGTCTGAGGGCTCTGGCCACGTCTTAAAATGGTGTTCAGCTCGATGTCACTCTCAAGCTGCTCGGCACGGTTTTCAGAGACAAGAGGGGGAGAGTGTTCAGCGAGGATACGCAGTTGTTCGTAGTTCTCCTTTCCGAGCCCTGAGTGGAGCGATATATCATGGGCTGCGATGTTGAACCAGGCATCTCGGAGCATATCTGAGATATCGTCATTGTCGGAGGCCAATTGGTCCAGACGACCCGCCCTCGCAAGGAGTATAGCGAGAGGTTTCAATATTGGAACAATTTGTCTCGCAGTTGCCTCGAGATCCTCTGGATGAACCTTTTCACGTTCGACGGCAGCCCCCTGGTTAACTAAACCCTCAAGGAGGTATACCAAATAGATCCTGAACACCTCGCTGCTTGGGTTGAGGTGGACAGCAAGGGAATTTCTTGCTTTATGTATCTATTGGTCTGTTAGAAGGCACACAGTAAGAAAAAGCAGAATAGCTAGAATGAAGAGGCTTGGAAAACATACCGCCTCCAGTATCAGGTTATTTCCCTGAGCAAAGGTATCTCGCAGCAGACGAGAGTAGAACTTCAGCAAGAGACGGAACTCCGCGGGTTCACTCTTCAGAGAAAGCGCCGCAGTCTCCTGTATTATGTATGCATCAACCACGACATTTACCTTGCCAATCTTCTGCACCAGAATTGACTGAGCAAGGGCCACTATTTTGCTATCCTCACTGCTGGTAGCGATTGTTACAATGGCATGTACCACATTTCTAGCTGTTATAGAAGTGTCACCCTCTCCATCAATGGCAAGGGATAGGAAGCTCTCATTCGTTGGGGGACCGCGAGTTTCGATCGAATGAGAATAACCATTACTTGCTTCAGCAGTTAGAGCGGTGGTAGCCTTATCAGCTGCCGAGCCAGAGCTAAGGACGTTTCCAAGGGAATAGAGGGTGCCAATGACGGTATCTTGGGAAAGAAGACGGAGGTTCTGGGCCAAACATTGGGCTGCTAGAGCAACGACAGGGCTGCTTTGGCCATTTTGGACAATGAAGCGAAGAAGGGAGCGGGTTAGGCCGTTTGCACTGCCTCGTGATAACCTTGCTAGAACTACAGCGGCCTTAAGGACGACGGTAGCCAGGTCCCTGTTCATCATCTGGTCTGGGTCTGCAATGGTGTTATCCAGGGATGTGAAGAGTAGGTCTAGATCCACAGAATCCTGGTCAACCATGATGCAGTTGATAGAGCACATTACTGACAGCGCCTTGACCAAGAATGCAAGGCGCTGTTGCCAAGTGGAGCTAACTTGCAGGTAATCCGATCCTTCTTCGAGGAGATTGATCTGGTCCCCAGCGAGCTCTGCGGCGTATTTTACCAGGCTAGTCATACCAGGGTCTGAGGTTTTGGCTACACAGTCACCCTCTGCATAACGGGATAGAAGGGTATCGTCTGGTAGCGGCGAGGCTCCATCGCTTTCAACAGGAGAGGTACAGGACTTTAAAAAGGCTATGAAAGCTTGCTGTAGTAGCATAGAGCCAAGGGGCCGTCCGTCAGCCGCATACTGGCGTGTATACCGCCTCCAATCATGTAGCAGAGGATCTGGAGAGCGAGAGTTCCGTATACCGGAAGAGATAGTCTCCACGGCTACCAGGAACCGCTCTGATAGAATAATGTGTAACTGCTTTACAATAGCAAGGCGGTCCAGTGGTGCCCAAAAATGGGGAAACTCGGATGAGGCCCGGAGGAAACCTACTAATGATACCATTAGAGTAGTCACATCCGTGAATTCATGGCTGTCGACCTGTATCCCTGCACCATCTGCATCAAAAACGGCCGGCAGGCGGTCTGTTGCCTGGTGACAATTCTCTAAATACTCGTCAATGGCTTCGTGGACGTCATCCTGCAGCGACTTGTGTCTAGAGCCCAGCGAGAGCAACGCCGTAACGACATCATGGGTCAGGGTCTCCCACGGCGAAGGTTTGTAGGTATGCAGGAAAGGAGACGAATGGATGCGGAGCGTATGGAGCGTAGGTAGGTATCCGGCGAGCAGAGAGACTAGCTTTGCGGCATGGTCACCACGCTGAACGGAGCTAGCTGCCTTGCACAGAGCAAGCAGGACGTCTAGTTCTCGAACTCCCTATCTTTCTCATTAGCCACCTGCTCGCATCGATGCCATTGAGGGAGGGGTGGTAAGGTATGTGGGAGTAAAGGGGGCTAGGGAGGCAGTACACTCGAGGCGCAGCGAGCCTGGGAGCCACCGGACGCCGCCTTGGAGCCATGACAGGCCCTTATGAGCCTCTCGACATCTGAGTTGCCTCGATCATCGTCCTGCCTGGGGTGTTTTGTGGCTAGTACTGCAAGTTTCTCGAGGGCGGCACGCCGGATACACGATGGTGGATGATGCCTGAAGCTCTCCCCCATGTCCAGTTAGCAACTTCTGCGCCCAACGTAGCACCAACACAGGGCGAAAACACTCACATATCCGGTCAACCAGCTTCACCGTCATCCAGGAGCCTTTCTTTTGGGGTGTTCAGGGGTGCAAAGAGCGTGTGGTCGTGTGTTGGGGGCTTCCTTGGAGTGTATCAGATCTCCTTTGCCTGCTGCAGATGCGAGTCGCTGGTAGGATCACCGCCAAGCCGAGGTTTGTTTGGTGACGACAGAGCCAGGGAAACGACTGGACGGCCAGATCGCAAAGAAAGATGCATGAAAAGGTATTTGATACACTCGATACGGGTTGCAAACAGGGTTACAGCTTCGCCATGACCGAACTGAACAAGCCACTCTGTTCTACGGGTCTTTTTTTTTTTTTCCCTTTGCGCCTCTTGTGTCTGTCACTTGTCTCTTCCCAGCGGGTTGGGTGCGTGAAACTACATGCAAGCTCCGCATTGAAAAAAGGAGCCAGCGCCGGAGAGCCTTGAGATCGACTTGCTCGTCTGATATGATACGGCATATTTACACCCGAATACGGATAATAACAAGATAACTAGTTGGACAGTACAAAGTAGTTACAGAAGGCAAAGAAAAAAAGGATAAAAACTGCGGGATGCGGCTCTAACGGCGGCCAACCTTATATAAAGAGCGACTTTCGCAACTTCGAAAAAATGGTCAAGTAAGAAGTTCGCTCAGCCTGGCCTGTCATTGACTCGAAGCGCCGTCTTTTTCCTGCTTGGGGGCTTGCTGCAGCTTGGCCTGGGCTTGTCTGGCCTGGGACTCAAGAGTTCGACAGATATTTGTTTCCGTCTCCGCACACCTCGGCGGCTGTCTCATAGTTGAGCTATAGTACGGGGTATCAGGTACACTGCATCTTTTCTCGACTACCTCTACCACGTTCGACGGCACCATTATTCGGCAATACATATCAATTGCGAAGTGGCTTTGGTCCTCATTTAGCCTGTCATCGGCTTGGATTTGGAGTGTTGAAGCCATTGGCAGCTCGTCCGGGGTATTCGTAACTGCCGGTCACTTCACCGCATCAAGCCTAAAAATGCCTCCACAGAGGGAGAGAAGCCATCTGAAGAGAGAAAGGGTGAGAATATGAACACGTTATAGCTATTGATCCCTGAGAAATTAAGTATTGAAGTTACTAACTTCTTCTTTGCGAAACCTGTAGGGCAATGCAGTTCCGGACCAAGAATCAAAGAAACCACGGAGATCTCCTCGAATCTCATCCCAATTGCAGCAAGATGTCGGATATCTACCCTCTCCCCTAGCCAATGAAATAGTCACCGAAGAAAAACGTGAGGTTGCTACAGTTTCTCCCCCAGAAGAGAGCCGAAACCAGGCGCCTCGAGGTCAATCACCAGACGAATCTTCATGTCCCACCCAGGGTTTTTCTCAGTACCCTCCCATACAATCCATTGACGATGTGGAAGACGAGGCCGCCCAGGGCATATGGGGATATCTTACTCCGTTGGATAACAATTTTGGAGGCCAATTGGTTCTGAAGAAGAGAGACAGCACGAATACTACACCGGTAATTGGAGCGGCATCGGGCATATCAACACCAGAAAGCACCACCTCAAAACGTGGAACCAGAGAGATAAGCCGTGCTGGATATCTAATAGGCCGGCACGCTGAATGCGGTATGTTTTACCCGTTGCATACTTACTTCATGTAGTTGTCCATTGCTGATCATCTTGCGCTGTAGATTTCAGGATCAAACTCCCTACGATATCCAACCGTCACTGTCTGATATTTCACGAAAACAGAGGAGGGGACTTCGTTGCAATTGTAGAAGATCTCTCTATCAATGGCACATTCATCAACGACGCAATCATCGGCAGGAACAAGCGCCGAGAGCTCGAAAATGGCGACGAAATTACCATCTTGCAGGAATCTAGGTTCATATTCAACTACCCGCGAAATCGGAACACAAGTAAGTTCCGCCAACAGTATAAACTCTTCGAGATGTTGGGTAAGGGTCACTTTGCCTCAGTCTATCTATGCGCTGAGCGCTCTACCGGGGTTAAATTTGCTGTCAAACATTTTGAGAAGCGCCCAGGCGCCGTTCAGAGGCTGGATCGCGAGGCGTTACAGCAAGAGATTTCAATGCTGATGAGCGTCAATCATCCGAATATGCTGTGTCTGAAGGATACCTTTGACGAGAATGACGGAGTTTACCTAGTTCTTGAACTTGCACCGGAAGGCGAACTGTTTAACTGGATCATTAGACATCAGAAGCTTACCGACGAGGAAACACGAAAAGTGTTCATTCAGCTCTTCGAGGGTTTGAAATACCTAGTATGGCTTTTTCCCTTTGTCTAATCGGGTGGTGACAGCATGCATGGCTAACCGTCGTTGTAGCATGAACGAAACATCATCCATCGTGACATCAAGCCAGAGAACATCCTGGTAGTCGACACAAATCTCACCGTAAAGCTGGCTGACTTTGGCCTTGCAAAGATTGTTGGCGAGCACTCATTCACCACCACTCTGTAAGTTCCCTTGGCCTTCTAGAGTCAAATTAGAGTGTCAATAGTACTAACAGCCCATGACTCTAGATGTGGAACGCCTGGCTGTAAGTTCACTTGTTGCTTCGGAAACTCTGTGTATATCAATGGATCACCTTGCATCTAACAATTATTATTAGACGTTGCCCCTGAAATATTAGCAGAAAACGCTGAAGATAGGATGTACACCCGAGCCGTTGACATCTGGTCACTTGGAGTTGTGCTTTACATCTGCCTCTGTGGATTTCCTCCATTCTCAGACGAGCTATACGACCCAAGGCACTTCCCATACAACCAGAAAATGCAGATCCAACACGGATACTTTAACTTTCCTTCCCCATATTGGGACTCAGTCGACTATTATGCCGTCGACCTGATTGACAATATGCTTAAAGTCGACGTTAACAAGCGCTTGACTGTTGATCAATGCCTTCAGCATCCCTGGATCACTGGAATCGACCCCGAAGACCCCGGCATCGCGGACAGCACCGATGACCTAGCTGGGGCTATCCGTGGCCTCAAGGTCTCAAAAGAGCGTCGAGCAACTATGGTCCGCAGGCTACTAAGTGATATACATGAAGTTACAGTCAAACAAGTAGTGAAGACAAAGGAAGACGACCCTGCCTCCCAGAAAATAACTATATACCAGAATCATCCTGTGGCCCGGGCCCAGGAACCCAAGCCGGCTGCCAACCGGAACTCAAAGGAGTTCATGGAACTCGGTGGAAGTGGAGACCAGGTGTTATTCGATGACCCATCTGATAATGATTCGTTGGAACTTGAAGGGGAGACACGGAAGCCGGTTATTCACCAGGAAGACGCAGACGAGACTCCACGAGGGCGAAAGAGGTAGCAAAGCAAAGTCCACTCATCTTAGGATCGCACTGGCTACACCATGGCATATTCCGGATATTGGTGTTTACAACTTGTTTTATTTTTTTTTTCTCCATTTGTCCATTTTTATTTTTCCTCTAACTATTTTTATTTTATTCTATTTTCCTTTAAATATACCCCCTAAGAGCAAGTTGAAAAGGGGGACCAGTTAACCGAAAAGCAGCAGAAAACTGACTTGACAGGAAGGTGTTTTTGGAGATGATGGGGATCCTCGTGTTTAGGATGTTTATTTTGTGTGATATATAGGTACGATCTCGTCCCCAGCAATGTAATTACTTTCTCTTCTCTTCCATTCGGACGACGATCTTGATACTGCACAGCCACCCATCGATTGCTCAATACCATGCATGACTAAGCCGGCCTCCTCTAAGCCGTGATGGCCTGATGCGCCCACTGTCGGGTTGCTCCAAGGCAGCAGAGAATACATGCGGAAGATGCTTGCATGAACGCCTTGTCGCTCTCGGGCGTTCAAAATGTAATCATCTTGACAGCTGTTGGCTGTTCATGATATAAGGGAGAAAAGGGGGAGGAGTTATGGTAATTTTCGTATCAGAGATACAGCTGTTGACCAATTGAAGCGAAGTAAATACCAGGAACAATGCATTATCTTACAATACCATACGCCCCTTGCATAAAATGCGAATTCGATCTCATCTTCAACTTTTTTCTTGCTTCGTAGCAGCTTCAGGCAAACCAACAAACCAGAGACTCGAGAGGCAGAAGCAGGAGGATAAGATCAAGAATAGTCACTATGGGCTTCTTAGCCGATATCATCTCTCGTTTCTGCGAGAACTGCTCAACCCTGTCGACGACGGCGCTCGTCGCAAGTGCCATATCGGCTTTTATCGTCCTCTCCATCGTTATCAACGTCCTACAGCAGCTCCTGTTCAAGGACCCTACGAAGCCTCCGGTAGTCTTCCACTTGGTTCCCATCATTGGAAGCACGATCTCTTACGGAATTGATCCATATAAGTTCTTTGACGACTGCAAGGAGAAGGTCAGTTGTTTTTCTTTGTACCTGTTGCTGCCAGGAGAATGCGCATAGCTAACGTGGCCCTGGTTTGGTATTATAGTATGGAGACATCTTCACATTCATACTACTAGGAAAGAAGACGACTGTCTTCCTTGGTACAAAGGGCAATGATTTCATATTGAACGGCAAGCTCAAAGATGTTTGCGCAGAGGATGTCTACTCCCCTCTCACCACACCGGTGTTCGGGCGCCATGTCGTGTATGACTGCCCGAACTCCAAGCTTATGGAGCAGAAGAAGGTGTGTACAGCTATTTACTTCCCCTTCTAGATTCCAAGTGATCCTTGCTGATTAGGTTCTCTACCAGTTCGTCAAATTCGGCCTCACCTCTGAAGCTCTCCGATCATATGTTACCCTGATCACCAAAGAAGTTGAACAGTTCTTCGAGACCTCTGCCGTCTTCAAGGGAGACTCTGGAGCTTTCAATGTCAGCAAGGTCATGGCCGAAATCACCATCTACACCGCCTCTCGATCTCTACAGGGCAAGGAGGTACGCGGAAAGTTCGATTCCAGCTTTGCGGAACTCTACTGCGATCTTGACATGGGCTTCGCTGCCATCAACTTCATGTTCCCATGGTTCCCTTTCCCACACAACCGCAAGCGTGATCACGCTCAAAGAAAGATGGCACAGGTTTACACCGATATCATCCGTCAGCGACGTGAGGCTGGTGGAGAGAAGGACTCCGAGGATATGGTGTGGAACTTGATGTCGTCTGTGTACAAGAATGGAACCCCAATTCCAGATATCGAGGTTGCCCACATGATGATTGCCTTGCTCATGGCTGGCCAGCACTCTTCATCCTCTACCGGCTCCTGGATCGTTCTCCGTCTTGCCAGTCGCCCAGATATTCTCGAGGAACTCTACCAGGAACAGAAACGTGTTCTAGGCGATGATCTTCCACCGCTCACCTACGAAACCCTTCAAAAACTCGACCTTCACAACAATGTTATTAAGGAGACTCTCCGCCTTCATGCTCCAATTCACTCCATCCTCCGTGCCGTAAAATCCCCTATGCCGGTGGAAGGAACCAACTACGTCGTCCCAACCTCTCACAACCTCCTCGCCGCTCCTGGTGTTCCATCACGCGACCCTCAGTATTTCCCTGACCCCATGCTCTGGAACCCTCACCGATGGGAGAACAACGCTGGCGTCACCATAGTGGAGAGCAGTGAAGAAAAGACGGATTATGGATACGGTTTGGTTAGCAAGGGTGCCAACAGCCCTTACCTTCCATTCGGCTCTGGCAGACACAGATGTATTGGTGAACAATTCGCATATGTTCAGCTTGGAACCGTAACAGCTACGTTAGTCAGACTTATGAAGTGGAAGCAGACTGAAGGCACCAAGGATGTTGTGCCTCTAACTGACTATTCGGTAAGGTTATATCTCATTATCCTCGTTTCATCCGATTTAACTAACTTGTCATGAATAGTCCCTCTTCTCGAAACCCCTTGGCAACCCAATGGTCTCGTGGGAGAAACGAAAGCAGCCATCTCAGAAATGATAATCACGATTGCGGATTGAATCATGTTTATTTCTTGCTTTTTACTCATTTATTTCTTCTTTCTTTACATTTATACACCGAGCCATATTTGCACTTTATGATTTTGCAAATAGGGCTTCGGAATAGAGCATATGTAATAAAACCTTTTCTTTGACCACACTTCGGAGATGGGGTATAGATAATAGCATTATTAGAGCCGTTTATCATAATAATCTAGATGAACAGGAAATTTGCACTTACTCCGTTAACTTTGGTACAAAAAAAAGGTAATATACATTGGAAATAGTACATCTTCCCGCAGCTGGGATAATCTAGCATCTAAACAGCAATATCCAAGCCGGTAACGTCCGGAAGTAACTGGCCGGCAACATCGTTAATTCCATGCTCCCCTTTCAACTCCAGCACTATATTAAACGGCTAAGCAGCTGCTTGAGCATTCCGTCTTTCCGCCAGCGCCCTCTTCGCCCTGATCTCCTTCTGTCTTCGCTGACCACCGTCAATCTTCCTACCACGCTTATGTTCCCACATACCATCCGTAACCTGGACCTTGACCGCAGTACTCCATGTGTTTGGAATAATCTGAGCATATGGTCCCTTGATCATGTTTCCATGATGCAATTTATAATGGGCAAAACTCTTGAGCGACTTAGCATTATCCTTGAGTTCCGTTTCTCCTGGTGGTAGGTTGACAATCGCATAACGCATTCCGGGTGACAAGGTAGCAGTACCCATTGAGCCAACATCCAGGGGCTCTCCATTGGCGTTGACAGTGTTCGCACTCTTTGACTTTTCAATGGGAACTTCGACGGCTCTCAACTCAGCAACACCATCAACAACGTTCTCGAAATCACCACCAGGGCCATAGTCCTGCTGTCTAAATTTTTCTCTCCACCGCATTATGTATCGTCTGTCCCTTGTCATTTCTATGCCCAACTCGCGAAGCTGGGCCGAGTCCGCCGTAAACAATTGCTTCCATTCGGTGAATTTGCTGGAGTATCTAGACATATTCCGTCCAATTAGGCGTAGGAATGTTTCCACATCGGGCACGAATGGGGTAGGCGATGGAACTGTCGTGGGTTTCCGAGATTGGTGAAGGTACCGTACGCATGGTTGGTACTGAGGGTTTGTGACAGAAGTGAAGATTCGTAGTGGAAGGGATGTTCTGGCATTAAAGCCCGGTATACGCGCCGCGGCCATGGTGGTTATATCGCTGTATATCAAGCCGTTCAAAAGTCGAGGTCTGGGGGATAAGGATTTTAATGTAGCTCGCGGTGTAAGAACACCATCAGCGGATGTGACGAGAGCAAATCTGCTACAGCACCAAGGGCCTAATTCAACCAGTAGAAGCCCCAAGGCGTATCGATCCAATGCTCAATGGTGCGATATAGAAGACGCTCAACTTGTCCCTTCGTCTTCGTTCAAGTTTTTGCACCAAAATTTTGAATTGGCATTTGCCTCGGATCAATAAAATGCCGACTCCGATTGAGCTCGGGCCAGCAGAAGCTTCCATCGTAGCATGAAAGATGAAAGACAACAAGAACATTTTGAATATCAAGACAGCAAAAAAATTCGTGTCGATCAAGGGGTTGGAAGAGTTTTTGGGTCATTGTTTCATTTTCTGTACTACTTCTTCTTTGTCCCGCGAAATTGGTAGACATCCAATTTCACTTAACATTATGGCGGTATCGCCTCTTCCCTCTCAAATCCCTCCTATCACCACTACTGGTGCTCCAAAATCCCTGGCAATGAGAAACATTACATCTCAAGAAAATCAGCTTGCGCCTGGTAGTGATTCTGCAGCTCCGAAACTCTCTATGCCTGAACCAGAACTGGCAGAGCAGTTAAATGCCGATGTACGGCGGAAATATGTCAAAGGTGGGCGGGCAAATGCTCTTCTGCAGTTGACATCTCGTAATGCTAACCTTTAATCCTTTTGAAAGACAAAAAGCTCGGTGAAGGTACATATGCAGTTGTCTACCTGGGCCATCTACGAGACGATCCTACATCTCTCGTTGCAATTAAGAAAATAAAACTAAATGCCGAGTACAAGGATGGACTATCTATGGATGCCATCCGTGAAGTAAAATACCTCCAGGAGCTGTCTCATCCGAATGTCATTGCTCTGCATGATGTTTTCTCCTCAAAGGATCAAAATCTAAACCTCGTTCTTGAATTCTTACCCCTTGGAGACCTCGAAATGTTGATTAAAGATAACTCTATCCAGTACGGTGTGGCCGATATAAAAGCATGGATAAGCATGCTTGCACGCGGAGTCTGGTTCTGCCATAAGAATTTTATTTTACATCGTGATATCAAGCCTAACAACTTGCTAATTGCGTCCAATGGAGAGGTTAAACTAGCGGATTTTGGTCTTGCTAGATCCTTTGCTGATCCATATCTAAACATGACGCATCAAGTCATCACGCGATGGTACAGGCCGTTGGAACTACTATTTGGTGCTAGGCAATATTCTGGTGCCGTTGACATATGGTCCATGGGAATGGTGTTCGCGGAGTTGATTCTCCGTGTGCCTTTCGCCGCTGGAAACACAGACATGGATCAAATATCTAAAATCTGCGCTGCATTTGGGGCCCCCACGGAAGAAAACTGGCCTGGAGTGACGAAGCTACCCAACTATGTCCCCCTTGAAGAGAGCCATATCATACCCCTACAAGGGCGAGAATTTTTCCTCCGCCAATTTCCAACAGCAGGGCCTTTAGGTGCTGATTTGCTTGCCTCTATGTTAAAACTTGACCCAAGAAAACGAATCACAGCTACTCAGATTTTGCAGCATCAGTGGTGGTTTGCTGAGCCTAAACCAACCAAAAATGAAGACTTGCCCAGGAAAGCAGGTGGAGAAAAGAAAATGGGGAACGATATGGGCAGGCGAGTTGGTGAGATTGATGACGCGAGATTCAAGGGAGTGTCTCGTCAACTTGATTTTGGAGCTATGAAGAAATGAGCGGAAATAAAAATGCATTGGCCCTCGATATAACACAAAAACGCCCCAATTGACAGTAAATGGGCAGATACTGGTATTCCTTGCGACTAGGCGACAAGATGTGCCACAGAAAGCAGTTATACTACAAAAATACGGAGCTGATACTCTACCCTCATGAGGGGAAGCTTCATGTCAACGACAATTTTGATGAGGCCTTCAGAACAAATACGTTAGCCAGTTGCAATCTTGCAGAAGAGGAGGAGCTAGGAGATTCAAGTACAAGACTCAACAGGAGATAGATACAGGTCTCACTATGCTCCCAAAGGCCAAATTCTTCCTGGTGACTAAGGAATAGGCGGAGTTGCTTGATCTTGGATGATCTTACAACTATAATATTTCTTCATGGCGGTAATTACAGCGTAGCCTAACACTTACCTTTAATCAAGGGGTTAAAGTTGATAAACAACATACCGCTGGGTAACGCCCAACTTTCATTTATGTTGTAGGCTATGCATTGTGGATTTGATAATTTAATATCAATTATGATCTAGTAGAATAAACAGGTCTTGAGCATGTTACGCATGGAGACATTGATGATGTATGATTGATGATTAATTCTATGGGAGATACGGCATTCCAACACTTATGGCTAGCAATAATCCACATAACTATTCAGTCACTTTTTCGGTTGAAGTGGCTCCCACGACGGTACTCTTGTTCCAGTATCCGAATCCATAAGCTCGTTTGTTGATTGTGGCTGTTTGGTAGCATTTAGTACCGACGAGGCAGTGACTCCAGCAGTGTTGTTCGAATATGATTCCCCTTGGCTGTTTTTGATCTGTTGTGTAGGAGGCATTTCATCCATTTCGTATCCATTGGAGCTATTGGGTTTAGAAGCTGTCTTCTGAATGGATTCACCTGATGCAGGCTTGCTCAATTTTGCTGGTTTCCTGGGTATTGGAGGTGGTATCTTCACTGTTTTCACGGGTTGGCTGCTCACGATGACTTTGGACTGTTGAGATGTGTTTTTGTCAAGTGACCCAGGACCACTTATAGTTTCTGTAATTGACCTAAGTGGTACTGTAGGGTTAGAGGATATTGAACTCTTTGACTCCCGAAGACGTGGGTCCTGGTCGCTTATTTCGCTTAAAGCATCATCTCTTCCGACGTGAAACCAATCAGACCCTTGAGAGACTGAAAAGGGGTTTGCACTACGCTGTACGTTGATCATAGCACCAAGCGGCGGAGAAATGGTAGATCGAGCAGGAAGGCCTATACCAAGGTTAATATGAGCATATCCTCGCCAAAGGGGGGTTAAATCAATACTCACCATAGTCGAGCCACCATTTGTGCTTCTCGGAGCTAGGAGGAGGAAGGCCAGGAGAGATTGAGTGCATAGGCTCATTCTCATCTCCTTCATTATCAGATAGCAGGTTTGTGATAGTGGCTCCAGGATTTTGTTTTAGTTCTTCGTAAAGCTTACGGCTTATTTCCTCCTTTCGCTTCTCGTCTACTATCGATATGTCACACTCAAATACTCCATAAACAGGTCGATGGTCCGAAAACTTCAGGGGCGCAGTTTTATAGGCTAGCTGACGTAGAATTCTCCCTCTCCAAAGGATCCTGTCGCACCAGGCGGGAATCCTTTGCTTTTCTCTGCAAAAGTATTAGTACATATAAATCCAAATGGACATAGTATTCTTAAAACTTACGAGGTGTCGTATTCATCTGTGCCATTGTCGTATCTATATGTCGGAGGGAATGTGACAGGCCCTTCCATATAATACTGGAATGCAAGGCCAGCGACCATTTGGAGGTTGAGCTATTGGCAGTTAGTAGTTATCAAGATATCTATTAGCACGTTAAGAAATACCTGGTCATTCTGATATAGTGTATCTATATCTCCCTTTTCAATCAAAGGTCTCACACGCTCGTTGCTCATGCCAATCCTATAGTTAAAATCACCAAACCAGATGGTTGCATCATGCCCGGCAATAGGTCTGTTCCGTTGAAACCTAAGGCCCTGGGCTATGGTATGGTAATCTCGGTTTCTTTCTTCGTAGTTTGAGAAACCAGCAGCTAAATGGGCAGTGACAAAGCATATCGACGTGTTGTTATAATCCAGGCGGATAGCAACAGCACCCTTGTTTCCTCCCATACCAGATAAGCCAGTCTGTTGTTCAATCATCATTAGCTCCTTTTCCTCAAAAGAAAAATGCACAGGATATATTAGCAAATACCTTTTTCAAGCTACCCTCCACATTCTTTATCTTTTTGATAACATCCTTCTTTACAAACAACAGGAGTGCAGCGCCCACTAGCTGACCACTTCTTAGCAAAACGTATTCGGTTGTTCTTCTCTTCGCAGCCCTAGCATTGAGTGATGATATAACTGCGTGCTCCCATATTTTGCGTGTGCTTGGATCAGTAGACATAATCTGCTGGGGGCTAAGCTCAACAATCTCTTGGAATCCAACAGCAACTATGGTAGGTTCCTCGGGAAGCTTTTTCAGAGAGCCATGCAGCCATGGGCCCAAATCTTCCGTAGCTCCTTCACGGCGACCGTTGATGTTAAATGTTCCAACCCATATATTGATTTTCTCGGACGAGGTAAACTCCTTCAGTCTCCGGGTAAGCTCAGCGTTCACTGCATCTTTCACTGGGTCAAACAGATACACTAGCTCCTGGTTAGGCAAAAGCCCCAGTAGGGTATCTATAGTAAGTTGTTTTCCCGGGTCGGTAAAGTTGTTCACAAATAGACGGGCTGCACTCTTCCGCATATCCGCAAAGGAACCAGCAACTGACATTGTCCCGTGTCTGGTAAAAGATGACTTCAAGGCCCCGGTTCCGGCATATATTCTCGACAAGATATCTCCGCTATCAGCCCATAGAGTTGAGTGCTTCATCCAGAATTCCGGTGACGCACGACCATGCCGCTGTTCAAGAAACATTTCAATTGCCATACGGCTAATCATGGTTTGAACTAGATTAGTCCTGTCCAAACAATCCAGACAGTTGGTTCGAAAAACACCCTCCTGTTGTAGCACAACGTTTCTTTGCCTGAGAAGTCTGAGTTCTGATGCTGATATATTGTTATCGTTACCCTGAGGACCCTCGGAAAGGAAATAGGCGAATCCTTCGACAGAATCCGCTATCACGTTCTGTATAAAACGAGCAGCTTCATATCCCGTTGTTTTCGTTTCAGCATGGAAATCATACTCTGTTAACTTCAAAAGATCATGGTCTGAGTCCGACTTTATATCACGATTCTGGCGCAAAGGACTTCCTCGAACATGGTACATATATCTCTGTGACAGTTCCGCTTCTCCAGTCTTTGCTTTGGCGAGCAAGTTAACTGCATGAACGGCTCCATATTTCTCCGCTAGAGCCGCGAAATGTTTATCAAATGCAAGTTGTGTGGCACCTGCAGAGCGGCTGATGCTGATTTTCTGTTGTCCAGGGATATAACCAGGTTCCTGTTCCCAAAATATAGGTACAGAGCCTCGAATCTGGGTATAAGAAAAGCATAGGGCAGGAGGTATCCATAGGATAGTTTCAGTTTCAACAAAGTTGGCAACATTTCCATCATCATTAATGCCTCTTGCGTTGAATCTGGTTCCCGCACGGCGAGAGGAAAGGCGCGATATCACTGTTAAGCTTGAGGGCATATTGGATTCAATGTCTGGGAATAGAGGCGATGAAGCAGGGATAGCTAAGGACAGAGCAAACCCCCTAATAACAGATATAAGAAGACGAGATGAGTCTAGATTCTGCCTGTCATTCAGACTTAACCCGCTTCTGAGCTGTAGTAGAGGCTTGATCATGAATGAATTCCACAGAAAATCCTCATCCAGGCTCTCAACATCATAGGCAACCGGGTCATCAATTCTTTCGAGTATGAAATTAGCTAATGTTTAGTCCACTCTATATGAATATTTCATTGTTGTTTCTTACCTGTCCTGGATGCGTTCAGTCAAGTTGAAGTCAGAACTGTAATAAAAGCTTCCATCACCAAGCAGCTTTTTTAGTGTTAAAGATGGATTCTCGACTGAAGATTCATATTCTTGGTAAGGCCTCCCCGTATGGCTATTATAAGAATCAAAATCATAATCCTGGACCAGGTCATAGTCGGATCGATTTAAGCAATCTATAGTATATACCTGTCAGCCTCGTCCATTCAATCAGATATAACAAGAGAGAAGCGGGAAAGAAGAAGAATCTGAACTGGGTACTTCGTACAGAAGTCAACGCTGTCTATTCTTTGCACTGTTTCTCCGGGTCTCACGTTAGCGACATTGGTTGCTTGAGTGACGATGCATATAAAAACCTCCCCAGCGGCCAGCGCGATAAGGCCGAGTGTTCCAAGCCCGGTTCCCAGGGTGCGGTACTCGGCCAGAGGTATTGAATCGGCAGTAGTAAACTCGACAATACATTTTGGATAGCTCAAGATCTCTATATTCCCGGCCGATTCTTCAGTTGATTGGTGATGGCGCATGGTGAGGGCGTAGCCATTTGCCACGAGGACAATTGTGCGCTCCGGCGCATCCTTGCAGAGGACTCGTACAGCCATCGCCCCAGGTATTTATGCACCAGAGTAGAGCGGTTATATCAATTATTTCGAGCGCATGTGTTATCTGTTCAGCAGAGGTATAGTAGTCGCATAGCCTGTTGCGCAGATGGCTATACTCGATGGTCGCATATTTTTCTTTCACCCATCCGCAGCAACGGAAACGTCAGTGTCGGTCGCAAGTGAATTTCCCCCCTTCCTTGCCAGCTTGCTTTTCTTTTTAAATATAATGAATATCACACAGGAAGGCGCGTGTGTGACAGCTATAAGTTATATATCTTGGGTTGAAGTAACTAGAATGCTGCTTTTTCTTGGGCCCAGCCGGTCTTGATATAAAAATCTGTTAGGTTTGTTATGCTGAGAAAAAGTGAAAAGAAAAGAAAGCTTGAAGGAAGAAGTCAATATAAAGTAGATAGATAAAAGCCAGCCACTTCGCTTTATTAAGTCTTAAAAGTGAGTATTCAAATAGAAAAAGATAGAGAATTCCGGCTCACATCTTTGTGTGTGATTGACAATAGCGATAATGGATACATTCATTTGTTTTGAGAAATGTTGTAGTTAATCGACAACTAAGAAACTAGTTAGGACCCTCCATACAGCTGTTTGAAGAATTTAAAGCATAGAAAACAATCTGTCATTGTAGAAATAAACACTGTACTGCCTCATCTTTGTTCCTTCATGTCCTCTTACTTTGTCATCTGGTTCAACAGTGCAACAATGAAGGAAGACGCCCCATTCATCCCCCTCCTCTTACTCCCGGAGAATTTCAATTTTTTCTTCAACCACAGCCTTTATAGTTTGGTTTGCTTCCGTGTACACTTTTTCCAGCACTAGGACATGCTTTGCTATCTCATCTTCAATCTCTAGCTTTTTATTTGCCAGTTCTGAAAGCCGTTCCAGCTGTGTCTTGCGGTATTCCAGGCTATTTGATACGTTAATAAGCCAGTAGAGAGCAAAGTCTTGAGTGGGAGTTCCTGGGCGGGTACCAAAACCGGGCAGAGGACTAGAGTTAGCAATCTAAATTCAAGTACAGCACATACATGGCTTTCTTGTTCGAACTCGAGACCTCTTTCAGCCTGTCTTCTATCTTCTTGACATTCGCTTTGTGGTGAGCTTGAATCTTTTGGCGCCCGTCAGTAGCTAACTTCCTTCCCGCTACCTAGGGAGGGAAAGAGATATCGGTTAATACTCCGGAAGCCATTATTGGTATTCGCAGGCATCAGCAAAATGAAGCAGCGCTAACAATAGCATTCGCTGCTCACAGTATTGTTTAGTTTCTTGAGTAAATTGGTTATTTCTGCGCCTGAATCTGCAGAGAGCTCGCTCTCGCTCTCCACCGTATCCGCTCTCCGCTGGTTTCTTGCGCGCGACTTTGGTTGTCCCCTTTGTGATGCACGTTTCGGAGCCATGGTTTGCCCCCCTTTTGATATTAGTTTCAATGATTCAAAGGGATATGCGACCTGCTTTGAGCTGCCTTGAATGGTTTTGCATCTGTCAAATCTGCTGGAAGTTGACGAAGTTGATGAAGTTGAAAGTCTGAAATTACCCAAAACGGACGCAGGGAGAATCCGGATTTACATTATTCCGTAATATTGGATTGTGTAAGCTGATTATTGCGGCGTCGCTTTGTTGCTTGCACCAAACAGCGATGTTGAGATCCTTTGGAGATTTTTATTTAGAAAGATGTGGAATTGGTGTATTGATATCGGACGGTTGTACTTGACTGTGTAGTATTTCTGGAGAGAAGTTACCATTGGCTGGTGCATTGGGGAGTCTCTAATCCCTTGGTGGCTATGGGTGCTTAAAGCAGCGACATGAGAATATCTTATCAAACTCCAACACTTTTTGAAAAATAAAAAATAAAATAAATTTCGTCCTCCAACTTTCCCAGCAGTCACTATTCTCAAGCAGTCACGATGGGTTTAGCCGGTCCTAAGAAGTGAGTCTGCACTCTGTAACTGTCAATTAATGCCATAGGGCCTGTTTAACCATTCACCAGGAGGACCAAAATTTCAAGCGACCCGAATAACACAACGTGGACTCGATCAACGTCCAACTATGGACACAAAATCATGACATCCCAGGGCTGGGCGCCTGGTGATTATTTGGGTGCAGCAAACAGTAACCGGACCGATACATATACCGCCGCCAGTTTCGGTCACATCCGGGTATCTCTCAAAGACGATAACCTAGGGCTGGGTGCGAAACCCCGCCGGCCACTGGTAGACGATGAGCCCACCGGACTCGACGCATTCCAAGGACTATTAGGACGACTCAATGGAAAGAGTGAAATTGAAATAGAAAAGGAAATGAATGTCAAACGGGATATCAAGGCCATGACTTATATTGAGCGGAGATGGGGCTGCATGAACTTTATCCGTGGCGGACTTCTGGTACCGGATAAGGTCAACAAAATACCAAATGACGAAGAAAACAAGGCCGTGGAGAGTACAGAGAATATCAAGCCTACCGAGGAATCAGTAAGTGAAGATACAGATAAGAAAGAGAAGAGGAAACGGGAAAAGAAGGAGAAAAAGGAACGAAAAGAAAAGAAAGAGAAATCCAAGGAGAAAAAGAAGCGGAAGAAGGACGCGGAAGTGTCTGAGGATATTGCAGACAGCGGGTTTGCAACGGAGATATCTACCCCTGCTTCAAGAGCGGAAACTTCTGATGAAGCCGACTCTGCTGATTCAAAAGACGAGAAACGAAATTCGAAGGATAAGAAGAAATCAAAAAAGCGGAAACGAAAGGAAGACGCCCAGGCTGATAAGGCCGAACCTTTACCTGTACCCAACGAAGCAGCAAAAAAAGACACTGAGGCGGCCGAGGCCGCTAGTTCAGTACCAGCAGTACCTGTTGCTGTTAAGGAAAGGGTTATCCCTATTTCTCGACAGCTTCTACGAGGAAGATATATTCAGCAAAAGAGACGGGCAGTTATGGACACTAAGTCATTGAATGAGGTACTACTTTTGCCATCCGTTATGAGACACCTAGAAGCTAACAAGAGGATAGATATTTATGACCACAAGTTGATACCATCTACCTTGTTTTTAACTTCCTCCTGCATGGGCAGGCTCCATTTTGAAAAATATGATTTGTTATAGATCCAACTGAAAGATGGTTAGATGATCTTATATACCCATGAAGCGTTATAATTCTATAATACTATTTTTGAAAACTTGCCTCTCGGTATTTCACTTTTTATTTACCTATACCTTTGTTCAAAAGTGCCCTAAAATCCCAGAAGAATCCTTACAGGTGTTTATCTGGGCCTTAGGAAAAGCGGCTAGGAAGCTCCCTCATAGCTTACTTTGCTGGTTGCCATGACGTCCTGGTTTAGTTTACTTTTTAAAACAATATGGACTTCAGATATCCTCTCTTTGCTATCTACCAAATTCACAAAGTCAGGCCATATATTGTTTTTGATCGAGGGGCCTTTAAAGAAACCTGCTTTGAGACCACTATATCACTCTGAGCAGCTGATAATTGATAGTGACATTCGTTTCTGCTCAGCCTATAGGCTCTTTGTGCAGGCGATCAGCCTCACAGGCCAGGCCTTTGACAATGATTGACCACAAGCATGCTAGCTTAAGCCAGATTGAGGCAGCTTTGTCTAAGATGACTGTAGAGGAGACTGCTCGCTTAGCTTCTGTCTTCGAGTTTGAAGGTGCCTTGGCCGAAAAATTCCAAAATACCAGCTTTGGCTCTCACGTTGTTGACAGTGATGGTATGATCCGCATTCCAGCCGTTCTCTTCGCTGGCGATGCAAACAAGGTGTGTATTCTGCTATCTGTTTATTTTCCTCCGGTGTCGAGCCATATAAACGTGTCAGGCCTTATTTTACTTACATAGAGTAATAGGGACTCCCAGGGATCACCCTTACTCCAACCACTCCCTCTGAACCTATCACTCCCGGTACGGTATCAGCGTTGTCAACACCGCCGAAACCTCTAGCAATGTCCTCTTTACCGCCGTCTTGTCCTCCTCCGCCTCCTATGCCGGCAGGTTTCGAGTTCAAAAACCATACCGAACGGTACTTCTTTGCCATTGCTGCACGCGCGCTCCAGGAGGCAGCAAAGCTCCCCGAACAACCGCCACCAAACGGATGGCTTCCTAGCCAAAAGTGTCCCATATTCTATTCTTCGATCCTTGACCAATTCACTGTCATATTCCGCGAACGGCTTCAAAGCCTGGGTCGCTACCAACAGGATACTTTCATTGAAGAATGCCAGCATCACTACGTCAGCATTTTCAACAATATCCGCTCTAGATGGCATTATGCTCCCTTTGGCTCGATTGATGGGTTCAGAACCACTATCAATACTCCTAACTGTGCAATTGCTGCCCAGGCACTGAAGCACACTGTCAGAAAGCCGACCTCGCCTCCGCCGGCTAACTGGAAGATCAACGATCCCCTACACACTTACTACGTCATTATGCTCGCTAGATTCCGTATCCATTTACGCAATATACTAAGCAACTACGACATTCTTTTGATCGATGAACCGATTGATGTCCACGAGTCTACTTGCCGATTTATCGAGCTGGTTATCCAGGAGTACCGCCGCATCTGGATCACGAACCACGGGCTGGAGTAAAGGAAGGGTCTGTCTTTTCTTTATCTACTTTATTTCCTCCTAGACGAGCCCAAAAACAAAACAAAACAAATGAAATGGAAATGGAAAAATAAGGAAAGGAAAAGGGGGAGGCTCATGCATGTGAATAAATAGACGCGAGTAATTAAGTTCGATAGCCGCGATAACTATGAAGCCGAGCTATTACGTCACCAATAGAGCAAAGCCCAACCTCGTAGTTAGAAACAGACGCTGCTTCACCTTCACTAACTTTATCCCTTCCACCCTCATTCACTTAGCAGCAGCTAGACGGCGGTTTATTCTTTGTTCAAGAGTCACATTTGGCTTCCCTTGGGCCCCGGGGGCGCTCACATATATATCTAAGCCCGAGAACTTGACCTCCAACCTCTTCCGCCCGCCTGCGACCCTGAAACATCTAACTCAAGATCTCACAAAAGGCTGCTCTTGATCCGCCGGCCGAAACAGACACCTCTATCGCAACCTATCCCCATGCCCGACATCGATAGAGTGTTTGCCGAAATGAAGGGCGAAGCAGGGGAAACCTATTCTGGCTCCATGCGACAGTTCCGGAGCCTGGTGAACACATCTCCAGAGTCGCTATTCAATGACTCCTCTTCTACAAGCAGCATAGCAAACGGTTTATCTGGCTCTCCGCCGTCTCGAAGAAATTATGGCCTGGTCAGGACGAGGTCAGACCCGTTCAAGCCCAATACTACTACAACTCTCCTACCTCAGCCTGAGAGTGACTATACGCAGCGTATGGGGTATGTTCGCCCAGTTAAACTGCAAGGGAGATAACGAAACTAACAGACTGCTCCATTTGGTTACGATAGAATACGATGGGCTCCGTTGAATATCAGTCTCAAACGGCGCCTTCAGACTCTCGTCGTCCTACTTCATACCATCTCGATCGCATTTTGCTTGATGTCGTTCTTTTTCTGCTGCGCCATTCCACTCTTCTGGCCAATTCTGTTTCCATACGTGGTTTACATATCACTATTCTCCAAGGCCGCAACAGATGGAAGGCTTTCAAGAAGAAGCAACTTCATCCGATCTCTACCCATTTGGAAGCTGTTTGGCTCGTACTTCCCGGCCCGCCTTCACCGAACGTCCCTCTCCCGCCAACTCGAAAATATATCTTTGGCTACCACCCACATGGAATTATTTCTCATGGAGCATTTGCTGCCTTCGCCACAGAAGGATTAGGCTTTTCCAAGCTCTTCCCGGGAATCACAAATACCCTGCTTACCCTGGACTCGAATTTCCGACTTCCCTTCTACCGAGACTGGGCATTGGCGATGGGCTTAGGTAGTGTATCTCGAGAATCTTGTGAAAACATCCTTTCAAGAGGTGGAATGAACAAAGAAGGCATGGGCCGCGCAATTACCATCGTGATAGGTGGCGCACGAGAATCTCTCGATGCACAGCCACATACCCTCCGACTAATCTTGCGCCGACGTAAAGGATTTGTCAAGCTTGCTATCCGCACTGGCGCAGATCTTGTTCCTGTCCTTGCATTTGGTGAAAATGAGCTGTATGAGCAGGTGAAGTCGGACCAGCATCCGCTCATCCACAGATTCCAGATGCTGCTCAAGAGTTCTATGGGATTCACTATCCCACTTTTTCATGCTAGAGGGGTCTTCAATTATGATGTTGGCTTGATGCCATACAGACGACCATTGAATATCGTTGTTGGTAGACCAATTCCAGTTATGCAGCAAACTGATAGGAGCAAGATGGATGATGCATATATTGACGAATTGCATGAGAAATACATTCAGGAATTGGAAAAGATGTGGGATGAGTGGAAGGACACCTTTGCTCCAGGCCGTATCTCTGAGCTCGAGATTGCTTCTTGAACACCCTCTTGAGCTCAACTACCGCGGGTGTCTCACTAATTTGACATTTCTTTCTTTCCCTTCGATTTCAATTCTGGAAGTCGTTGATTGAAACGGCTGATAGGAGGCTTGGATATTTTGGGTATCGCCCCTCAGCCTCTTATTATCTTTTCTGGCGTTCGATTGGTAGCTATTAACTCACATCCACATTTTTGCTATCTGTTACTACTACTACTACTACTACTACAGAGAAATAAACACACCACTATTCGGTGCAGAAACATGAAGTAACTTAGACTTGGGTTTATCAAGGAAGCATAGAAGCATATGTATTCCTGATTCATCTATCTCACTATCTATTTGTTTCACAGGAGTATCATAGCGGCGATAGATTGTAATACCGTACCCTAGATATCAATATCTACTGAGAGACGGTGTACCCATCCCGCGCATGAAACACAAACCGTGTGTTGTTATCCGTGAAACCCAGAAATAAAATATTTATGATATTTTGTGACCAGCAACATAAGTGGGTGACAGACATTTGATATGTAGGGTATCATGTTGCTTCAAAGCAAGAAAAAAAGGAAAAAAGCAAAGGAATATAAAGAGGGAAAACAAAACCGGTTTAAAAGTCGCTGCAAGCGCTCAGTAGAAACAGCCCCAACCAAAATAAACACAAAAACGCCAGGAATCTCTTCCAGAACAGACCGTCAGCTATGTACTCCATTCTAAGAATATAGAGTAGGAGACGGAGCCCGGTGGTCAAACGATTCCTATCCAGTCCATCTTCCCATCGACATTCTTCCAGCCTCCTTGTGCGATTGCCTTGTTCCACCCTAGCATGACAGCTAATAGCCGGCATGTAATGCTACTGACAGCACAAACAACACCATCACCTTCCGCTAGAAGTGATAGGTCGGTAAGATATGTTTTAGCAACCAGCTCGCGCAGCCGGAGAGCCTCGGCAGATGGGTTGAAACGAAGTCTGTCATATTCAGATTCGCGGACAACGCGATGTGGAGGAAAGACTGAAGACGTGCCCTGGGATGCGGAAGGGCTGCCTTCTGCCGAAGGGATGAGAGAAGTATCCCCAAGTGACCAGAAGATGCTGTTGAAGAAGCCTCCATCCCAGTCAATTTTAGAGTCTTTTGGTGGCTTTTTGGCAACAATTTTGGCAGATTTACCGCTGGGCTCCTCAGTGAACTCTTGTAACCCATCCAGGGGACTGTCACTGCTTAATGAAAGGCTGGACTGGGCCTTGATGATGCCTTTCATTTCAGGAGAAGAATAAGTCTCTGGGTCATCCGAGGCGAGAATCATGCTCGATGTAGCTCTGTACTGAGCCTCTGAGGCCTTCTTGCTACTACTGCTGTTGATGCTGTAGGAAAATATAGACCTCTGGTTGTAAAAGGAGGTGACCAAGTCATTTGCCGCATCGACGTATATATCGAGTGGGATGTAGGATTTCTCGTACTGGAACTCGAATGGATGGCGATCACCATGGCGGACATGGATGCTAATCAGGGGGCCGCCGCCCTTTGGAATAGAACTTCGTATCTCCGCCATTCGTTGCTCAATGTACTTTGCATCATCGCTGTCAATGTGGAAGAGTGCTTCGTATCCCGCACGGAGAAATTTGAACATTTCCTTTTGCCGGTCAGCGCCTACCTTTCGTGGACTTTCGAACTGTTCATTAAACTTGGTACCAAAAGTCCATTGAGCAGTGGCCGAGGATACAAGGAGATGACGTGCGTGGTGAGGGTATGGGGTCCTATGTGAAACCGGGGGAGGCTGGCAGTCGGGCAACGGGGGTTGCTTGAAATAGTTGGTATATCTGCCATAAGGCCAGTTCTTGTCGTCAATGAAAAATGACCGTCCTTCTTTCTTTGCAAGGCCATAGCTCATCCATAATGACATCAGGGTAGCCCCCAGGCCTGCGTCCTCCGTCTGCATCACGAATGTCAAGCTCTTCTTACAGACAGCCATAGTATCCCGCATCCTGAGATATTTCTCTCCACCAACAACATTATCTGCAACATTTCTGGGAGTGCGTCCATTCAGCTTGGATGGGATGATATCCCGCTGCTTTGCCTCATCAATATCGATGTAATTCTTATCCACATGGTAATATCCACTGGATTCTTTTCCGTCGGCTAGATGGAATGCCATTGCCTCAGCCTCTGAGCATATTTTTCTATACTCTGCAGGAGAGAGAGGGTAATCGAGATTCTCCGGAAGGGAGACAGTCCACCTTGCCCTTCCACGTTCATCATCCACAAGAACTGGGCCGGCCACCGCTGGCAGTGTATCACTCTCAACAATCTCATAGCTTCCGGCCTCTGCCACCGGTGTGGCTGGATAAAGCCGTGTAAACAAAGGGGTAGATTGTAAGCAGAAGAATATTCCAACCAGACATCCAATCCACACAGCGAGCCTTCGAAGGCGTATTAGCCACCTTGGCAACGGTTTTTTACCTTGCCGAGGCAGCACAGCGGGTAGACTGGGAGACGGTAACGGAGAGTCGAGTAATGGCACTCGCAGGCTGCCACTGGACAGCGTAGCCGGTGCCCTGCGCATACTCACGTCATGCAAGTTTCGTCGGGATGCGATAATCATGTTGAAAATCAGAGGCTAAAGAAGTGTCCTTTTGAAAATTGATAAAGTCACGAGCCAGCTAATTCGCGACCCTGTTGCCCCCAGCTTCGTTCCTCCTTCGGTGCACCAGAGAGCTTGGTGCTAACTAAGGGCAATATCAATCCAACCTTCGCGTTAAACCCTTCGCTAGAGCAATTGCAACAACCGTTAATGTCGGCTAAGGACAGACGTTTCCCCTTCCAAAGGGAAAGAAGGCCGATAACCAGTGTGCAAATAAAGGAGTGACTAAAGGGTCAAAAGGGACATCTTCCACCAGGCCGGCCAGAGGAAATGTGGTCAAGTGCGCGCTTCCAACACACAACACAGGCTTGGGCGAAGAAAGAGAGACGAAGGAAAAATCCTCCTCAGGCGAAATATATAAAACGAGCGGCAATCAAGGCTAGAAAAGGCAATGCGGGGGCACGGGGCACAAGAGCAAAAGGTCTCCAAGGGGGTCAGCGTAAGCGTCAGTACATATATGATTGAAGCATATATGTAACCACAGTGGAACCCGGCTATCAATATGAAAAAAGACGATGCGCAACGAGTGGAAGGCTAAACCGATGCCAGTCGATCACTAAGTATATAGTTCCTGTCAATCCCCCAAAAGACGGACGAAGAGGAAGATCCAGGAGAAGAAAGAACGAGAAGAAGAGAGAAGGGTGAGCCCCTGGATCAAGGAGCCATATATTAAGCGCCGTAAAAGATCTATTGGGCATGTGCCAGCACACCGTTTCCAATGAATCCTATCTCCTGGATATCGGTATCAATATCAAACGCACAAGGGTGACAACATCGCGTAAGACGAAGTTGGACTTCGCCATATTATTTGGGAAAGAAGAGCGATTTTCGCCACTAAGAGTGCAATAGCGCCCACGTAAGAGGCATCGTATACAACCCAGGAGAATAGCAGTTGGGGGGACAAAATATGGGGAAAAGAGGTTCAGACCGCGGATCCTAATCATAACCGGGACCCATGTTACTCCATTAGCACCTTTGCAAGCAGCGTATCACCTTGACAAACGACCAGGAGTGACGTCAAACGGCAAGGGTGGAGTGGAATCTGAACGATGCAGTGGACGAAGTTCGGAGATGACCCAAAGATGGGCCTCCTCAGGGTACCACTCCTAGAGGTCGGACAGCGCTCTTTTCCCAGTGATGATCCGTATATCAACGTGATATGTCCACCCTCGGTGGCTAAAGAAGAGACATTCTCTTCACTGGCAAGACAAAAGCGAACAACTCATGTCCCTCTTCATTTCGCGTTTCAAGCTTCTGGTTCCAGGGTAGGGCAGCAACGGCGAAAGGTCCCTGACAGGCGCTGATTGGACACGAGTCCTGGGACGGACGACCGACTCCCTCGTTTGAAGAGTTTTGAAGGAAAGAATCCCAGCCATTGCTGTGACATAAGTGTCGCGATTAGTGATTCGTGATAGCCGAACTATGGACGTGGGTGGTGGAGCCGCCAGTGTTTCAGGACCGGCATGGGAGCGGCAGATGAAAGGCTGCACTGCTCTCAGACTGGCCTGACTAAGGACGGAGCATTCTCTCTCGCCGTTGGTGGCTACGTGGGAGGGTGAATAATGCTACAGGATATTAATAACCTTCATGCATGCTGACAATCTGATACTTGACCCTCCCTCCTTCGACTCGGGGGTTTCTATATGCACGGTGTTATTGTGTCTCGATACTCGGTACGAAGGAGTTAGCAGCAACAACGGGGTGCAAACTGAGCTAACAAACACCCCGCGCCAACTCTCCTTCCTCCCCTGAAGCCCCTCAGCGTCCCTGATCTAAATTACCCGTGATCGAAAGGCCGTAAAGCATCTTTCTCCCGTCTTTTTTCCGCTTCGTCCATCTTTTTGCTTTTTTGATGTTGAGATAGAGAAAAAAGGAGTAATTGAGGCTCTGTGATGACTCAGCAGCCGAGGCACGTGATATGAAACTCGGCATCTTCTCTTTTTATTTCGACTTCAAAGACAGGAAGAACGCAGGAAGGGAAGAAGAAGCGGAAAAAAAAGGAGACAATAGGGAAAGCATGGGGCTTACTGAACTACCCCTTGAGTTGATCAAGACGATCGCTGAAGCTTTAGAGTACGAACGGGATATCAATGTGCTTGTCCAAACCTGCCGACGCTTGTACCAGGCACTGAATACCTTCCTCTACCGAAACAACATTCGCAACTTTGCAGGCAGCGGACTTGCCACTGCCGCAGCGGCCGGTATTGAACCCGCTGTCAAAAGATTCCTCGATGAAGGAGCCAATTATAACGCCTTTACCTCTAGGACGCCACTAATTCAAGCAACTATTTTCGGACATAATAGTGTCGTTGAGCTGCTCGTAAGGAGGTGCCCTAATCTACATCTAGACGCCCAGGATAACATCAATTTTCGCTCAGCGTTGTTTTGGGCAGCATCGCTGGAGAATGAAGAATTAGTAACATTGTTACTTGCTAAAGGAGCAGACATCAACCTAACAGATGATTACGGCGATTCCCCATTGATCGTGGTAGCTGAGGGAGGGAGTACTAAAGCAGTAAAATGGCTGCTTAATAATGGGGCAGACGTGGAGCACAAGAATAAGTTAGGCGACAATGCTTTAACAATCGCTGTCGAATACGGAAACGAAGAGATTATCAAACTCTTACTTGAGAAAGACGTTGACATAGATGTTATGAATGGGGGGGATCATACTGCCTTATCCCTAGCAGCTGAACAAGGGCACCTAGGGATAGTCAAGCTCTTATTGCAGAAAGGGGCCTCAACCAATGTTGTGAATGAAAACGGCATGAGTCCTCTAGCTGTTGCGGCAGAAGGCGGTCATGTGGAAACCATGGAAATTTTGATTGAGAATGGGGCTGATATCAATTTCCGGGATAGCAACGGTAGCTGTCCTTTGATCATTGCAATGGACGATAATCATATATCAGCCTTCAAACTCCTGCTTGAGAAAGGGGCTGATATCGAGAATGAGGATGATACCGGTAGCACCCCGCTGCATGTGGCTGCACCGCTAGAGAATAAAGAATTCACCAAGCTACTACTTGAACGTGGAGCAAATATAGAAACTCAAGACTCTGGGGGGAATACACCTCTATCGTCTGTTATGAGCAAAGGGTCTCTTGAATCTGCCACGCTACTGCTTGACCACGGGGCTAATATTGAGACTCGGGAGGAGGATGAGAAAACACCTTTATTCATCGCGTCATGCTCTGGGAATATAGATCTTGTCAAACTTTTACTTGAGCGCGGAGCCTCCGTAAACGTCAAGGATAGATTTGGTCGAACTCCATTGTCCGTTGCAATTGCAAATAACAATGTTATGTTACGCGATATCTTGGTCGAAAAGGGTGCGTGTAGTCATGACATCAATACCGCAAGTCGCAACTAGGGTTTTGCGGTTTATGTTTTCTTACTGATACATATCAATGTATATTGATTACCACTGCTGTCCAGGGATTTTAGGCTAATAGGCTAGTCTACAGCATTGATGGAGTATGGGGTGGCATATTTCAGTAATCAAAAAGATATCATTGTCTACTAACGTATCCAATGACTTTATCACAAGAAGGGCTGAAAATAACACAGGCATAGGAAAAGATGAGTACGGATAGTATTCTATTCATACATCATGCTGTATAAGAACTTCATTTCAAAGACCTCTCTCACCATTGACCGGGAGAAACAAAGCGCAAACCTCATGTAAAAAAGAGGATAAAGAAACCAACGACGAAAATAGTCATAAAAGACGAAAAGAGGAGAATGGGATATATAACTGACGTGTCTGAAAAGAGGAAACAAGCAAGGAAAAATGAGGCAAACCAATCGTATCTGGCTTTTGACTGATCAAACACCAGCGAATTAAGGTTGGCCACCAAGGCCAAACAAACAGGCGAAAAAAAAAATCAGGATATCCAACTTGTACAAAGAAGTAGAAATGGCACAATGTACGGAGTGCGCAGGCTGCAGGCAGGAAAGGCAAGTGAAGACGACATGGCGGGAAATCGGGGATAGATATTGAAAAAAGAAAGACACGATAAAATAAAAAGACCCTTTCCGCAGAAAAAATGTGCATGACCAAGGCGTAAACAAGTAGAGGGAAAGATATAAAGGCGTGGTAGGTAAATATATCAAGATCTAGGCAAAAGCAATCAAGATTAACTGGTAGTAGACCATATATGGTTTAAAATGAAAAAAATCGTGACCAGCATTACTTGGACAGGCAAGTATAGCGGTGACTACGATGACATAGGCCTCAGGAGTGGCTTGCCGATGGTAGCGTCCATGGACTCTGCATTTTTCTCTGAAGACTCCTCATCACGTCGAAGCTGATTGTCAGGATCGGTGGAAATGGAGTCCTTGGTACGAGAATGGCTGTAGTTGATATCCGCGAAGAGGTCATTACTTGACGACGGCTCTGCAACTGTGCCAGTTGACATTCTTGACATTCTGGTAGTTCTTTGTGGAGTTCCTTCACAGCTTTTGGGTGATACGCCAGCACTGGAAACTCGCATATGACCCTTGGAAGTCTTAATGAGATGCCCGCTCTCGACTCGATCTTGAATCATCTCGTCTAACATGCGTGACATTTCATCGACGCTCTTCCGCTTCCTGTCTCTTTCTTCGGCAGATAGTCTTACTGGTGGAAGAAGGTTGGGGCTGACCCGTCCTAATACCAAGCCAGCGCCAGCGCCGCTATTGCTAAATAATGAGTTTGTCTCGCTGTTCTGGTTGTTGTGGCTGTGGGGTAATATGGCGTTGTTAATGCCCATGATCTTGTAATCCGCTCCCACAGGTGGCGGTGGGTGAAGCGGTGGAGGTGTCGGCGCTGCATCTGCTCGGCTTGTTGGGTTTGTGCTCCCGCCAGTGAGGTGCGCCATGTCCCTTTGCCTCGCTGCCGATCTCAATGCTGCCACCATTCGGTCTTTGTCGTCTAACTGTAGTCGTAGGTCCGCGATTTCCATGTCTTTCTCCCGCAAAATAGTAGTAAGATCCGAATCGTTATTTGAAGATGTGGTGCTACAAGACTTGAGGTGGTGGTGGTGGTTCAGGCCCATGGAAACACGAGAATGACTTGATCGGCGGGCCTGAAGCAGTCGACGCTCAAGCGTTGAGATGTATCTGTTTTTGTCTGCAAGGTCGGCCTGCAGTGCATTTACTTGGACCTGCAAGCTCGCCATGCCATCGGCGAATTCACCTATCATCTCATCATCGTCGTCGTGGTTATGAGCAAAGGAGGAAGATGAATTAGCATGACCTGCGCTTGCACTGCTTTTCATCGAAGCAAGGGACGTAGAGCGGTTTAATGCTGCACCGGCTCCCAGCGTAGAATGTGAAAGAGAGGATCGAAGAGACCGAACATCCGCGGATCCTGGGCTGGTTTGCGAGGAGAACCTCGCTAAACTTGCATTGACGCCGGTCGATTTTGAACATAGGATCAACCTATTTAGATGCTCAATTCGTTCCTTCAGCGCAGTGCGAGCGAGCTGCATCTCCAGCATTTGTTCTTCGTGACGAAGCGCAGCTTCTTTTTCTCTAGCTCGTTCTTCTTCTTTTGATTCTGCTTCGGTAGCGCTTGTTGGTGTTTCAGCTTTGGCTTGATTCTCAAGCTGACGCCGTAGAGATTGGATCTCCATTCTATACCGCTCGAGCAAGACCCTGCTGCCTGCATCGCCTGTACCACTGCCCAAAGATTCTTCAGCACGTTTTGCGTGGCTGACAATGTTGTTCTTCGCTCGTGCGGCAAACTTGAGCGTGTTCATGGTCTCGTTTGTATGTGACTGGGAAGATGCAGCAGTCGCACCCGACCCAACCTGGATCGTGCATAGAATGCTGACAAGGGAGTTACCAGAGAGCGCCGGTTGAAGTAATCGAGTGAGCTTGCTGTCTCTGTAAGGTAAATGTTTCCCTTCCTTGTCTCCATTTTTGCCTTCCTTCTCAACGCTTAGACGAGCAATGACTGTTCCAAGGGTAAGTAAACTCTTGTTGATATGGGCACCTTCTGCTCTGCGCTCCTTGCTTTCTGCAGCACGTTCAGAACCAGCGAGATCGATCAGGCTTAATGTTGACACGCGAACTCCGCCAGGCGCAATAGCAGCACGTTTCTCATGTCCTGCTGCAGGAGCTCGCTCTCTGCTCTCCACCACAATCTGGACGACAGCGTGACTTCGAGAACTTCGCGAGTTGAACTGCGTACTAGACGTTCTCCTGGAATGGTCTCCTCTGGCGATAACTCGTAGCAGCTGTGTTGGACTTTGAACTATCTCCTCTTTGAGCGGTGTAGCATAAACTCCTCGCTTGCTATCCTCGCGCAGCTTGATCTCTTCCTGTTGTTGTCCTTGAGCTCCATTTCCGCCGTTTCCTTGCCCTGACGCGGACATGGACAATAGATCGTGGATCTTCTCATTGTATATCTCTAGGTAACTGACTCGGAGCAAAAATTCGCGGTGGGGTGTTTCTCGAATATAGGAGAAAATATCTGTGATGGCGAGCGGTATGACACCGGGCGATGTAGCAGTTCCCTGCATTGAGAACGTCTTTCCGGTGCCAGTCATTCCATAAGCAAAAACCGTGCCATGGTAACCTTCCATAACACGGCGGACCAGTCGTTTCGCAGATGCATCGTAGACCTTAGCATTATTATCATGCGTGGTGAAAACATTATCTTTAAACCAGTTAGTTCATTTAGTCACAGTCTTTTGGAGGCTGAGTGTAAGAATGGATAAATACCGTAAAAATAATCTCCGCCTTCTTTTCCTCTATATGAAACCAAACTCCTTCTACCGTCGACCAGCCATTCGCCTTCAGAGTTTTTGCCCTCTCCAGATGACAGGTCTGGTCGAACTCTCACGCTTACCAGAACGTTTCCTTTCCCTTCTTTGCCCTTGGAATTTCGATTTGAACTTCCTGTCGAGTCATCAACACCATCTCTCCCTCGCCGTGTGCCCTCTTCGTTATCATCATAAGTAGTAGCACTGGTCGAATATGAGTCCTGGGTAGAGGAACAGCGGCTTTGCGTAGGCGAGATTATGCTGGCATGGCCGCCCGAGTTACGAGAGTTGGGGATTGATTTACCATCTCCGCTGCCGTTGAGCAGACTTGGAGTTTTTGAGTTCTTTAGCTGCGACCCCGCCCCTGTATCTATGCGCGGAGCCTTTTTCTTTGTCCTGGAAGTTGGCAGTGCTTTAGGGCTATCGGGAGGGATTCCCGAGAAGGAAGATTGAGCGGAGAGAGATGGCCGGCTGGCTTTTGGGGGTTGAGGGAATGAAGCGATGCTCACGGTCCGGCGTACGGTTTTTTCTGGGCTTCCAGGGGTAAGGCATACCGATGGAGACCTGAAAGAGCTTTTACTCGGTGAAAGTGACGACAGTCCGAGGTTGGATGGAACTGCAGATTTAGTCTGGGCGGCGGAGGGGGTTCGTAATTTTGACGGAAGGGGGGAAGCTGCGTAGAGCTTAACCGAGTCGCCGGGCCCGGGCATGCTCTTTCTAGTTTTCGAAGATGGTATCGGAGGAAGGGCTGATGTCGGAGGGCTTCGAGGAGGCGGGTTAGATGGCAACCGAGTTGGTTGCGGTATTGTCGAAGTCATGTTTGCAATCTGGAGGGGGCAATGAATACAACCATCACCTCACCAAAACGTCTGCCAGAGATGGTCAAGATGGGGTTAGAATGGCTATGAGCGACGTGAGAGACGAAGAAGGCTCGGTTTGAGAACACTTTTCGTCTTTTTTCTTCACTCTTTTTTTCTTCTTTTCAGTTGAGAGAGGGATGGTACGACGACGTCTATGAGGGTGTAATATGAGATGTTGCGCGTGGATTTGGGATTGTGCTATGGGCCGGTTGCACTATGCTTCACGACTTGCATGAGACATCTTCGAGATTTTGTGCGACAGGGACGATAAATGGCATGCAGCGGGCAATGCGATGAGGCCAGTACAGGCACATGGAATGGGAGGGATCACCGGAAAGCCCCAAGCAGGAAAAGGTGACGGAGGCAGCAGGCCGGAAAGAATAGCCTGCCAGCCAGCTACCAGGCACGCAAGGAAGCAAGCAAGCAGGGACAACAACTGCAGCTGAGAGATGTCGAAAAGTGAGCCGGGGGGTCTGCCGGAGAACGCTGTGTAATCTTTGGGCATCAGTTACAGAGACCTGCGCAGGGGTGGCCGGGCGGTAAGGGAACCAAGATTTCCTCTAGGATGTCTGCCGCTCGCCTTGCATATACAGATGCGTTCGCCAGGGAGTAGCTGGATATATATATATACACATATATATATCGATGCATGTATACATGATATATATCACCACAGCTAAACCGCGAAAAATAGAAGAAAAGAATAAGAATCTGAAACAAGCTCACATACCGATGGCCGCCAATATGTCGAGCGCTTGTTTATCTTTCTTTTCTTAGTATCGGATGAGAATCTGGGACTGGGAGGCGGCGAAAAGTCGGGCGAGGCAAGTAGAGGAGCCGCGCGGTGGATGAAGCAATATATCACACCGACGATTCAATAGCATATAAACAAAATATATTAAGGGGAGCAGAGTCCAAAAATAATAGGCGCCGAATGCAAAAGATGTTGGATTGCGAACAGGCTGAGTATGATAATATGGCGAGCGATATTCCCAAGCGCTAAAAAAAGGGGGCAAAGAGAGAATCAAAAATAGGGAGAGCGGGGACTTAAAGAAGGGGGTAAACAGAAACGGACAAGGTCAAAAAAAAAACGACCCAGACAGAACATGCGATCAAATGGGAGAGAGAAAACACGAAAAGAAAAACAGGCACCAGGAGACCAGAGAAGGGGGAAAAAAAACATCTGATCCCAAAGAACCAGTGAGCAGGAAATATCGAATCTTAGCTGATTTATTAAAAGCATGCATCGGTGCGAGCTTAAAAAGTGTCTGGCCACACACGCCTCTTCCAGTCTTAGTCTCCAAGGTCTTATCGACCAAATACCACCCAACCACGGCCATCGCCAGATGCGTACAAAGAGCCAGGAGGCGCAACGACGGGACTCACAGCCGTGACAGCGTGCATGGGCACACAGATGATGGGGACCCAGGACCGGGATCCGACAGGTCGAGTGGTTGCGTTCGGTGCAGGGGGCGGTGTTAGGTTCGGTCTCCCTGGACAGCAGAAAGCTAACTTGTACTAATCCTTCTGCCGCTCCGTTTTTTTTATGTATGCGTCTGGGCTAGGTACCAGTAACTGAGCGCATCTATAGGGCTACAGCGGCTCGTCTGCGTGACGACTAAGATAAAATTGCTTGAGAGCAGGCCCGTCGAGAAGCTGCTCTGGCTTGTTCTTAGAGGACGGGAAAAGCCCTTAAGTGGCTTGTTATTCCCTGGAGATCCTCGGGCCACGCGGAGCTGATTGGCCGATGTGGGGAGACCGAGCAGATACAAAAGTCAGCAGGGAGCCATCAGACGGAGCTTGGGAGGACGGATACTTGCGAGAACGCCGGCCGCGACCGCCTGGTCCCGCGAGGCAGACGCGGTTTCAGCTTGTCGAGCGGTGGTTGAAGCTCGCAGAAGCTGAAGACGTCGAGGAGTTGAAGTCGCGAAATACCAAAAGCGGAAAAACCCAAACACGGTCACGTGGTGGTTTGATTAGGTAATAAAGTCAGGGGTCAAAATTCAATCAATAAAAAATAAAATTGAGAAAAAGAGAGAGAGAAAAACAAAAGAAAAGAAGTCAAGACGACGACGAAGAGAATACGGGCGCGGTTGATGGTAAGCTCGGGGAGCAGAGGATAAGAGCATGGATGGGACGGGCGAGGGCGAGTCCTTCGATGCGCCGCCAAGTGTGGCATCTGAGACCGTTGGATCAGACAGGTCGAGCCCATCCACCAGCACCAGCCGCGCAGACATCTATACGGACGGCTCCATACGCCGGGTTTGCCTTTTGCCATCGTCGCCTCTGCCCATCGGAAATGAACGGGCGGGACGAACCTTTGCTGTAACAGGTAAGGCTGAGCAGGCGGAGCTATTCCATGTGAACGTACGGAGTACAGAATCGGCTGTGGAGCGCGGTAGGGGAGGCCGCTTACGGTGGGTGTGTGGGTGAGTCGGGTATCTACAGAGGCAGATATCGGCTATTACAGACTGACTGGACGAATAATATAGATAAAGTAGTGCATGGCCAGTTCAGCGTAAGTAAGAATTCACATGTTCGACAAGTTATCAAGCAATTGCGTTATGTTGGCGTTTCATATACCTTACCTTGCACTATACGGGATACCCACCTACGGCGTTCATTCAACGGTTTCCAGCTTCTTCGTACGGGTATGCGCATGCAAAAGAGCCGAAGACGAGATGCTGAAGCTTGCTGCCTGATTGCTTGCTTGATACCTTGATACCTTGATACCTTGACATGTTGATACTTATACCCCAGTCCCCCGCGTCGGTCACTGATTGATGATATAGGCGAAACACTCCATGCCAACCAGTTGCAACACACCCTGTCCCAACCCTGCTTACTCCTGCTTTTGCCATCCCCTCCTCCGAGGCTAGAACTTGGGGAGAACAGGGCAGAGCATGCCAGGAAATGATAGGTAGACGAGTCGTGGAGTCAGTCAAGGGCTGTCAGGGCAGAGGTAAAAGCAAGGCAGATACGGCTAGGGGAGCGTGTAAAGTTAAGATTTTACCTCCAGGGAGCCAGCATTAATGGAGACAGGCAAGTGATGAGATTTCATCTCACATGAGGATGTGATGAAGCGAGAAAAGCTTGGAATAGGTAACTAGTGGTGGATGATTAAGTATAAGTCAAGAAGATAATCGATTAATTACTCAAGAATAAAATGCATAACAGAATATGGGTATGGGTATGGGTATGGATATGGATATGGATATTACATCTGGCGGGGAATCAAAGTAAATAGGCAGAAGGGGAACGAGTGACATCCCTGGGGAAGGGAGAATTGACGAAAAGAAACCAGCGCACACCGTCTTCCACCTCTCCTCATACCTCTCTCTCCATTTCCATCTTCTTCTCGTCTCCTCGCGTCCACCGTCATTATCATTCATCGTCATGTCGTGGATTTGCGCTTCCTCCTCTTTCTCCGGCTCCTACCACGCTCTCTGTCCGCACAACTCCCGCCATTAATCATACAGGCCATCCTCAACATGAACCTAAAACTTCGGATCGGGGGTGATAAAAGAGTGTTGGGGATGGGTGAAGGTAAGATAAGCGAAGGGCATAATCAAAAAGGGAAAAAGAGAAGACAAAGAGTCGAACAACCAGAGATCTATATGTCGTTTTTCGCATCAAGCCGCCGGGATACAGGGGAAATCATTGTAAAGGTAAAACCAAACGCAAAAGGCAAATAAGTGTTAGAAGTTAGGATCGGGTTCAGGAACAGGAACAGGAACAAAAAGTCAAATATCAACACGCTCAATAAACTCAATCAAAAAGGGCCAAAAAATGAGCGTAAATGAAAAAAGGAGTTATAGTGATATAGATGTTAGAAGCAATATAAAGCAGAATGCCACCACCAGTAGTTTTTTGTTTTCCCGTGTTTTTGTTTTGGTTGCCGTTAGATGATCTGACATTAGATCAGAGTAAACATAGTGATCGTCGAAAACGGACATGTCATCATCTATGGCGGAGGAGGAGGAGGAGGCGGCGGTGGAGGCGGCGGACCACCAGCATCAGCCGGCTTCTTAGCAGCCTTCGGGTTTGGCCGAGGCTTGACTTTTCCTCCTGTCATCCATTTGGCGAACCCTCCTGGTGCACCAGGACGCACCACCTTCTTTGGGGCAGGTGCCGGTGGCGGCGGCGGTGGTGGAACGTCCACAACTACAACGGGCGGTTCTTCCTCTGGCGGCGGTGGAGGAGGCGGTGTGGGTTCTGGCTCCGGCTCCTTGGGTTTTTCGGGTATAGGCCACATATGCATGCTTACCGACCAGTCGGGCTCAACAACTGTGTCCCAGACCTGTGGAAGGATGATGTCTCCGTTGGGGCCAACCAGGTCGTAGTGCCCATTCACGACGTGTTCGCCGATCAGGTCGACGTGCAGGAAAGCCTGGCGGATGAGTTCTTCCATTCCCTGCCATGTTTTGCATAGGGCAAAGGGGAACTTGAACTTTCTACCTATAGCATCCTTGAATTGAACAGGCTTCTTTGGCGGTGGTGGTTTCTTGAGAGCAGCCTCTGTTGCTGCTGCAGCTGCTTCCGCGGCCTTGGCATCTCCCGCCGCCATGGCAGCAGCCGTGGCCTCCGCTAGGGCAATGGCAGCAGCTTCTTCAGCCTCTTTCTTTGCAGCGGCGGCAGCATCCTCGGCTTCCTTTTTGGCCTTGGCGGCAGCGGCGGCAGCGGCAGCTTCTGCTTCAAGTCTGGCAGCCTCTGCCTCAAGTCTGGCTTCTTCCTTTGCAGCTGCGGTGGCAGCGGCAGCGGCTTCAGCAGCGATTTTCTTCTCCTTGGCGGCCAGAGCTTCTGCTGCAGCTTTGTCGGCGGCTGCTTTCTTTATGGCAGCTTCACGGGCAGCATCGCGCTCTTCTCTTTCCTTTCGCTCTTCGATGATCAACTTCTCAAGTCGAGCGATTGCTTCATCCTTTGGATCCGGAGGTGGGGGCTCCACGGGAGCAGGAGGTGGTGGTGGAGGAGGAGGCGGAGGAGGCGGTGTTGGCGACTTGGCCGGCGGAGGCGGGCTGGGACTCTTTTCTTTCTTTGCTGGGCTCGGTTCGCGACCCTGAATCTGGAAGAAGGGCGGGGGCGGGAACATAGACGGAGGTATATGAGGGTATCGTTGGATATATTGGTAGTAAGCAGCAGCGGCGGCGGCAGCCTGGGCTTGGGCCTGGGCCTGGGCCTGAGCATGCGGATGTCCGGGTCCGTGTAGCATGGGATGGTGGGGAAGAGCGTGCGGGTAGCCGTACGGTACCATTTCCGGGGACATATAAGGCGGTGTGCCAGGAAAAGACGGTGGGTGGCTCATGACTGGGTGAGCCATGGTAGGTTTTGGCGAGTCCTCTTCATCGTCTGGGGAGCCGCTGCGCGATCGGTGTCGGGGAAGATGAGCATGCGGGTGATGCGGTGGGTGGTGGGGATGGTGAAGTGGCATACGTTGAGCGGCATGCGGGTGGTGCGGATGTGGTAGGCCATCCTGGCCGGCGTAGTATCCGTGAGGGAGTTGTTGGTGGTGCCCCTGCGGGGGAGGCGGGTAGTGCCCGCCGTAGGGGTATTGCTGGTGCGAGTATTGACCCATGTGTCCTCCTATAGGGTTCTGGTGGCCCATGGATCCCAATTGAACAAGTTGATTTGAAGGTACTCCAGGATGGGCTGCATGAGCATGTTGCGGCTGGGAGAAGGACGGGGGTTGCGGAGGCTGCTGCTGCTGCTGCTGCTGCGGGTAAGGGTTGAACGACGGAGCGGACGAGGCTGGACCCTGGGTTGGCGGAGCTGGCCAGAAGCGTCTGTCTGCCGGGTTTGGAGCGTAGTCCAGATAGTCGTCCTCGTCGTCCTCTTCGTCTTCTTCCTCGTCCTCTTCTTCTTCTTCCTCCTCCTCCTCTTCCTCTTCGGAGGAGTCTGGTTCAGGAGATACGGGGACCGGAGGCGGCTGTGGAGGTGCCGCTCGGGCGTGAGGTCGTCTTGACCTGTGGGAAGGCACGGCGTGGACTTGTTGAACCTGGGGATGAGGGTGTTGGTGCGCGTGTGGATGCGCACGAGGTTGCTGGCGCTGATGCTGATGCTGGTGTTGATGCTGTAGCTCTTGCTGGTGCCGCCTTGAAGAACGATGGCGGGATGGTCGAGGATCGACGGGCTCGCGCAGTCTATTTGAGGTGCGTGGCCTTGAAGCGGAGTCTGACGGCTTTAGTTCGTCTGGGTACTGGAGGTGAGACCAAGGCCCTCCAACTTCGTAGTCCTGGTATTCGTGGCTCGAGGTGGAAGGTATAGAAACCTGTACACCTGTGCCGGACGAGTCGTCGTCACTGTATGAATCTTCAGGGGCGGGAGCCACACGACGATTCAATCTGATCCGTTAGTATGCATATATATACAGAGAATGTTGAGAGGAACCCTTGAGGGGAGGCTTACGGCATGGGACGATTGCGACGGAAGAGGAAGTATCCGGCCAGATCTCTCCAGGGAACGGAACGATCTGGGAGAATATATCCTCAACTGAGAGCCAGCGGCAGGGTAATTGAGGCGTATCGATGTTGGCGGCGTCGATGTTGGCGGCGTCGATGCTGCTGCTGATGCAGATGCAGATGTCGATGTCGAGTGTTTGAGGTGCAGCAGCCGTGTAAAAGCGCGTGAGACTCGGGTGTCCAAGGTCGAGTCACTGATGAAACAGGGTGTATTGTCGCAAGTCAATGTATATATATCCGGTATTCCTCGGGTATGCGGACTGAGCATGAATCCAGCAAGGGTTCTTTTTTTGCTTCTGGAGGCGAGTAGTGTTTGTGTCTATATATCCAGAGGAGTCGAAAAAAAGGGCGGGCTTGGCTGTTCGACAGACAGCGTAGCTAGTTGGTATCACAACGACGAAGAGCCCAAAACGAAGAAGCAAAGAAGAAGGCTAAACCCGTACGCTATGCTATGCAGTCAGTAAAATACTAGCGGAAGAGAGACGCGATGAGACGAGGCGAGGCGAGGCGAGACGATTAGGGGGGGTATAGTATGGGACATCAGCAGAAGCAAAAGCACAAAAACGCAGCGGACAGCGGGAGGTAACCAATTTAAATAAAACCGACAGTCAACAGAAGAAAAAGAAAAAGAGGGCGAAAAGGGCAAGGCGGGCCAGGCCAGGGTGAGAGATGCACAGGTGGGGAGTTTGGCCTGCTTGTCTGCTTGTCTGCTTGTTTTTTTTTTTCTTCTTCCTCTGCTCGTCCTGCTCGCTCTCTTTGGCTGTGGTGCTCTTTGCTGCCCAATCTGTATGTATCATGACGCTGCAGGTGGACGTCGATGCTCGGGACAAGCCTCGTCCATCCACCCCCCTCCCCCTTCCCAGGAGCGAGGAACAGAGAGCACCACGCAAGAGAGGGCGGCTAAGCAGCGAGGCTCATGGGGACGACGACGTGCATTATGTGAGTGATGGGCAGACAGAGTGACGAACTGACCGCGCGAGATCTAGATGGGCTGCCTGTCTGCCTGCGCTGGGCTGCTGCTGGCTGGCTGGCGCTGGCTGGCGGGGAGGATGATGCTGGTAGGGCAGACGCAGCTAGGCTCGCCCAACCCAACGGCGGAGACGACCTGATGGGTACCCAGCCAGGGTGACGCCGGCGAGGAAGACGAGACAGACACAAAGAACAGCAAAAGAACGGCGCAAAGAAGAGAATGAAGAAGAAGTTGAAGTGAAGAAGAGAAGAAGAGGAAGAAAAGATGAGGTTGAAGAAGAGGAGAAGTTGACGTTGAAGATGAAGTCGAGGAGTTGATGTTTACTTTTGCCTGATCGGGAAAAGGTCATGTGGTCTGCACAGTTTTAAGGCAGAAGACGAAGACATAGATGATGAAGACGATGGAGAGAGATGATGAAGATGATCATGGAGAGACAGAGAGTAGACAGTAAGAGTGAGGAGTGAAGATAGAGATAGAGACAGAGTATTCGGTGTAGGTTTACGGAGTTTACATACATAGATCAGACAGACTTCGAGACAGATCTGATAGACTCGCAGATGGACAGATACATAGAGAGTTACTCCGTACAGGCAGAGTCAAGAATATACAAGAAACATACAAGATACAAGATACAAGATGCATAGAAAGAGGAGGAAGAAGGAAAAGTCACGGCCTGCAGTGAGGCTGCCAGAGTGAGGCGTCGGTACCTCGAGTTACGCTGCTGCCTGCCTGTGTCTAGGGGCGACCTGCTTGCTACTGACTGCCTGGCAGCCTTTCTTGTCACTCACTTACTTAGTCGCTGCTGCTGCTGCCGGCCTGTTAATAAGTATCTGCCGCTGGTACTGTTGACTGGTCGATTACTCCGTGTCCTGTCAATATCAAATACGAGGGACGAAGTATAGAGAACTAGGTAAATAAGCAGACAGTTGATATATTGACTGACCACCCAAAAAGAAAAGAACGGAAAGAAAAGAAAAGAAAGCCTCAACTTGGCCTGGCTTATTACGTCAATATTCGATATTTCCCCATATTCAATTGAATAGACTGAAGAAGGAGGTGCTGCTGCTGCTGCTGCTTTACTTTACTTTTACTCCGTATATACTCCCTACCCCTGACCAAAAGACGCCTCCTTTTCCCCCTTCCACCACCCTTTCAGTTAATTACTCACTCTTACTGACTGCTTCTTCCCTGTGGTGCCACGTCATGCCGTCTTCGTACTTGCTTGCTTGCTTGCTTGCGCGTGGCGGCGTGCCTGCTTGGGTCCTCGTTATTTGGTAGGCCTGCTTACTGGTGGGAAGGGAGAGGGACAAGAAGCTAGGAGAAATAGGTCGATCTACAGAGTACTGCTTGTCTGCCCGTCTAGAGAGGAAGAGAGAGGGAGCTATCTGCATCAAGCATGACAATTGGAGTTCTACCATCTAGACTTTGATCGACGAACCTCCTGAGAGCTGTATCTCACACCCACATAACCACTTGGACTCGGACCGACAGGAAGATCGACGACAAGTAGTTTAGTTAGTTAATATCAGCTCGACTTGGACAGCCGGTCAAGCAGCGCCTGGGCCGTAATGAGCTCGCTCTCGTTGAACTCCGGGCTCCGTCCGGCCACACATCTCTCCTTTACAATCTCACGCAGCTTCTGCACAGACAGATCATACAGCTTCTGCGTCGTCTCGGCTGTCGGTAGCGTCTCGTCGCGTCTTGACTTGGGGCCTAGCCTCTCCAGCAGCCGGGTCGTGCTCTAGAACAGCCAATCCATGTAAGCATAACCAAACCAGTGATACAATACGATATGGTATGTGTGTGTGCGTGCATACCAGGTTCAGCCCGTAGTACCCGCGCACGTAGTCGTCGCAGAGCTCGATGCTTCGACAGAACCGTCGTACAGACTCCGCCAGAGGTTTTAGCGTCATCTCTGGAGACTCGGGGGAGTGGGTTGATATATACAACAACTCTCCCAGCCGTGCATGCAGCTATTCACTCGTCAGCCATGGTCCAATTTCTAGTAGAAAAGAAAATAGAATAACTTACGTTCCATGCGTTTGGCAGTATGAGAAGCGCTTCTTCGAGACAGAAGATAGACTGCGAAGAGAGGCCCTGGCTGTGATACAGGTCCGACAGCTCACACCACGCCTCTGCATCTGTCGGGAACGCATCCAGGAACTCCACCATACTTGATATAGCCTCGCCAGCTCTGCCCAGGGACCGTAGAACGGCAATCCGTCGCTTCAACACTGGCTATACACACACATAGTTAGCATGCCATCCATCTCTGAAAAACCTGCCATCACTTACAACATTAACTGGATTCTCCTGTAAAATGCCATCGTATCTCTCCAGCACCTTCTTCAATGCCGTCTCGTCTGCTGCAGTAGCCTCGTCGTACAGTCCTCGCAAACCCATAACCCGCTCGTTGTCCTCTCCGAACCGACTCGACAATCTATCCAGACACTCCCGCGCAGACTTGTCGTCTCCCGTCCGCAGACACGCAGCCAGCAGCTGCTCGTAGCTCGTCCATAGCTCCGGTGATTCGCGCTGGCTGAAGATCGAGAACGGGAACGAAGGGAAGCGGGAGGGTTGCGTCTTTAGGAATGAGGGAGCTTGCTGCGACAGACGAAGCGAGGCCTGCGGATCGGACGAGCTTAGGCCGAACTGTGTGTGGAGGAGAGACGTCGACATCGTGGATGCTATAGTATAGCGGTAGGAGCAGTCAATTGTCGAGCCGTGGGGTTTGGGTGTTTGCTATAGATAAATCTATGTATGTAAACTCCGGAGATGTGGTTAGTTGCGATGCCAAAAAGCAAATCGGCGGCGAGTGACGTTTGGGTGCGCTAAGAAGTTCACGCGATGAGGTTCAACACAACGCCGACTGCAGGACGGAATTCAACACTGAACACATCGACACCGGGACCCTCGGAGAGAAGATATCTAGTGGTTATCTGCAGATAGGGCGTACAGCCTGAGCTGTTGCATGCTTTTTCCGGCCGGAGATTTATCACACACCCTGCAGAGCTAAATATGAGATAGAAACCGGCCTTTACCATCCCACCACAGCTTGTTCAGCCCGGCGGGATACTCAAACTGGCCTCCAACTACTCACTGCCCTGACTGTCCGTGGTACTGCGGAGGCCGTCTTATCACCATGTAAGCTACTTTACTCCCCCAGAGTCCTACAGCTGCGGCTGCTGATGTGTTGTGCAGGTTCGAAAAGTCGCTGTATGACCTCATCCGAGGCCTACGGAACCACAAGGGAAGCGAGAGCGAATATATACAGAACAGCTTGAAGGAATGCCGGGCAGAGATCAAATCTCAGGACATGGGTTAGTCGAACCAGCTCCCCTGCTGCTGGTGATCGGAACTACTCGAGGGGTGCGGGTGTATGGAAACTGACATTCCTGCAGACAAGAAGGCCACTTCTCTGTTAAAACTTATATACCTCGAGATGTTCGGATACGACATGTCCTGGGCCTCCTTCCATGTCCTGGAGGTCATGTCTTCGCCAAAATTCCATCAGAAGCGTGTGGGATACCTTGGAGCTGTGCAGAGTTTCCGCGTTGATACCGAAGTCCTCATGCTGGCTACCAATCTTTTGAAGAAGGTTAGCATACCATACTACATACACCCTCTCAAATGGCTATAGTTACTGATATCATTCAGGATATTGTATCTGCTCAGGTCCCCACAATGTCCCTGCCTCTCATCACACTTCCGCATATAATTTCGCCCTCCCTCGCTCTGTCACTGCTTTCAGACCTGATACCTCGCTTGGCACACTCACATGCAGTAGTCAGAAAGAAGACTGTGGTAAATCTCTACCGACTATCATTAGTATATCCAGAGGCATTCCGCATAGCCTGGCCAAGAATTAAAGAAAGATTGATGGATACAGAGGAAGACGGTAGTGTTACAGCTGCTGTCATAAATGTCGTCTGTGAACTAGGCTGGAGGAGACCACAGGATTTCCTCCCCCTGGCACCACGTTTATTTGAACTACTCGTTGACGGAGGGAATAACTGGATGGCCATAAAGATAATCAAGCTCGTAAGTTACTCCTTCTCACGGCTATTAAAGCATTATAGTAGCTAAATATGGATTTCAGTTTGCCTCATTGACTCCGTTGGAGCCAAGACTCGTTAAGAAGCTCATACGGCCTCTAACTAACATCATACAAACCACTTCGGCCATGTCTCTATTATATGAATGCATCAACGGTATCATCCAGGGCGGCATTCTTGATGGAGTAGAGGGTATCCGTGAAGGGGAAGCCATTGCACAGCTATGTGTAGACAAGCTCCGAGGCATGCTTGTGCTAGAAGAGGACCCCAACTGTAAGCTCAGCTACCTTTGCTTGCAGTACGGTGAATTATAACTAACCTATCTTCAGTGAAATACGTTGCTCTCCTCGCATTCAACAGGATCGTGACAACTCATCCCACGCTGGTTTCAGCACATCAGGATGTGATAATGGGTTGTCTTGATGATAACGACATATCAATCAGACTACAGGCCCTTGAGTTGGTTTCAGGGATGGTGGCAAGTGACTCGCTACAGTCCGTAGTCAACCATCTTATTACCCAGCTACAGACATCCTCTGCCGTTTCAGACGGCCCTACTGCCACTACATCTCTACTAGCACACATTGCCCCAGCTGCAGACCAGGATGATGAAGACCCGGAATCGCACCTGGAACTCGCTAGACAGGATAGAATGTCTCCGCCTCCACTTCCGAACGAGTATCGACTAGAAGTTCTCCACCGGATTTTAGACATCTGCTCGCGGGATACGTATTCCAACCTTACCGATTTCGAGTGGTACGTCGACGTCCTAGTGCAGCTAGTCCGGCTAATTCCACCGGCCAGTGCTTCCAAAACAAACGATGAGCACTCCTCCAAGGACGCCCATGATCAAAGAACAGATATATCCAATCGGATTGGCTCTGAGTTGCGCAATGTGGCGGTGAGAGTCAAGAGTGTACGGCCCGAAGCCACTCGCGCAGCGGAAACACTGGTACTTATCGATAACCGAGCCGCTCTGTTTCCCTCATCTGGTACTTCAAGCACAAACCTGTTAGAGCCGATCGCTTGGATAGTAGGTGAATATGCTGAGTATCTCAATTTCCCGGACCAATCACTTTCGTCCCTTATACATTCGTCCAATCTAGGTCTTTCCCCCAAAGTTCTTTCGGGGTATATACAGGCGATTCCCAAAGTTTTTGTCCATCTCACGTCTCAATTCTATGATTGGGACATAAACAGACAGGGAGAGGTGTCACTGTTGTTAGCACGGATTACCGATTTCTTGGAGAAACTTTCCTCTCACCCAGAGTTGGACGTGCAGGAACGAGCCATCGAGTTTTTAGAACTATTGCGCTTGACAAAAGAGGCGGTATCAACGTCAGATGTCGAATCAGGGAATGTACCGCTTCTTGTTTCCTCCGCTATACCAAGTTTATTCACTGGTCTGGACCTTAACCCCGTGGCAATTGGAGCGCAGAAGAAAGTCCCAATTCCAAGTGATCTTGACCTAGATCAACCGATAAATCCGCGGTATATCCATATACAGCGTGAGTCAAGCAATGGTTGGTTTGATTCCTTCAGCCACGATGAATGCTATCAATTCTACCACATACCGGACTCAACATCTTATGTTACCAAACCGCATAAGGAGATCCTATCACCCACCCCTATCCAACCATCTTCATACCAAAATGTCTCCGAAGGGCTGTTGTCTGAACCTGCCGATGCTGTCGCCAAAAGGCGCATGGCAAGGAGAGAACGCAACAAGGATGATCCATTCTATATTGGTTCCGGACAAGGCGAAGGGGAGTCTTCTGATCCAGCTACACCGTTTAACCAGGCTTTACGTGGTGCCAACGAAGAAGACTTGGATCTCGACTCTATTCCCATCATTGACCTAGCTATTGGTCAACAAAACCCGGAGAAATCAGATAACCAAAAGGCACGGAAACCAAAACGCAAAGTGAAGCCTAAGAAAGTGGAAATCATAGGGGATGAAACTCTTGAATTCGACAATCCCACAGCTTCCTCACCCACCGTCCGGCCTGTTACTGCATCAATGGGACCAGGAGTAGCGAGAGCCAAGAAGTCGTTACTGGAAGTTGACTCAAGCGGATTAGGACAGCTGTCTCTTGAGGAAGATAGCGGCCTGACTGCTGGTATCGGCGATATAGCGAGAAAAGAAGCCGAGGACGCAGAAATGATGAAGGCAATGGCGGAAATCCAGAGATTACGACTAGAAATGCAACGGGAAGCAGAAGCAATCCACGGAAGCAAAGAAGTCCCTGCTGAAGGCAAGATGATTAAGAGGAAAAAGAAGAACGTCGTATCTTCTAAGAAGACGAAGTCTAGCAAGGAAGCAGAGAGGGAATCCTCCCAGCCTCAGGAGAAAGCTGCAGACGACGAAGGCGGAACTCCTGTGGTGAAGAAAAAGAAGAAGAAGAAAGTAGTGGTATCTAAAAAGGCAGAGCCCGTGCAAACGGAAGGTCAGGAATAGTTCACCCTTATTATACCACCAGGGTGGAGTTCGGTTTATTCGGCTCATGAATTTTTGGTTCTTTATTTGCATAAGCTGGCAATATGCGTCTTATCTTAACAAAGTGATGGTTAACTTTGTGGATATGCATGATAGATATGATATATTTTTAGAGCTGAAAAAGCGCTGCATACTTACTTAAATGAACATTTACCAACGTCCTTATTCCACAGCATCGGTAAATGGATTGATTCTCTCAAAACCGATGCCTTTCTTCAAAATAAAAAATAAAAAGGCATAATGGATCTTAAATACTTAAAATACAAAGCTAGCGAATACGCCATAAACAATGGCCCTTTGAAGAATAGAATAAAAGCGGAATATGAACAACAGAATGGGGCAATGCTAGGTCAGAGGTATCAAGTGGTTGATAAAAATATTATGGAAAATGTCTTTTAACTGGTCCATTTGGTAATGAAACTAGAGATATATCCCCATATAGCAGGGATGACTCTAGCTAGTTCGAAAAAGAGACCGCCGCATAAGACGAAAACGAGTAGGACTACGGTTATACAAAATAAGTTAGCAGCTGCATTTGACACCCGAGAACATGAAGAAATAAAATGGCTGCATGAGGCCACCGATAAGGTGCAAATAACACGTACCAACCCAGCCCACGGATATAGGAGACTTTGCCTTTGGTTTCGACTTAACCGTCGTCTCTGGCTTTCCTCGCTTGGAGGCTTCTTTTTTGGCAAATTTCTCGTTCGCTCTTCGCTGTTGGGGAGTTTGTGGAGCCTGGCAATTGCAATTCAACGGATTAGATATTGATTTATCCAGATAACTGACATAGATCCAGGGTAATTCCGTTGCTAGCATACCATTTTGTTATAGAGTTGATATAGGTAATCGAATCAAAGGGGGTCAAGGGTAGTTGCTGATCGGCGTAGTAGATTTCAAGAATTACCCGCAGGGGAGTTCGAAGGCCGTTAAAAAAAAGTATGTATTGAAGGGTGTTGCTTGAATCCGGACTGGATGCGTATATATACCTCAACGTTGCGCGGAGGGTAGTCAACTGGCCAACTGTCCTCTAGTTGACAACTGACCGAACCCGGGTGAATGGCGAGTGAAATGGAAGAATCTAAGAGCTTCGGCGCGCAAGTAGAAATCAATCGAAGGCTCTGTAAAAAAATTGAGTCACAAACAGCGCTGCTAGTTAGTTATCTCGCTGTTGATAACAGATGTGCGCTCAAATATCGAAAGTGAACACGAGAGCATCTTTCATGATGTCAGTTGCTTATGTCATCTGCCAAGTATTTTTGCTTTTTCCTGTGAGGAAAGTTTAATGAAGAGCCGGAGATACAAACATCAACATTTGACAGCTTCAAGCTTCTGGTTGCCAGCTTGATATCGAAAGCCTTTACGCAAAACACTCATTCGGTACTAGCTGATATTTTGTACAAAATGGCCTACATTACGCGACGGAGCTATAGCAGCAAACCCAAGCCTCCTTCACCTCATGTAGGTACACTCGATGGACCACGGTTTCCAGGAACAAGCTCACTAACCTGTATGTTTAGGTGATGGTATACAAGAACTTCGGTCGTCCTTTTGTGAAGATCTTTGTAGGGGCATTGATATGTTATCAAGCTGCTTACTGGACGTGGAACAAACTAGAGCATGAAGACATAGCTCATCGCAGTGGAAATGGTACGAAATCTCCTTATTTCTTCCAGTTTATATCTTCTTGCTTATATCCGAGTGACCCATTAGTGACACCTACCCAAACGCCAAACAATTGATCACCTCGAGATATTGAAACTACTTCGTATTTATGATACGACTGAACGCTCTTTGAGGCGACCCATGCCACCAATCGGGTTTTCTACGCATATTGGGTCAGTCACCGGAGGAGCTTGTCAAGCTTCAAACCTGGATCATCGGAGTGAAATTATGGGTATACTGTTTTGGGACAAGGTAGCCTTAATAACCCTTCTACTTGAACAAAAATATGACCAGCACGCGCCGTTCATTATCCGGCTCTTCTACCGTTCAAGCCAGAGAATGTTTACAAGTCGCGTCCATCCCAACGAATCAATGATAATGACTCGGGCTTAACAATGTCGCGGCAGCAATCACTAACCTATGCATGTTTACTACTATCATGCATGTGTATTTACTACTTCCCTACCAATTAAGTCAACTTCGGCTGATTGAGAACAAGCATGAATTGTCTTGACATTAAACTTCTATTCACATCCAGTGTCTAGGCTCTTATCAGCTTCAAAGCAAGGTCATAAGGCAACCTCACTTTTACCGACATATCTATCTCGCCGTCGACATGATTGAAATTAAGCAGTCTTGTTGTTCAGTCTGTCCAGGACATCCTTTGGAACATATGATGGGTCGAACTTTGCGATGCCAGCGCAGAACTCCTTGATCTGGGGCACCTCGACAAGCTTGCTCCACCACTTCTGGAAGTTAGGAAGCTCAGAAATCTGCTGATCGAACCACTCGTCTCCGCCGATTCTCTTTGCCCAGAAGAACCATGGGACCAAGCAGATATCGGCGTATGTCATCTTACCACCAACGAGCCATTCCTTGTCCTTCAATCCGAGGTCGACGACACCCATGACACGACGGGTCTCCTTGGCGTATCTGTCAATGGCTGAGGGGAAATTCTCGAGATGGTACCATTTGAACCCTGATAGCAACATTGGGTTGGTTAGCTGGCCTGTCAATCTTGCCCGAAGAAGATCATGCGCTTATGATGAACGTACATGAGAATTGGCCGATGTATGGGCCCTGTCCACTGACTTGGAAGTGCAGCCACTGTCTCAAGTGGTACTTCTCGTGCAGCGAGGAGAAAGAGATGGTGCTCTCCTTGTCGTATTCGTCAACCAGATACTCAACGATGGCACCAGACTCCCAGAGGTAGATGCCGGTGTTTGGGTCGTGGATGGCAGGGCAGCGTCCATTGGGGTTTATGGCGAGGTACTCGGGCTCCTTGCACTGTTTGAAGTCGGTAGCCTTCAGCTCGTAAGGGATGTTCAGGATCTCGAGGATGATGGCCACCTTGACAGGGTTGGCTGTGGGGTAGATGCCGTAGAGGACCAACGGCTTGATATCACGGGGAGCCATTGTGACTGTAGATGTATATAAATATGCTGTCTGTAAGCTGTTACTTGCAAGGAGATAGATTGCCGCTTGATGCCAGAGTTTCTACATGGCGTCCTGCGTCCCTTTATTTATATATTACGTTGCCGAAGCTCGCAGCCCCTCCATTCTCCATGCCGAGCCCGCCAGCTCTCCACAGCGGCCCTTCACGGCCGGAGCTACGATTGGATAATTCTGCGATCATGTATTATACATATGGCCGTGTGGAATGCTCCTTGGTTACAGCAAACTACAGTAAGCATTTATAATCAGGATTCGGACCAGCTCTGTTAATACCGAGCTCGGAATGTCCGGACTAAGCTATAGGCAGAGATGCAGGATGCAGGGGCATGCGAGTTAGTTAAATACGGCAGACATTATCGCGAACCGCATTGCTAGGCAACGCTGCACCGAAAGACCCCCTAGCAACATTTTCAACCATCTAGCTTGATAAAATAAAAGCAGGTTAACTTAATGGCCATATCTTAGTCCCTTAAAAAATAACGATTTTAAAGGTGAAAACGGGAGCTTCCATAGAGGCCTAAAAGTAATGGAAATATTCGAACCTCTTCCGTGCATAGGTTACTTTCTGCCTCAAAACGAAGGTACTTTTGGTGGCATTGCTCCCTCTTCTATAACAAAATAGTAACAAGGGTATCTGCTGGGCTGGTACAGTTGATAATTAGGCAATAAACATTGTGGCACCTTTGATAATATGTAGGGGTGATGGGTATGATCCTACAGAATTGATGTGCTGACCTAAACCGGCTTGTCGATAATTTTAACCATATCACGTGACCAATTTTAGGCCAGGCCGCATGTAACTAGAGGCTCAAACTACTTTAATTTTACTTTCGCCTTTAAATCCTACAGTCGGTCATGCCAAACATGTTGATGCCGCATAGTTGGCACCAATGTACCTACAAGCACCCGCTAGACTTCTCTTACTGGAAACCCGTAAATGCTTATTCAAGCGTACGCCTGTTTCAACATCTGAAAATATTGGCGTAAGACATCAGTTCTGGAAATAGAATAATAGTCCGGTTTTGGTGTGATGTTTGTTCGTTGATTTGTTGAATAACTAGCCCAAACCCCCTGGAGGATGGATGGCTACGGGGTTGTCAAGGCTACGCAAGCTTATCAAAATACCAACCAAGTCTCCTGACTTTGTGGTCATCGTTTGATCTCAATGGCTTGAATACGGCCTAGAGTCCCAAGGTTATCACGGAATAAGATGAAGTTCGCTGAAGAGCAGGGTCATTCACGTGACCGTTTGGCGCCTCCAAGAAGGCTCCAAGTTAACGAAGAAGCCAGAAGCGAAGTAAAACAACCAAACTGTTGAAAGACTTTTGACCAGAGATTTGGGGCAAAAAGAGAAGCATATAAACACACTATGGGCGGATTCAATGAGAACGAGAGCGCTGAGTCGCACTTAGCGAAGGTACGACCTCGATGACGCCTGATACAGGCCCCGCACTTTCAACAGTGATGCCTTTGCTAACTCCCACTATTATCATAGGCGTTTCAAGACATAGCCAAGTAAGTAACATTATACGGCATTATTGGAGCGTTATATATATCTATAGGTGCGGGAATCATGTCTAATATCTTGTGTCTATATAGAGGCGAGCAGACGGCGCAAGCTATCGAGAACCATCTCACGCGCATAGAGCAGGAGATAGATCGTCTCCTTGGATCTGTTGAAGCTGGAAAGGAAGATGGGGACGAAGTAACCAAAGATGATGATAAGGGGAAGGAGGAGGCGAAGAAGGAAGAGGAGCAGAACGGATCTGATGAGCAAGGAAAGGGGGATAAGCAGTGAAGAATGGACTATGGGAATCCAAACAGTTTCTCCAGCTGGAAGAGCCCATCTGCGTCCTTCTCGGCAACACCGACCTCTGTTACAATGGCATCGATAAGGTCATAGGGCGTGACGTCAAAGGCGGGGTTCCAGACATCGATTCCAGGAGCAGCGATGTTGACGGTCTCAAGGGTGATGTTCTCCTCATTCTTGCCGAGATCGCTGATACGTGGGCCTGTGATTCTGGTGACTTCGGACTTTGCTCTTTCTTCAATTATGATATCCTCTCCTTCCTTGGTGCGAAGGTCGATGGTAGTTCGGGGTGCGGCAACGATGAACTTGACGCCATGGTATTTGGCCAGGACAGCCAATTGGTAGGTTCCGATCTTGTTGGCGGTGTCTCCGTTTGCGACAACACGATCGGCTCCCACAACGATGGCGGCAAGACCTGCTCCCTTCTGCGCGAGGAGTGAGGCGGCCATGGAATCTGTGATTAGAGTGGCCGGGATCTTGTCGTGGACCAGCTCGAAGGCAGTGAGTCTAGCGCCTTGGTTGTACGGTCGTGTTTCTGTGCAGTAGGCGTGCTCGAGCTTGTCTGACGCAAGGAGAGAGCGGATGACGCCCAGCGCTGTTCCATACCCGGCGGTTGCAAGAGAACTAGATAATAAAAACAATTAGCCTGCCTTTGCCGTGCCATTTGTCTTTGGTTCACTCTGGTTGATATTGATACTGTTCAACGTACCCTGTGTTGCAGTGTGTCAGGACACCGACCTTCTTCCCCTCTTTGCCTACAGGTGTGTTATTCACAATCCACGCTGCGCCAAAGTCTCCCAGTCGATGGTTATCCATGGCATCGTCAATCAGCATCTTCTCCGCAGCCTCGACATACGCCTCCGCCAGATCTTTCCCCTTGGGATCCCCGATCTGCTTCCTCGTCTGTACCAGCGCCTTCAGCTTGATAGCCGCATCGCTCAGGTTCACTGCCGTAGGCCGACTGGTAACCAAGTAATCTAGCTTCTCCAAAATGTATGCTTCGACCTCGTCTGCTTCGGCGGACAGCTTGTCGTGGTCCATCAGCTCCGTCAGCTCGATCGAGAGGGAGAGGACGGCAACGATGGCGATGGCTGGCGCGCCTCGAACGTGCATCTCTTTTATAACATGCCATCCTTCCTTTGCTGTTGAGACGGGGATGTATCGCTCGACGTGAGGAACTTGGAGCTGGTCCAAGACCTGTAGCATCCCGCGCTTGTACCGGATGGATTGGAGAGACATGGCTGACTGTGCTGATGACCCCGTCGCAGGCTGTTCTATAACTACCCTTATTATGAGTGAATAGCTCGAAGGTGGTGTTTCCTTAGCTGTAGATGGCGGAAGAAGAGAATCAACCGGTAGCTGATAAGGAGTTATTATAACTGGTGGGGGAGGGGCAAAACGCCGGATATAAAATTTTATCCAGCGCATATAGAGCCAGCATAGCTATATAGCCCTTCACCACGGATTAAGGCTGGCGAAGTAGTGAATATTGGAATATCATTTGCGGAGTTTTATCTGGTAAGACGATATTTTGCGCTACTTCAAGACAGATTTCATCTTTGCAAAGGCGAAGATACAGATGCACGTAGCTCTACAAGAGGTCTATAGCCGTTTAGATATAGCAGAGGTGATAGCTCGTGGAGAGCCCTCTAGTACCATCGACTGCTTCAACTCAAGTCTCTGAGTATATCCATATGTTGCTTACTGCCCCTAGCACTGCGAGTGTCGTTCAATCCCTCTAGCCAAGTTGACTCCCTAAACGCCCAAAGTCTATGCTGCAACCCATCCAGACTTCGCCTGCAAAAGATATTGGAAGGTGAACGGTCGGAAGAGGTGTTAAGATTGGGTCATTATAGCATCGCAAGCGTATTTAGATGGGCAAAGAGAGCTTCTAATCCGCTGAAATGTAGAGTACTACCAACCGCATCAGTATGGGGTCTCCTCAGCAAGGTGAAAACGGATAGAGTATACCATTGTTCCCTCGCACAAAGGCATCGCCGTAGCTCCGTCTCATTTTACCATTCACGTATTCCTCGGTCTTCTCCAGGGCGATGTTCATGTAGCCGTCAACTGACTGTAGCTCGCCTATACCAAGGAATTAGACTGTATTCTTGGATGGGGATCGGATTATGCAGTCTGCAACAATAGTCGAATACGACTAACCTTTGTAGACAACGCCGGAGTTTAGCTTAACGGTGACTGGAGCGCCGGTGATTTCTCCAAGGAAAGCAGAGGGATCTTTGCCCTCAGAAGCCGAAGTGGCCTCCATTGCAGGTCAAATAGTGTGAGTTATAATCTTGGAATTGTCTCAGGGCGAGTCAATAAACAGTGTTATCTCAGTAAATCAGCAAAAGCAACTTCATACAACCGTCTTGATCTCTTGACCTCTTGTCTGCTTCTTCTTCGGCTTCCAACTTCAACATCACCAGAATGCTCACGTGACCACCGAGTTTGGTTAAATTGAAAACGCGACGCGAGAAGTTTCACAGCAAAAAGGAAGAAAAGAAGACGAGACGAAGGAGAAGACGATGAGAGAGCGAGATTGGATACCAGAAGAACACAGGCCAGTGGCAATACCAGCTTGAATAGCTATTCTGGCTGCCGGCGTTATTCAATCGGCGGAAGTTTATCAATAGCTACCTAGTCAACTGCGTCATTCAACAACACAGGAACCGAGCTTCGCAACTATATAAAGACGACGTCAGCCTCGAGGGCAGCTCTTCACAGCCTCATTCCACTTCCACTCCTGCACATACGCACAAATACATACGCAGCTAACGACCAGTAAAATAAGAAATACTCATACTGAATAATCGGATAGCAAAATGGCATCGTTCTTCAAGAAGCCAGCTTGGGCGCAAGCATCGGCTCCAGCTAGGCCGCAGGACTTTTTTCGGCGCTCCAACCAGGTATACTCGGACATTGTGGCCACGACTCAGGACGAGGATGAGAGCGATGATGAGACGACTGCAGACCGAGAGACAGCTTGTGCGCCGAGTGAGCCCAAGAGACGGCGCATCTCCAACGATGATGAAGACGATGCTCCTTCAGCTCTCCAGGCCAGGGCCACATCACCATCCCAGGAGCTTGGAAGCGGGGGTGATGCCGTTAAAAGGGATGCTTCTCCCAGGCCAGAAGAGACCAGCACTAGCAAAACACCTCCACGGACTCCACGGACTCCACGCTCTGCTCGGTCAAGCCCTAGGAAGACCGGCTCTCGAAGGAACAGTCCACGGAAGTCACAATTGATAGGGGCCTCACCTCCAGGCACTATTATCCATCTTAATTCGGAATCACCTCCTCCTCCAGCAGCCCGTGTTCCTCCAAACGCCGTCGTACGAGTTGATGATTCCGACTCAGACAATGATGGAGACAACGACGAAGAGTCTGACGAGGAATGCGCAGAACTGGTCAGACGAGCTCGAGAAAGGGCTCGTAATAACTTAATGCGTGAGAAGAATAACTCAAAATCTCCCAAGGGCAAAGAGAGTACCACAAGGAAGACTACAGAAAGTCCCTCGGCGGCCCGCAAAGTTGCTCCCAAGTCCCCGCCAAAGAAAAAGGACACCGTTGTGAATATTCTTATTACATCCAATATTGAAAATACCAGGTCGCTTCTGGTCCGTCGGCTGTTGTCACAAAACCTAAGAGACGTACGAAAGGCATGGTGTCATCACCAGAAATTTGACGAAGAAACCTCAGACACTATAATCCTGACCTGGAAAGGAAGACGGTTATTTGATGCAACCACTTGCAAGAGTCTGGGTATCAATGAGTCCGACACCAACGACAACTCGATGTTTGACTCTGCTCCCGTTGATATGGACGAAGGCAATGCCGGCGTCCACATGGAGGCCATGACACTAGAAATGTTGGAAGAAAGACGTCGAGCAGCGACCGCTGCCCAACTAGACAACGAGGAGGAGGAAAGTGAAGACGAGCAACCAAAGGCTCAAGAGCCGTCTGACGAGAATGTGGTTCGGATTATTCTCAAGAACCCGGATCTAGACGATTTCAGGATTAAAGTACGGCCTACAACGCAGATTGGCAATATTCTGAAGAAGTTCCGGCAGATGAAGGAGATACCTGAGCACAAGTCTGTTTCTCTCTATTTTGATGGAGACCGGTTGGATCCAGATTCTTTGATTGGGGATAATGATATCGACGACATGGATTGCATTGACGTTGTATTGAAATAGCGATTGACGGCAACAGGCTTTTACATGATAAACCTGATACTCAACGCGTTTTATTAGAGGTAGATAGTCAAATAGAATTACATGAGCCTTCAACTCTTTTCTCCACGACTATTGCTACTTACTCCAACTATAATACCCCTAATATAGGGGAGCCGATCTCTTATCGATAAGCGTCTTCCTCCCCGCGATAAGCAATTTTTTTACTGAAGCCAAAAATTATTCCACCTCGATCGCAAATCAATTACCTTGAACAAGATATTAACAAGTCTTACTACGAATAAACCGATACCCACGACCTGAGAAGCTATCTATAACGAATAAAAACATATCTCCAAGATGAAAATCCTCACGTCAAACTTCGTCACCTGCGCCGTGAAAGCATGCAAATCCTCCTCCGCTTCATACCCACTACACTTCCGCAACGCAGAGCTCGAGGAAGAAGAACTCGACTTCCAGCCTGATTTTGTCCGAAATATCTTGCCTAGGGTGGACTGGGCGGCTCTTAAAATAAGTGCTAGCGAGGTAAGCTGAGACGTCTATATGTTACTCTATGCGTTGTGCGGACGCTGATTGAGCATAGCTTGGGTTCCCATCGATAAGCGAGTCGAAGCCTGAAGGCGAGGAGTTGAATAACGAGCAGCTACTGCGGGATTTGCATAAGTTGCTTCTTGAGACGCATGTTGTGGAAGGCGAGCTGGTGTGCGGGAACTGTGGACATGAGTATAAGATAAAAGAAGGGATTGCGAACTTCTTGCTTCCGAGCCATCTTGGTATGTTGCATTTCTCTAAATTGCCATGTGAGAGTCCTTACTAACGGAGTGGTTTATAGTATGATGTTGGAGTTGAGACTTGATAGATGGACAGAGTTAGATGAATATACCCGGAATAACAGGACCTGCTGGAATACGCTGGTTCAGGCCAGGCAGTTATAGCAACAACGATACAACTGCCTAAGATTATACTCCCAACGGCCAACCCGCCGATGCATAAGGAATACAAATACCAACAACCACTCCGCGACCGAATAAAGATAAAATTCTCATCATTTATTTGTTTATCTGCTTTGCTTTAACTATTTATCAACCTTTTCCTTCCCTGACCAACCAACAAACAAACACTTGGCCAGCGCCATGATACATTTGCTCCCAGCATGAATAAAGCGATGAAAAAAACAAGCGGCATAAAAGAGAACATGGAAGAGCAAACAGACCCATATCTATCCCATCCAACCAGGCAAGCAAAAGCAACCATCCAGCTAATATACACATGTAATAAAAGCAGACAGAGAAAGAGTAGAATGAAAGCAGAGTAAAAGGGATGGGAATTATTACATGTTGAAGAAAGGTGGGTTTTTAGCATTATGAGCGCACAAGCGCAAGCGGGCAGGCAAGGCAAGCATGGGGGAGAAGGAAATGGAGAAGGAAATGCAGTATAGGTTGAATAACGCCAATCGTTAGAGTAGAAGGTGGGAAGGGAAGTCAGTGTAATCAAACGCCCTCCCTACTTTAAGATGGTTGAATTATTCCTATGTGGCTATAGATATAGGTAGTTATCTAGCCTTAGAGGATGGCGTGGCAGTGAGTGTTATTGTGTGGTTTGTGGCGGGCGGCGCACAGCAGCATATATTTGTGCGGTGTTTGTGAGCGCAGGCAGAAGGAGAGTAAGGGGTATCAGCACCAGCATCAGCACCAGCATCAACACCAGTCTCAGCATCAGATGGCTTAATTGAGGAATCCCTTGCAGCCCGTCGAGCCGCAGAGACAAGGGATACGGTCGTCGCTATCCCATTCTCGCTCGAACTTGTAGTCGTATGTCAATTCTTCATCTACATAGCAAGTCAGTAACCCTCTACATAATATACGCATATTGCGAATACGGATAACGGTTGAAACTCACCTCTCTCGATATCCCTAAGGGCATAAATGACAATACGTTTACTTCCGTCGACCTTGATGATTTTCGCCGTGCAGTTGGGCGTGCAGCTATGGTTGATGAATCGCGCTATACCGCCATGCTTCGTAGCGTCGATGACGGTATTCTCATCAATACGAAACAAGTAGCTGCTTCCAATGCCGGACTTGAGATACCGTCGTTCACGCATATCAGCAACCTGCTGTCGTACTTTCTCACCAACGTACTCAATAATCATGTCGTTTGCAGTGATGTTTTCTTCAGCATATAGACCCCAATTGTGAATTGCCGAACGAGCGAACCGGACAGGCTTCTTGCGCTTCTTAAGCTGGTTGAAGCGCAGCACGTCTCCTTCGCCGCTTTGAGTGGGCAATGCTTGTTTCTGGGCGTTGATGTCGGCTACCAGACGGCGGTTGTTGACGCGGTTCGAGCGGGAGGAAGTAAGGGTTGATTTCGAGATGGTTTTGGTTGCGATGACTCTGGCTGCTGCGTCGGCGGCGGCGGGATCGTTTTTGGCTAGGGCTTCGCGTTCTTCGCGGGCCTTTTGGACCTTGATGCGGTGAGGGAGGTATTTGGATTTTTCGGATTCGAGGATTCGTTTGCGGCCGTCGGTGCGAGCTGAGCCGGTCGGGTTGGGGACGTAGTAGCCTTCTATCTTTATTTCGGAGTGGACGGGACCTCGGGCGCCGTGGCTGTTGATGGCCTTGATTTGTTTCTGGTTCCAGGCCCAGGCTGTGATGTTGGCGATGGGGGTGTCGGGTATGCTTGAAAGCGAGGTTGATTGTAGGGCTTCTCGGAGGAAACGAAGGTCTTCTGTGTCCTTGACTAGGTTCTGCCATCCGTCGAGATCGAGGACGATTCCTTCGTCGTCTTCGACCGTGGGTTTTGGTTCCGTGGTCGACAATCCCCATTCTACCTCTGGCTTGACGTATGCGTCTTCCTCCTCTTCTTCCTCCTCTTCCTCCTTGCCTTCGATATCAATCTCGCCTTCAACAGGCGTGACGGCGAGTGAGATGTCATCAACCTTTGAAACCAGACCCTGATCCGCCGCAGCCTGAAGTTCAGCAAGCTTAAGCGCCTTCTTCTCCTCGAGAAGCTGTTTCTTGGTCTTCTTCTTCGGTTTCTTGCTCTTGTCTTTACCGAGTGGTTGAGCCTGCGAGTCCACGATCACAGACAGATCATCGTCTGGCTCCTGGCTAAGATGAGACGTATCAACACCGAATAACTCGTCCACTTTCTTCCGCCGCTTCTCCATCTCCAGCAGCTCCAGGCTGAGTCGTTTCCGTTTCTTCGAGACATGGTCGTAGTCGCCTGGCTCTCCCAGCATCTCACGGTCGAGATCATCCAGCTCGTCCTTGATGCCCGCTGAGTCGAGACCGGAGTCTCCAAAGCCAGACACGCTGGGAACAAGCGAGCCACGGAGATTCTCATCCTCGTCGTTATCTGCCTCGCTGGATAGACGGGAGAGTGGTCGAGATTCCTGGTCTTCGGTATCCCGGGTGAAGGAGGTCTGCTGCTCATCGTCGGAATCGTCTTCATCGTGAAGCTGTTGAAGACGGTGGTAGAGTGGTCTGAATTCCCTTCTGCGAACGGTGGGACGACGTCTTCGCTCATCGACAAAGGCTGAATTGTTCCGTTCAAAGTCTCGTGCTTTTCTAATGCGCGGTAAGGCGAGGACGTTCTTCGACTGCGCACTGCCTGGTGCGGGACTGTTTCGTGAATCCGTGGTGCTTTCTCCCAGCGCCGTATCGAGGTAGAAAGCCGGCTTCTTGATTCCCTGCGGATCGGCAATACCCAGCTTCTGCCTCTTTGCGCGGTGTCGGTCCGGATCGAGAAAGTCGTAGAGCGCCGGAGCCGCAATTCGAGTCTTGATGTCTTCCAGAAGCTTATCTCTGAGCTCACGGATGGCAATGGCAACGACTTCCGTAGTTGGATCAACATTTTCAGCTCGTAGACGCTTCTCCTCTTCGACATCCAGCTCCGTCTCCCGCTTGAGCCGTGCCTTTTCCGACTTCTCGCGCTGTTCGGCCTTGACTCGTTCAGGACTGGGACTTCGTTCGTATGACGGGTTGCCGTACTGTTGACATTCCATGTTCATGACGTAGGTGAAGAGAGCGGTCATATGGCAGCCTCGAAAGCAGCGCTCGCACTCGAGTTCGCCTCGACGGGAGTTTTCGAACAAGACATAGTATCCTGTGTTGTCGCATCGGACGGACTTCCAGTCGTATAGCTTCAGACGTCGTTCTAGATGGGTGATGGTGGTGCTGAGGACGGGGACGTAGCAGTGTGCAATGAAGATGTAAGGGTCTCGTTTGATCTGGTCCAGGATGGGAGTTTGTTCGACCAGAGACACCGGTTTGGCAGCTGCGCGAGGTCCGTCTGGCGGTTGGAGCTGCAAGGCCGGGTGTAGGGAGGATTTACCAGATGGTCCCTTGGGAGCTGTAGGGGGCGGCACATTGTCTACCTTTGACTGTGATGGTTCGGCATCTGCTTTGGGGCCGGTAGGTAGTAGAGGTGGTGGAGGTGGAGGAGGAATGGCAGCAGACTTGTCGGATTTCTTGCCGCTAGCTGCATCAGTACTATTCTGCTGTTGCTGCTGTTGCTGCTGCTGCTGTAATTGTTGTTGTTGTTGTTCAAAGACAGCTAGCTGTTCCTGTTTTTGTAGAGCAATGAGCTTCGCGACGATACGGTTGCAAGCAGCGGAATTCCGGTCGAGCTCTACTCTGATGCGCCGAGTTCCGATGCGCTGTTCCTTCTTGCACTCGAGGTAAGCTCTCCGGGCGGACTGGGCAGCTGTAAGCGGGGAGCCACCGCGCAGAGACCTGCTGTCCTTGTACGTAATGGAGCAGACACCTAGAAAACGGCCCGTGGTGGGATCTGTCCTGTTGTCTATCTCCGCGATGTCACCGAAGCTGGAGAAGAGGGCGCTGATGGGAGCCACGGTGGTGAGGGGATCGTAGCCGGTGACGACGATCTGGGTGGGCGGACCGGGCCCTATAGAGGTAGCTGGATCGTAGGCCCATGGCTTGAGTGTGTAAGGAGCCGGCCTGTACTTTGTCTTTTGCTTGCTGGCGGCGCCGCGGGTGTAGTTTGGTATGGCTCTCCGGGGGTCTGCCGGGGGGAGAGATCGACTATGTTCGGTTTCCATGCAAGCAGCAGCGGCGTCAGCGGCCTCGCCTTCGCCAAAGGGAGCGTACTGAGGTTTCCGGCGCTTGTCCTTGGACGCAGGAGGCTTCTTGTCCAGGTCCGGGTCGTAGAGGAGCTTGTAGCCCCTTGCAGGAGGAGGGAGCCGACTGGCGGCCTTGGCGTGGTTTTTCTCATACTCAACGGCGGAAGAAGAAGACGTAGAAGAAGTAGACTGCTCCGAGTCCGCGAGCCGCGAAGAGAGCATCGGGCTGCCGGACTTGCGCGGCGGCGAGGAGTCGGTGTTTGTCAGAGGCGTGAGGGCGTAGGTGGTGGACATGCCGTTGAGCGTGGTGGCCGCGGCGGACGACTCTGTGGCCGTGGAGCTTGAAGAGCCTACCCTCGCAGCGCCCACGCCATTAGCCGTCGACGCCGCCGCCGCAGCCGTAGAAGAAGAAGACGACGAAGACGCAGCCGCGTAGTACGAGTCTATGGGCGTGATAGCTGTCTCCGGCTGCTCAGCGGTCGGTGTTGCGTCTGCCGTGGAGGTTGCTGTCGACGAGGCCCCTCCACCACCATGCTGGTCCTGGTCGTGCTGATGCTGCTCCTCCGCGAAGAAGTCAGAGACGGCCGACCTGCTCTTGGGCCTGCTGCTGCTGCTGGTGCTCTCCTGGCCGGCCAGGGCCTTGCTGCTGCGCTTCTTCTGCAGGACTGAGGGCGCCGTTGGGAAGAAATCTGCAAAGCCGGCGGAGGCGCGTGACATGATGGGATTGAAAAGGGACGAAGATGAAGGCGACGAAGCGGAAGAGGAAGAGAAGCTGGCCTAGGAGCCTGAGAGAGACGGGCGAGGGTGAGCAAGCACCATCCTTGAGCACGGCAGCCTTCTCATAGAGCCATGCAGTTCTCCTTCTTCTTCTTCTAGTTCTTCTTCTGCTGTCTGTCTTCCTGTCTTCCTATCTCCTGTATCGACGCGGTGTCTGTGGCGAGGCGCAGGTTGGATGTCCGAGTGAGCAGCAGAGACGAGGGAGAAAGGGAAGACGGACAAAGGAGACGAAGAGAGAGACCTGCGACTGTTCGAATTGGCCTGGCGAGCTGTCCTGCTGTCTTCTGCCTGTTCGTCTTCGTCTCGTCCTTGTCCTGGAGGTTTTGGTGGTTTTTTTTTTTTCGTTTCTCTATTTTTTTGCGGAGGTTGAAGGTTTTTTTTTTTGGCTCTTTTTTTTTCTTTTGACGTTCGCGACGCCAAAAGGGAAAATCTTGACCCGACGATGACGATGATAAAGACGATGGAGAAGATGAAGGAGATGATGGAAGAAGAGAAGAAGACGAGAAGATGGAGTTGAAGACACGGAGAGAGCGAAGTTCATGTTCAGGCTGGAGTTGGGTGGACGGCCGTTGAGTGAAGGTGGACAGAGAGCAGACACGAACGGAGACGACGGTGATGATGATATTACAAGAAGATGAGAGACCGAGAAGAAGAGAAGATGAGAATATGAGAAGACGAGAAGAGAGACATGATACAGAAGATATGAAGATATGAAGACATAAGGAGAGACATGGCCGTGGCTGCACCATCTTACGACCTGACGCCCGCTGCCTCTGACCGTCAACGAGGTAAGTCGACGATGAAGACGAGAGATAGAAGATACAGGAGACGAGAGACGAGAGACGGAGAGACACGAGAGATGATGGAGATAGAAGAGACAGACATATATAAGAGATGAAGACGTGAAGAGGACTACTCCGAACTCAGCTCAGCTACAGGAAGACTGCCAGACGACCTGCTGTCATAACCGAGACTATCAAGACGCCTTTCTAGTTACCAGCATAGCTCGACAGACGTTGAATATACATATATACAGACAAACGGTGATGATGAGATACGGAAGAGGCCTTTAAGCATCTCCATCTTGCCTAAAGAGCGTTCGTACAGGACCACGGATAGCCATTGACCGCAGACATGACTCTCTATCAATAAAGGAGAAGGAGAAGAAGACGACAGTAAAAGGAGTATCCCCTTACTTCTGCTCTCCTTCTGCCCTCCTTAACGACTTCTACTGCTTCTAACGACTGCGTGCCACCAGAAGAGATAAAAATAGGCCAACCATCGACCACCGAAAGAAGCAAAGAGCACAACATGTCCTGGGTCCCTGGAGATCGTTAAATATAGATCTCTCCAGCTAACGAGCTACTTATCTCTGGCTGCTCTCTCGCTCTGTCTTTTCGACGCCTTGGCTGACGGCGGCCACTCCACCGTGGTGAGACATGGGAGGAAGACAGGACGACGGCAGCCAGAGCAGGCAAGCAAGCAGCAGGTAAGAAGTCAGGGCAGGGGAAGAGAGAGACCAGCCGAGACAGACGGAGAAAGACTGCATGATCTGTCCATCTCTGACTCTGTATCTCTGGATGCCTGCCTGTCTGTGTATCATCGCCATCCATGTCTGTTCCCCCTGGGGCGCTGTCCGGATGTCTTAGAAGCCGAAGCAGCAGAAGCAGGAACCAGAAACCAGACGAAGACGAGGACGAAGACAGCAAAGACTAGCTCGATGGATCCAGCACAGCCTCAGCGGTTAAAAAGCTGATAGCACGCAGGACGAGGGAGAAGCAAGAAGAAGCAAAGTAGATAGTGACCAGTAAAACAGATAAAAGGAGCTTCTCTCTACTCTTCATCTTCATCTCCATCTTCATCTTCGTCTCGTCTCTCACTGTCTATCTCTACTTCTTCTTCTTCTACTTTCTCTCACTTTTCTGCCCCTCCAAGCGCCGTCACCGCCCTCGTCCCTCGCCAACTTCAACTTTCGTCAGCTTCAACTTCTTCTTCTTCTACCAACAACAAACAACAACCAGCAAACAGCAAACAGCAAACAACATCTTCATCTTCATCAAACAGACAGAGAGATAGATATAGAGATAGCTGTCTGCTGCTTGTCTTCTGCTTCTGCTTCTACTTCACCCTCTCTACAATTGACGTCGCTCGCTCATCACCATGTGGTAGGTCCCTCCACTCGCCCACCCCAGCTTCATCCACATCACAGCTAACAACAGCTCGACAGTGGAATCTTTGGCTACATCAACTACCTGGTCGAGAAGGACCGTGGATACATCATCCAGACCATCATCAATGGTGAGTCCTGACCCCTTTTTTAGCGGGGCTACAGACCTGGACTGACAGTAAAACTACAGGCCTCTCCAGACTCGAGTACCGTGGCTACGACTCCGCCGGCATAGCAGTTCGACGGTGACAAGAAGAACGAGGTCTTTGGCTTCAGAAGGTCGGCAAGGTGGCCAAGCTCAAGGAGCTCATCGACACCTCCAAGCCTGACCTCTCCAAGACATTCGAGTCTCACGTCGGTATCGCTCACACCCAGATTGGGCCACCAGAAGCCCAGCACGGATCCCAGAACCAACTGCCATCCCCATAGGTAGGTTGAAACACTCACACACGAAGAAGAAGGAGAAGATGCTGACTGGAACAGGTCTGACCCCAACTGGGAGTTCGCAATCGTGCACAATGGAATCATCACCAACTACAAGGAGCTCAAGGCCCTGCTCGAGTCCAAGGGCTTCCGCTTCGAGACCGACACCGACACCGAGTGCATCGCCAAGCTGGCCAAGTACCTCTACGACCTGCACCCAGACATCGACTTCACCGTCCTCGCCAAGGCGGTCGTCAAGGAGCTCGAGGGCGCCTTTGGCTTGCTCATGAAGTCCGTCCACTACCCCCACGAGGTCATTGCGGCCCGAAAGGGTTCCCCCTTGGTCATTGGTGTCCGAACCGAGAAGAAGATGAAGGTCGACTTTGTCGACGTCGAGTACTCCGAAGAGGGCACCGCTCTGCCCGCTGAGGCTGCCTCCCAGAACGCTGCCCTCAAGAAGTCTGCTACCACCTTGCTCGCCCCGCCAGACAAGAGCCTGCTTCACCGCTCCCAGTCTCGAGCTTTCCTCTCAGACGACGGTGTCCCCCAGCCTGCAGAGTTCTTCCTCTCCTCTGACCCCTCGGCCATCGTAGAGCACACCAAGAAGGTCCTCTACCTCGAGGACGATGACATTGCCCACATCCACGACGGCCAGCTCAACATCCACCGTCTCAACAAGAACGATGGCACCTCCAACGTCCGTGCCATCCAGACCATCGAGCTCGAGCTCCAGGAGATCATGAAGGGCAAGTTCGACCACTTCATGCAAAAGGAGATCTCCGAGCAGCCCGAGTCCGTCGTCAACACCATGCGTGGACGTCTCGACACCGAGAACTGCAAGGTCACCCTCGGTTGTCTACGCCAGTACATCTCTACCATCCGCCGTTGCCGTCGTATCATCTTCATTGCTGCGGAAACCAGCTACCACTCCTGCATGACCGTCCGTGGTGTCTTCGAGGAGCTGACCGAGATCCCCATCTCCGTCGAGCTGGCCTCTGACTTCCTCGACCGTGAGGCACCTGTCTTCCCGTGACGACACCTGCGTCTTCGTCTCCCAGTCCGGTGAGACCGCTGACTCCCTCAATGCCCTCCGATACTGTCTCGAGCGCGGTGCTCTCACGTCGGCTTCGTCAACGTCGTCGGCTCTTCCATCTCCCTGCTCACCCACTGCGGTGTCCACATCAACGCCGCCCCTGAGATCGGGTGTTGCCTCCAACAAGCCTACACCTCCCAGTTCGTCGCCATGTCATGTTCGCCCTCTTCCCTCAGCGAAGACAGTGCCTGCAAGAAGCAACGTCGCGAGGAAATCATCAAGAGGCCTCGACTCGTCTCCACCAGTTCCGCGAGATCCTCAAGCTCAGCGAACCCATCAAGGAGATGTGCGCCAAATTCTTCAAGAACCAAAAGTCTCTCCTCCTGCTCGGCCGTGGAAGCCAGCACGCCACCGCTCTCGAGGGTGCCCTCAAGATCAAGGAAATCTCTTACTTGCACTGTGAGGCTGTCATGTCTGGAGAACTCAAGCACGGTGTCCTCGCCCTCGTCGACGAGAACCTGCCAATTATTATGATCTTGACCAGAGACAACCTCTTCGCCAAGTCCCTCAACGCCTACCAGCAGGTCATTGCCCGTGCCGGTCGTCCTATCGTCATCTGCAACCCTGACGACGAGGAGTTCCCTGCCTCCGAGACCGAGCGCATCCAGATCCCCCGCACCGTCGACTGTCTGCAGGGCCTGCTCAATGTCATCCCACTGCAGCTCATCGCCTACTGGCTGGCTGTCGGCGAGGGCCTCAACGTCGACTTCCCACGTAACCTCGCCAAGTCGGTTACCGTCGAGTAAATCACCTTCATCCTTCAAACGGGGGGGAAGCAAAAGAGAAATCAAAATTTCATCACAACTTTCGGCTCGATATAGATCTGAATGATTCACCTGGGTTTCAACGGAGGAAAAAAGAAAAAATGAAGAAAAAAGGCCAACCAAAAATTTCCTATGCAGGATTATTATATCACAATCAACCAAAAATCAACCACCCATCCCCCCTTTTCCCCGGCTCTTCCCCCTCCCCCGTTTCCTTTCCGCTCCATTCCATTTGTTACGAGGTTCAGCTTCTCCTTGCTTTTTTGCCCCCTTTTCTGCGGTCCTTTCTGCTTATCCATCTATATGTTGTAATGCGACTCTGCATGCGTGCGTGCTATCCGTCTGCCCCTCTGACCTCGACCATATCTTACCCCTGCGTAGCTATATAAATACATAAATGATTACACCCATTCATCCATTCATCCATGCTTATTACACTCAGATTTCAATCATGCCATTCATCCATACGTCTACTCACATTTGCTCATGCTCTTGCTCGAACATTGACAACTTTGATGCGGGGCTTATCTCAGATAACAGCTTAGTAAGCCGAACCGCACCTTATTACCACTTCCTAGCGTGCTTCGATATAACAGCCAGCAAGCAGATAGAGATGCCATTCAATATATCAGTATTATAAGATTTCAATGATATTCACTCCTTTAAGCTGCGTAATACCTCCCAAAGTATATAGGGGAAACCCCCGCCGGCTCAACTGTACTGTACATACGTATATGCCTAATAACTTCCATTTGGCCGTGCGGTCGATAGCTACGTAGAGCGACGCATCCCTCACGTGGCCCAACTAGACAAGCTCCATCGTTCCAGCCTCGGATCAACATCCCTCAATTCCGCACCACCCTTGACGTTGGTTTTGGTATAGAGATAGATAAAATACAGCAGCTCCTACGCATATAACGACAAGGCACAATCAGGCAGACGAGCACAGAACAAGTCAGGTTAAATTGCTTTAAGCGACAATGTCTGGTATCAAGGGACCAGGTGAAGTGCAGACATACGATGGTACGCTCGCTCACAACTATATCCCAATCCTGTCCCCGCGTCCACACACCACGCCAAAATGTATATGCTAACATGCTACTAGGCTCCCATCTACGCATAGCCATCGTCCACGCACGCTGGAATGAGAAAATAATTAGCGCTTTGGTCGAGGGGGCTAAGAAGAGCATTCTCGCTGGCGGCGTGGAAGAGGAAAATATCGTCGTTCAGAGCGTCCCTGGTAGCTACGAGTTGCCATTCGCAGTTAAGAAGTAAGCAGATGGAAGCCCGATATATCTATCTACATACTATGCCTATTAGACGTCAACGCCATGCTGACAGATGCCTGTTTGTTTGTTCGTAGTCTCTACGAAGCCACAGATAAAGTAGCTGGAGCCAGACCATTCGACGCAATCATTGCGATAGGCGTGCTTATCAAGGGCGAGACAATGCATTTCGAATACATTGCTGACGCAGTTAGTCATGGACTGATGCGTGTGCAGCTTGATCTGGGTGTTCCTGTGGTGTTTGGGGTGTTGACTGTTCTCAACGATGAGCAGGGCCTGGCTAGGGCTGGACTATGTGAGGGTGGGAAATCACATAACCATGGAGAAGACTGGGGTAGTGCAGCTGTTGAGTTGGGTATTCAAAGGGAGGCTGCGTTGGATGGGAGGATCGTGTAGGTAGGTAGGTAGGTAGATGAATAGAGGAATAGATGTATTGGTTGTGTTTTGGGTGTGGATTAAAGAGATCTCAGACTCATAATACCCTTTTCTTGCCTAGTTATCTATCTATCTGTGTATGTGTAGACGATACGATGACGACTTAGTCCTCCATCTTATCGTCTTCTTCATCATCGTCGTCCTCGTCGTCGTCATCTTCTTCCTCATCATCCTCTTCCTCGGTAAGAGCTTTCTTGGCCAACCGCTCTGCTTCCTCGAGTAGCTCTTTGGGAACCTGCTCGTGTCTGCCTTTGGTTGGGCCGTCAAGACAGCTGACCCAGGTCATTTCCAGCTCGAATTCTTTATCCTTGCTGTCTTCGTGTGCGATGTAAATGATTCTCGCTGCTTCTTTGACACCGTCTAGCAGACTCAGCTTGCCAGCGGGAAGATCTAGCTTCTCCAGCTCGGCTTTGGCGGCTTGTCGGCCTTTGCCTGTCGCGGCGCCGTAGTAGCCCTATAATCCGTTAATACAGACATATTCCAAGCCGATGCATAATTAAGTAGATAGATAGGGTGCGTGACGTACCCAGTAAGCACCGCTAGGCTCGATCATGAACAGGCCAGGTCCACCGGCCTTGGCTCCCTTGACTTTCCCGCCTGAACCGCATTCAGGGCCAGACCCAACCTGCCCATCTACAGGTAGCTCTGCCTCTGAATCCCATCCTCCAACTATAGCTGAGATGCCAAATGGTCGGACGGAGGAGTACAAGGTATATGCCTGTACGTACCCTCCTAACCGACTGGCCAGCACGTCCGTCGGGATAGGTCCCTTATATGTACTTCTCCACGAAGAAGCTTCATCACGAGCTCTGGAAACAAAGTGTCGTCCGTCGGGAATCAGGCCAGATGAGACCTAAGATAGCTTTAGCAACGCACTCTTGCCTTGAATCGGGGGAGAGGGGGGTTGGGGGAGTAAACGAAGGACGTACTATTCCAACGTTCCTATCGACGGTAGCTATTCTCTTATTGGCGCCAGCCTTGAGTAGTTTGCTGCTGATAAGCTTCTCTACAGCCAGAACGACACCGTCCTTGCACCGTATGCCGATGGAAGTGCCACCATTCTCAACTGCCTTTACCGCGTATTCTACCTATGTGACGGGTTAGCTGGGGGGCCATTGCAAGTAAGCGGAGAGTGAGGTAACGAGGAGAGCAGCGCACTTGAAAGTTACGTCCGTCCGGGGAGAAAACGGAGTTTGACAGATCGTATCCTGTTCCTATGGAGGTCTGTAGCAGTTAGCAGGGCGGTCCCGATACCTGATATCTCCCAATACCTCTAGTTGTCTATATTGGATCAACATACCATCTTGATGTTGTTGTGTCGGAGTCGTCAGTCAATGAATGTGGCAGGGTATGCAGAAGGCAAAATCCGGGCTATAAGCAGTATGAATCGACACTCCTCGTCCTTCTCGTCTGTCTGTTCGCTTTTCTCCTGCTCGTCTTTGCTCTGCTATCTTCTTCGTCCGCTTCGTCTGTTTGTCGTTTTTGGTTCTTTTGGAGCTTCGAGCTGGCTGCGTCACGGGACTGCTGCCTTCATGACTAAGGGATGACTAATCAGCACCTCTTCAACCTCTTCTTTTCTTTTTCTGTTGCTTTTGATAGAGACAAAAAGACGAAGACATCAAGATCAAGACGGCGAGAGACGACGACGAAGACGAAGACGAGAACAGCCGGCGATGAGCATCGAGCCTATGAGATCCCTGCCTCGGTAAATAAGAGACTGACATGGACTAACTTGCAGGGCCCTTTTTGTTGCTCTTCTTTGCTTGTTTCTGCCTGACATGCCTGTTTAGCCGCCACTCAACTAGCCGGTTGGGCATCGATCATCTATCAAGTCGCTGACTCGCAGGCAGGAAATAAAGGGACACCAAGTCACCGCTACACCCGAAGACTCGTTCTTCCTCTCTTCCAGACACATCGCGAACTCCTCGAGCTTCTTAAAGCTGATACTTCCCGGCCTCTTTTCCTCTGCTTACACGCTATCAACTTTACCCCCTTTTTTACCGTGTTACTCCATACTCCACAACCCTGCCCCGCCGTTCGCTATATCTCGTTTTCCTCTGCTTTTGCCCTCTAAAGAGCAAAAACAACACTCGATCTCTGCCTTAAAAGGTACCGATCGACCAGAGAAAGAGGTCTCTTCGGCCACGCAGCGTGGACAGTTCCTCACTCTTCCCACCTGCTCCTGTGTTGGGCATCACCGGACCCGTATCAAATCATCCCTCTTCCCCGCCATAATCGTCATTTTCCAGTGCCCCAAGATCAAGTTCTTTGGGAGAATCCGAAATAGACAACTTCTTTCCCCCTTTTTTCGAAATTTTGTTGTGCTTCCTTCAGCTAGCTAGAACATATATAGGAACAAGAAAAGGAGTTGTTTATTGCCCGAAGTTCTCTCTGAAAAGCCAAACCAAGAAAACAAGACTATCTTCAAATCCTAACATACCAACCAACAAACCAACAGAAACGACAAGAAACAGACAGGGTATACCTATCTACCTCACTCTTACTTTCAACGAAGATGGTTTCCGTTCTTCACCGATGTCCGTACTGTTCGTACGAGACTGATCTGTCCGGTGCCCTCCCGGCCTTCACAGAGAACCCTCATTGCCAGAGAGTAAGGAACTTTTACAAAGCACATTGCTTATTGGGACATTTTTCTAACATGCTCGATAGTGTGGCTTGTCTGCGGCCGAGGGTGACATGAAAATGGACAATGACCTTGCTGCTCTCTTTGCTAGCAAGATGGCCGTGACCAATGCACCAATACAGCAAACCACTGTCAACGTACCCCCTAGTCAAGCTTCTAACCCAGCAAGCCCTCTCTTTTCCAACAATGCTGCTGCCACAAGCTCCCAGAGCAACGCATCTACAGACACCGATCTAGATGTTATGCAGCAGGGGCACTCAAACACCCCCAACCCTATTCCTGGAGCTGCCTCTGTATTCTCCCCTGAGGATACGCTCAGAAGCTACAACATTGACCCAAACTCTCTCTATCCGTCACAAATCGCCTTATTCAGCCAAGCTGCTCCAGAGCAGAAATTCCGCCTCATCGAACTGTGGCGCATATCCCCTGGCTCAGCCATGCCAAACATCCTTCCGAGCCAAGGAGCCCACATCGTTCATACAAACTTTCTTTCAAACCTCGCCAACACCGTAAACAAATCTCAGTGCGGCACTGACGACATGATGATGGACGACGAGAAGATGGATGCTGAGCCGTACGTGCTATCAGGCTACGAACGTCTTGCTCAGCAGGAATACGAAAGCCAGAGTGCACCAGCTTCGACGTCTCCTCTATCAACCCAAACCTACAACCAGGCTACTGATCCCGTTTATAAGGGAAGTGAATGGCAACAACAGCAACAAGAACAACAACAGTGTCTCATGGAGAACCAATACGGAGAACTCCAGATGAAGAAGTACTACTTTGGCTGTGGTATTTCGAGAGCTCACTGGCTTGAGGATGAGCAGATGCTATAGAAGCAAATGCAGGAGAACCACCTTTTGCAAGATGACCTATTTACCTCCTCTTGTCGCTTCTGACGGCTCTGGCCCATACTTCTTGAAATAATTGGTTTCTTGAGCTGGTGCTCTAGTCCGACTTTCTATTTTCTTTTCTTTTTGTTTTCATTTACGACCTTGTCTATGTGACCCCCTGGAGACGAATACTTGCATGAATATCATACACAGACCTTGTTGGCACTCGATTACCAGCTAGATGATTGTTAGTCTTGTTTTAAACCTCAATACCCATCTCTACTACTTTGCAGAACATTCACGCATCGTCTTTCCAACTTTGACTTCTATTCTCCCAGTACAATAAGTGTATGTAATCTGAGAGCATTGTTTTTCGGTCTGATACTAGCAGTATTGTATTTATAGGAGTATAGAAACACACATTCGCTTCAATAATAACATATACGCACAGATTTTTCAATTAGATCAGTAATTGTTGCTGTGCGTCTGTTCTTCGAGGAGGTGGAAGGCAAGCTAGGTCTTGACCCGAGTTAAGCAATCTTATCTTTGAGGGTATAAGTTCAAGTAACGAAAATTTTATATTTAATCAGGGAATATTTTTATGTTACAGAAGCTGTGGAAATTGCCGGAATAAAAGTTTGCCGATGGACAAGCCTGCATGCCAAGCCAGAGTTATCCAACATATATAAAAGAAGGCAGTTTCACCCATGTCATAATACATTTTTACAGTCTCCTTCTAAATTTCGAGTTTAGTAACATCTCTACAAAGAGCATGGGTAGTAGAAGATACATACCTTGGATTGGATGGAATTGTCTGCCTTTATCTTCTACACTTAGCATTAGCAAATATGTTCTTGGCTGTTTGGCAAGATACATGCTGCGTACCATATACTGCTCCACCCGCTCAGCTAGTTCTATATCTTCCAGCAGCTGACGTTGATCTTTGGTTCTCTTTTCTCCGTTCATTTTTTGCTAGTCCCCATAATAAGCTCCTGCAGTGTCTCTGAGGGTTATATATGCCATACATACCTCTTCTTCATGTAAATATGCATATAAAGATAAGGCAAGGGAAAGAGTAGCACCAGTTGTATCTGCCGGATGTCTGACGAAGAAGCGCTCAAGATCGTGGGCAGTTGCGTGATATAGTGCATCCCCAAATCCTTCGAAAGAGATAGGCATCTCTTTGATTGTAGGATGGGACACCGGGACTTGTTTCATTGCCGCAACCCATCCCCTCAGGAAGGATCTTACTTCCTCGGGCATGGCAGAAGGGCTTGGACATGGCGGGAATACCGCAGCCTCCCCTCGAAGCTGAGTAGTACGTTAGCTTGTTGGTCTTTGTAATATGGGAATTCCAAATCTTTGCGCCGAAGTACATACCTCGACTATAGCCATTCTTTTGCTGTCGATTGCGATGAGCTATGATAGATAACTTGATAAACGTTTCGTGGATATAAGGCCTGTGGGCTTATTTTGAGCTCCCGATGAATTTTCATTTTATGACATTGACAGGGAAAACTTCTCGAACCCGCATATTTATATATGCTATGCCGAAGCTTCGCTATTACGTATTTGATGGTTTCGGAGTTTCTAAAACGTCATTGACTTTTGGCTGGCGCCTAATTGGGTTTTTCGCGTTTATAACGGTCTAAGTGCTTTTAGGTTTTCATTTGTTGCTGTGCATGATTGGTTTAACTAGTTAGTTAACTCAAGCGCCGAACTGCTCTTGAAGACATTGAAATCATAAAATGAGTAAAGCTAGTTTATCCACCGTGCAGATAGTAGTACACTTTAGCTGTTGTACTTATATTGTTGATAATGACTTTGATCTTGATTAATCATTGGTAATTTCGGATTATACTATTCTCATACATATACTATTCGAAGTCTTTTGCATAGGTAGGATCAATATTGGCCTAAAATAGTCTTCTTGGCTGGACGTCGCATCAATGACAAATCAAAGGCCAAGCGTTGATTAAAACATATATGCAGCCTGTCGAGGGGATCACGGACTTCAATGATTGAAGCCACCTTCTTAAAAACTAGTAAGAGTGTTCGCCTTCTCTACTTTCTCATATCTCATGCAAGCAGTGCCTCAATTTTTCGGGGAACCCAATGGGGTGTCTTTACCAGAACATGATCAGCCTCAGTGTAGTACGAGCTTCGATTTGATGTGATGTTTTTGACGTGGGGCATTCAAAGAAACTATGGGGCGTTCAGTTTAGATCGACAGCCTGCATATATTGAAGCAAACTCGGGGCTGCAAGATACCTACCTGTGCGCCTTCTACGATCCTTTGTACGCACTGACCCACGTGGCAAGGCAAGTTTGGATTACATAACTGAACATAGTGACTAGCCTGTTGTAAAGACTGGCAGTCGAGTATATAAAGGAATCCAGTCGTGGCCAGTTACTGAAGGAGGCTGGGGAAAGGAAAGACAGTCAAGCGCGAATGTATGTTTATTCAGCTATGAATGATTGAATAGCAATACCAATCACCTCTGCTTTATTAATAAAGCAACACTCAGAATAAAGGGCCAGAAATTCAAGCCTGCAAAGCCCTTATTCTGATGTGGAAAAAGGACTGAAAAGCTGATAGCTGAAGGAATACCATGGAACAAGGCAAATATATGGTGAATTGAAAAGAGTGTACATGGCCATATAAAAGCCGAACTTCCAAGATATAAAAAGCAGGAAGGGGAGTTAAATATAAACAAAACAAGTTGATAAAAGGGAGGTTGGAAAGAAGGTTGGAAATTGAACCAATTAGTAGCATAGTTGAAACCCTTCCCCAAACACTCCGTAATGATAACCAAAGGCCATGTTGTATACCTGCCTGGGATGATACTGGGCCGAGAACCCACGTACTCCGATAAAAGAAAGTAGGCCTGGTCTCAGCGTCAACTACCGTGTAAGTCGATGTTGCTCCTCTTGGGTCCTTGCCATAACTGGCAACGTTGTACAGTGTTGGAAGTAATGAAGACGATATATCCCAGCATGAATAAAAAAGGGGTGTGTATAAAGGCGGCCACTTGCTCGTATATATAGTGGTGTCGTTCCGCCTTATAAATATGGACTGTCTCCCTAAGAAGGATGCTGGGTGTTGAACGGTTCTGCAAAAATGCGGCTGTATGATATAAATCGTGATTTGTCGACGGACGAGGAAAGAAAACCGACAGCAGGACGGCGGAACGAGGCTCGGTTAGGCAAAACGCAAAAAGTCGAATAGGTACAGCGAAAAAGGATCAAGAGTTATCCTAATAGACGGGTAGCCGCACACCGGCTGTATCTCATATACACATAATCTTCAGACCACGCTGATTGTCCTTCCACTATCCAAGCCATGGTTTGATCCCTAGGAGTTTCCATGACTGGCGTGGTAGATGGGCTGCTAGAAGTATCTAGCAAGGCTGGCCAGGAATATGGCACCATTTCTTCTCAACTGCGTAGAGAGTCAGTATTAGTATCAAAAATGGCATATTAAGGGACTTACCAACTGGCTCAGGGGCACGAGCCTCAAGCTGAGCTTCGGCAACTTGGCCAACAGGGGCAGGGGCAGCAATCACAGCTACGGAAGCGGCAGCAATGGCCAGGAGGTAGGCGATGAGCTTCATAGTTGCTGGTTTGAAGAAGAGAAGGAGATTCTTGGAAATGAAATCAGAGACGTAGGCAAAGGCTTAAGAAGGCTTTGTTTCAAGGTGCTGATCTTGAAGAGGCTTGATAAAGAAGATGGAATCTGTATAGGAAATAGCAAGACAAAAATTCCTGCATGAGGCATGCATGTGGTGTCTCCTTTATAGGCACTTTTCGGAGTAGGGACTGGGATATTATTGCTGAGGGGTTTTCCAGTATTGATTGAATGAAAAGAAGGCAACAATTGCTCAATAGACCGGGGCAAATATCACTCAGATACTTTGAACGAGCCGAGCTGAGTAGTAACGTGGAGAATAAGAACCACAAGGAGCACATCCAATAGGCGGGTGGGTATATTAGACGAAGGAAAGTTATGCTAGCTCTAGTAACCGGAGTTACTGAGGGTCAGAGACACACAATTAACCTTATGGAATAAGGGCTTGTATGTCCTAGTGTTCCATAAAGTCAAGCGGAGACATTCACCTCAGACCACCTAGACTGTTGCGTTTTCAGCCAAAGTCGAAGTAAAAGGGAGGTGAAATGCCGCAGGAACCATGGACAGACGAGATCTGAAAGACATGCATATACCCCATAAAGAACGGGGGGCGAGTCTGATCTTAGAGACGAGCGTCTCTCCCACATTCCACGGCAATGCCAGAGGCCAAGGCAAGGTCTCGGCCATCTTGAGATAGCTGTCACTCACGCCCGCGTCTATGTCCTGTCTTCCCGAACAGGGCAGCAACACAGTCGTCTCTGCACAGTCACCACCAAAGCATAAGATAGCCGACAGGAGTGAAGATGAAAGGTAGTTCGAGTCCGCTTTGGTGTCTCAATAAGGAGATAGTCGTTTTGTAACAAAAAGCGTTCTTTGCTTATTGAGAGACGAGCTTCCGCTTTTGGATCTCAATAAGGATCCAACGCGCTAGTCCTGATTAGGTAATACCTTCAACTTGAGCAGTCGATAAACGCAGTTTTAAAGACGACATGAGGGTCCGAGAGACATCATAAAATGTTGTTGATGATGTGGGTAGAATAGCAATAAACAGCGCAGTGATAGCTTATGCCTCGTAATGGTGGGTTCCCTCACCTGGTTGAAGTTGGGCAGCTGGTCAGCATTGTGGTCCATAGCTCATGATATTGGTTGGTGAGCGTGGTTTCAACAAAGGCATCGCCCAGCTTCTTAGATCTCCTTCGTCGATGCTTAATGCTATAGAAGCTCCCATCGCCTTGGTCTTTGGAACGCATTCTGCATACAAGCACTAATCGACCAACGGTTTATCCATTTCAAGTCAAATCTAGAGATTTCTCCGAAGAAAGCAACAACAAAGGTCGTGTCTGCAAACATCCAGCGACATAGACTTGTTCAGTAATGCATTGCATTATGGAAGTTTTATTCCAACTGCGCTGTTTAGGAATGGTCCTGGGTATGATGGCTTGAACAGCCTGCTGGCCTTGCAGTGTAAATCCATAATACATATGTATGGTGGGTTTCATAGCTGCATCCGGGGAGGATGAGCTGCGCATTGAGCGGGATACGGCGTTTGGTCTCTCTGTAGGCGGGATCAACCACCGAGATTCTTCGTCTTCTCCATCTTCGCGCCATCTCCCGTCTTCTTTTCTGTCTTCCTCTCCCAGCCTGCTGTCTTCTGTCTTCGGCCCGTCTTGATGAAGTGACGTCGGGACATCGCCGAGTCCACGTGACCTATTACGGGATAACAATGATCCCTGTTGATTATATAATTCTCCGGCGTTACAGGCGGAGAGAGAAGCTCCGGCAGAAAATGCGACTTCGCGAAACAAATTTCAACCCAAGAAGAGAAAAAAACCTGAAGCTCCGGTTTTCATATCCAGACGCCTCTTGCTTGTATTTGATGCTTTAACCGTTCAGACAAGATCCTAAGCTACCTGTCACCATGTTCTCCCTCCGGACTGCTCGCCCTGCGCAGGTATGATCTCAGTTCCCTTGGTATTCGGCGTTTGATGCCCCGCTAACAACCGCTCTTACCATCGCACAGTCTGTTCTGCGAAACGTTGCCGGTTCTTCGTCATGCCTCTCTCGTGCCTCTGGAGGTGCTAGATGTGAGCTTCTCCTAGTGATTCCGTGTCGTTTGAGGCATTACTGACGACACAATGGCTGTATAGACATGGCAACCGTCCAGTCGGATATCTTCAAGCCGACTAAGTATGGCGGCAAGTACACAGTAACATTGATTCCTGGTATGTACCCTCCAAAGTCGCGAGTGATAGCAGTCTTTGGACACCTTATAGCTAGCAGCTGGCTTTTTATTTTCTATTTTTCTTGCCGTTATTCCCCTGTTCTCATTATCCCGGAGCTCCGTCAAGACTAACATAGGTCTACTATAATAGGTGACGGTATTGGTGTGGAAGTTGCGGAATCCGTCAAAACCATCTTCAAGGCCGATAATGTCCCCATTGAGTGGGAGCAAGTCGATGTCAGTGGTGTTGACTCTGGAAATAAGCACTCCGAAGATCTTTTCCGGGAATCTATCGCCTCCCTACGACGAAACAAGCTTGGACTAAAGGGAATCCTCCACACCCCAATTGAGAGATCCGGCCACCAGTCTTTCAACGTCGCCCTCCGACAGGAGCTCGACATCTATGCCTCCATTGTTCTGATCAAGAACATCCCCGGCTACCAGACTCGCCACAACAATGTTGACCTGTGCATCATCCGTGAGAATACCGAGGGTGAATACTCCGGCCTCGAGCACCAGCCGGTCAATGGAGTCGTCGAGTCTCTCAAGATCATCACCCGCGCCAAATCCGAGCGCATTGCTAAGTTTGCATTCAGCTTTGCTCTTGCCAACAACCGCAAGAAGGTCACCTGTATCCACAAGGCCAACATCATGAAGCTTGCGGACGGTCTCTTCCGAAGCACCTTCAAGAAGGTTTCAGAGAACTACCCAACCCTGGAAACCAACGATATGATTGTCGACAATGCCTCTATGCAGGCTGTCTCCAGACCACAGCAATTCGATGTCATGGTCATGCCAAACTTGTACGGTGGTATTCTGTCCAACATTGCTGCTGCTTTGGTTGGCGGCCCTGGAATCGTCCCTGGATGCAACATGGGACGAGATGTCGCCGTCTTCGAGCCTGGTTGCCGTCACGTTGGTCTTGATATCCAGGGTAAGGACCAGGCTAACCCAACTGCTTTGATCCTCTCTGGTTCCATGCTCCTCCGCCACCTCGGCCTGGACGACCATGCCAACCGTATCTCCAAGGCTGTCTACGATGTCATTGGTGAAGGGTAAGTTATTTTCCACTCTATCGCTTTTGTTAACTATGAATCATACATGTCTAACATTGCTTTGATAGTGTTGTTCGAACTCGTGACATGGGCGGTCAGGCTACTACCCACGAGTTTACCCGAGCCGTTCTTGACAAGATGGAGGCTCAGCTCTAAACACCATTCGCTACAATATTAAGTCGCCGGTCGTCGATATACCAAGACAAAAGTCCGCAATGCATTAAAGTAAATAAGCGCTCCTTTCCTGATAGCGAAAAACCGTTAATCACCAGCTCCAAGAACACTCTTACCCCCTATCCTCCTCAAACGTCACATATCTATTCATTTATCTGTTATCTTTTTGAAGTACGGGATTTTCTTTTTCTTTTGCTCTTTAAACGACTCGCTCAAAGCATGACTGTAGATTAAGACTTTTCCTGTATTGTTTTGTTTGCCCATAGCCATAATACAAAAAAAAAAGGATAAATAATTTCTAGAGGGGTCCCAGGTGGATGTGCGGCTTAGGAGAATAGCTCCGGGTTCATTTGAATATCAAAGCGGATATATTCGTTTTATTCATGTTTAAAACTGGATCATTAATCGTGATTAATAGAGATATGGTATCCCTTGCCCAAGTATGGTTGATGATAGCATGTATATGGAGCATATCATGTATATCCATTATTATATACAAGGCGAAGGAAGATAAAGTTGGTTTATGCGCAGTATCTTGCCGCGTGCTGAACTGGTGTCAGCCTTGGGCGGAGCCGGGGCTGCGAGGGCATTGTGCTTCTTGGTGAGCGAAAGGCGAAAATAGGGGAGGACCACCTGATCATGATGTGCTAGCCTGGCGCATTCATGGCCGTATACGACCATCACCAGCTAACCCATAGTGAGCGTCCTCCGGTATCCGTGACTGCCTTGTTGTTTCCATGAAGAAAATGTAGGTATCGAGTGGTGAAAGCGCAAGGGTCCAATCAAAATGCAATGCGTCTCTTTCTTCCGGTATATTTCGAAGTTGCCTTGACAACCTTGCCCTTCTTCTCCATTTGGTCTTTTTTCCTCAGAATCCAGGCTTTGGTTCCCTTGACGTGTGATTGATCCGGACCCCTACGGCCCTTGGCTGCCTCCCTGGCTTTCCGTCTAGCATCCAAGATATCGACGTCATCCATCCCCTTGACAACACCGGTGATATCACCCTGTAGTCCACCTCCACCGACAGTGAGGACAAGATATGTCTTCCCATTCTTGGTGCCTGGGTCGTCTTCAAGGATACCAGCGCCAAAGCCAGCTTTTATCGCAGCACCACTAATCATGCCTCTTTGAGAATCGTTTCTAGGGTAGAACTGGCAGACAGCTCTACTACCACGTTTTAAAGAAGCGTATAGCCCCTCGAAAAACCTTTTCAGTCTGCCTTCGGGACTTACATCGCTTGTCTCGGCGTTGCAAAGCCATTGTATCGCGCTGATACTTATGGCGGCGTCAAATGTTCCAGGTCTGAACGGGACGCCTTGTCCAATGTCGGCTAGGAAGAGGTCGCCTTCCACGTCCCGTTGAAGTGCTACATCTAGCATACTGGGAGATATGTCCATGCCAATCCAGGTATGCGGGCCGCCTTCAGATGGCTCAATGGACGAGAGTATCTCTCCAGATAGACCCGAGCCGCAACCAATATCCAGAATGAGCGAGGGAGATGTGAGTTCGAGTAGTTCCAGGGCACGATGTGTCATCTCAGATTGGATATTTTTTATTCGTGAAGAAGATGTGTATTTACGCGATTCGGAGTCATTGTAGAAGAGGTCCGGCGGGCTATCAATCGTATCAGTTAGCAGTTATCTTCAAGATAGATGTTGATACACTTACAGAGTATCTTCCGGACGAGACATGGCTGCGCTTGAAATTGGGATGAAGTATTTCTAGTAATGAATTCTCGTATAGCTTCGCTATAAACAGAGCTCTATATATCGCTGCTGTCAGTCTGTGTAATCAATTTCTTGCCGTCACCAAAATAAAATTCGAGATAAAAAAAAGATTTCGTGGGGGAAAATAAGCTTTCTAAAGCGGCGTCAATCACCTTCCCTATTTGCTATTTATTGCGCCGCTTTAAGGAACGAGTTATCTGGCTGTTTTATCGTTTGCGAAGTTGCGAGCAGAAGGCGACGGTGACGACAACGACAAAGACGAAGACGGAGGCAAACCGAAGACGTGAATATATGGAGCAGTGATTAGCTACGTGGATGGCGCATGGATCGATCATATACAATACCCTAACCAAGAAACGGCTTTCTTGAGACCCTCACCGTACCGACATCAGCTTCATCTCATCTATATAGCTACCATGTGGATTCTACCGTTACTAGGGTACCTCGGAGTGATAATAGGATTCTGCTTCCTGACGCTGGCTATAGGTAATGTCGATTCCTATATACTTGCTCTATATAATTTCCTGGCTAATTTCCCACCAGCCTCCGGCCTCTACTATCTCTCCGAACTCGTTGAAGAACACACCGTGATAGCTCGGCGTCTCCTAACACGACTGATATACAGCATCATAGCCGTGCATGTCCTTCTCTGGCTTATAGATGGGTTCCCATTCTATCTCTCCGTACTCAGCATCTTCTCCCATATAGTTTACGCCGGCAACCTTCGACGATTCCCAATCGTCAAACTCTCGGATCCTATTTTCCTATCTTCCTGTGTTCTTGTCGGATTGAATCATTGGCTATGGTTCAGATACTTCTCGAGCCCGGAATATAATTCTAGTGGAGGGAATGCCCCTACATCATGGAACCGAGGCGGATGGAAGTCTTCTGGTGGAGGATCGAGTTATAATTACTACGGTGCGGCCGTGGATACGCCTTCGTTTGGTGAAATAGCTTCATATTTCGGACTCTGTGTGTGGTTGATTCCGTTTGCACTGTTTGTCAGCCTGAGCGCTGGAGAGAATGTGCTGCCTAGCATGGGATCTGAGTATGCGACTGGATCAACCTCATCGAATAATGCATCTGTTGATGGGAATGCATATGGTGAGAGCAGCTCCAACTCAGCTAAGACTAAGAGCAAAGGAATGGCAAAGGCGTTAGTTGATGGTACTATGGAATGGGTTAGTGAGAGCGGAGAGGTGATGGGATTCTGGGGTGGGCAAAGGACAAGAAGATTCTGATAGGTCCGCGCTTCTTTTCTGTCTGTTTTCATCTCCGTGTGCAGACCACGGAATACTACTTGCGGGTGTCATGAAAGGTGGATTGTCATGGACTGATAATGTATATTTACGACTGCATATTTCATAAGCTGCTTGCATTGAACTTGAAAGTGATCAATGATTACTGTACTTGATACATATAAAATAGGCTTGTAATAAGTGAGTAGAATAGGAAGTAATTCCCTCCGTGTATTATCTTAAACGTGCAAATCAACGGGGAATCAAGTGCATCGAGGCTAAACCAGTTAGCCAACAGCCGTGATCAAGAACATATTAAGAGTAAACAGGAAGCAAAAAAGAAAACAAGAAAAGGGGGTATCCGTTGGTCTCCATGTTTAGAGAAAGTGGAGAGAGCGTAAGGGATGCTGTAGAAGAACAAAAGTTGGTTGCACTGAGGAAAGGAAGAGACGAAGTAGGTAAGAAGAAGATTATGAAATTACATAGATGAAATGGCAAGGTAGATTGAATTGAAATCACAAAAGCCGCCAATAAAAGGGAAGAATGGATGGAAGAATAGGTATTTGCCTACTCGCTTGTTAAGTGCACACGCAATCCTCAGTCGTCAAACCAGAGGAGGGGGAAAAATAAGAGAGAAAAAAGGAAATGCATGTCAATGCGGATGAGGAGGAGCTTCCATGGTTAAAAGATAGAATAGATGGTAGGGTTCAAGCCAAGCAACGGGATTACTCCTCGTCACGAATCTTGGGCAAGGAGGTCTTCTTGCTTCCAAGTGACATGAACAACAGTGAGCTCTCGCGGCGTTTTGATTTGCTCGGTAGCGAGGAGCTGCCTGATGGTGCCAACATGCCGTCCAGACCACTGAACTGGCCGTCTCGGCTGACATTCACATTCATTGGTGTTGTGGAAAGGTCATATTGGTGCTGTGAGTGCATAGGTACGAAGCCAGCATTGATATCGTAGTTTTCTTTTGCAAGTCGATAAGCATTAGTGTCATTGGATTGACCGTGGAAAGAGTTCTGGTCGTAAGAAGGTGTGCATGGTAAATCAGAGAACATTTGATGTCGTGGGGAGCGTATTTCTTCCGGACTTAGACCCGGTGACTCGACAGTGACTTCGATGGAGCCAGGGCTTCCCGGCCCTGAGCCAGAGCCTGGGGCAGTCCCGGGAGGAGAACCGGGGGATGAGCCGCGAGCTTGCGGGAAAGATGGCGGTGTATCGCCAAAGATGAGGTCAAAGTCCGATAAGAATAGAGAGAAGACAGGGGCAGGGATGTTGAGGGTTGGAGCAAAAACGATGCCGACATTTCGAACCGTCATCTTGTTGATGTCCGAATTGCTGACTACATTAATAAGGAATTCAGAAAGGGCCTTGAGAAGTGCTATATTTGGCTTCGGTAAGCAGTGGACCAAAGTGTGGAATGCAGCAATCTTCTTTTGTTTGTCGTCAAGATCTAGAGATCGGTTAGCATGTTGTTTGTACGGGATCAGGGGAACAAATCTAGAACGGTGGGTGCTAGTACATACCTAGAACCCTGATGAAATCCAAATGCAGCTCCTTGGTTAGTACTGTAATCGGCAATTCCCGAAGATACTGTTTGAATAATGAAGCCACGGCGTGGACGTCGTAATACACGTCTCCTTCCAAGAAATCCAAATCTCCCTCGGTATTGAACCGTTCTTTGAGGCCCTTGATAACTACATTAGATCCACTAAGACGGAAGATACCTTCCTCAAACTCGGCCTTGCGAGCACGAAGGTATTGAAGACATCGGTAAACAACAGCAGGAAGGGTGGTATCAGCTCCTGGCTCGGAACAAGCACAGAACTCCACAGCCTCAGCAAGAGGCAATCCGAACACGGCACGTACAGTCTCCCTATGTTCGAGAGAGGATGCGCTTCCATTCCCACCACCGGATGCCGTCGTTCCACTAATTGAGTCTTGACGGGAAGTCGAGCTAATAGAATCATTGGCGGTCTGGCGAGAGAAACCCCAGATGCTGCGCTTCTTCTCCTTCACAGAACTCATAGTGCTAGGTTTATTACCCCAAGCCGACGGGTCTTGGATCTTAACCCCATTCGTAGGACCCGAGATCGGTTTAAATGAGGGGGTCAGTGGCATGGCTTGGTCGAGGTGAGATTGCGGTGTTGCAAGGGAGTCAGTGGACTCGTAGCCCGCAGGTATACCCCGGATGGGCGCTTCGGCAGCGACGACATCATCGTAACTTAGCGCACGAAGGCCATCAGCCTCAGCGCCTTCCGAGGAATCCTTGGAAGAGCCTTTCTTAGTCGCGTTTGTGTTTGTGTTTGGGTTGTTCAGGGGTATGCGGGGTTTATTCGCTGTTTCATCTTTGCCGTCTTTGTCCATCTGTATTTCCATATCTTTATCATCGGTTTCCCCCTCGATCTGCTCGACATGGCTGAGCAGAGATTCGACCCAGGCATCTCTCTCTTCGTCACTCTCCGCGCAAAGCACATGGCGGACGAGAGAGGTTGAATCCTTCTTCTTCGGTTCCAATATCAAGAATGCATGGCGGTATTGGTTGTCATCATAGTTCTCACCCTGCGAGGATGAGCCACCTTTACTCTGACTCGAAGACTGTTTGCCTATTTGAGCATGCTGGATGCGTATGGTGCCCAGATGTGTACCGCCCGGGTGCTCATAATATTTCAGCTCTGGTCCATGAAGAACGAAATAGCGAGACTTCCAGCCGCCAAAGTTTTTCCCGCGCTTGGTGAGATATCCTTCCATTTTTGGTTTGCCATCGGACCCTACCTGGATAGTTGCCTTGATATCCCGCGTACCACCAGCAGAAGAACTGGTATTTCCGCCTCCAGACACAAGACTCGTCTCGTCATCCCTTGGTTCAATGGCGTCGGCAGTGAGGAACCGGCAAATCACCAAGGCAGCCTCGTCATCCATAGGTGTGTCGAGTAGCGCCTCGAAATAATTATTCAACGCAGCACGCCTTTCATCAACCTTTGCAGGTGAATGGCCACTGAACACGGAGCGTTCTGGTATCCGGCCGGGGAACTTACATAAAGCCTTTACCTGCTGGTCTAGCTGCGGAAGGGCTACGATGGGTTTTTCAACTCGCCATAACTCCGACCGCGATGAGCGAGCAAAAACGCTGAGGGTGAATACAGGGTCTTCGTCGGGACTGCTACGCTCAGCTGCCGAGGTAAAATTCAAATTCATATAACTTTGCCGTGACGGGCGGAGACGAGATGAAGAGACTTGAATTAGGATTGATGGCAATGAGTTAGGTGGGAGGAGCAGATCCGGGTATTCATCCGATACGAGACCACGGTAAATGGTCTTTGGTGTGGTGGTGGCGGTTGGAGTCGAGCTATCAATCTGCACAGCAGGGTCGATGGAGGGTATTGTGGTAGATGTTGACGTGGACGTGGACGTGGAAGTTATGGATGGCTTCTTCTCATGCTGTACTAGTTGATGAATGTGATGATTAGTAGGTTGATTAGGTTGGGGGGTCTGGAAAGGTGCCGGGAAAGCATTTCGCAGAGGTGTCGAGAGATTCATATGCCCTTCTCTAGGCATACGAGGCATCGGAGATCCGATGGGCCTATCGCCAGGCCGTGGACTTTGCGGCAGACCAGGACTCATAGGTGGTGCTTTGATTAACCTCGACCTCAGAGACTTTGCGCCGTCTACAGGACCCAAGATCGACGCTAGACTTTGTCCAGCCTGTCTAGGAGCATGGGGAGGCGAGACAGATGCACGAGGACTGGCAGGTAATCCGATACCCGCAAAACCAGTGCTAGGTGCAGGTCCTGCGCGGGCCTCCTGTTGTTCCTGTTCCTTCTGCAAAGCTTCAGGGGGGTTGATGTTCTTTGCCTTCTTGTTCGACTGACTGCCGCCCTTGGACTTTGACTTTGACTTTGATTTCGATTTAGACATTTCTTTCTCCTTCTGCGCAAGCATGGCTTCTCGTAGCCGGTCATCCTCTTCGCGGGTCTTCCGACGGCCGCGTTCAAATTTAGGAAGTTCGGTATCTTCAGCAATGGAGTCATATTCCGAATCCGATGCCACTGCGTTGGAGTTACCGTTAGAGGACTGGCTATTCGAGTGCTCTACTTCGATATGGGGACGAAGACGCTGGCTGCCGGACAACTGTAATGGCGCAGGAGGCGCACGTCGAGACGGCGGAGTAGGTTGTGGTTTAGGGGTCGACTCAGAGACAGGGGTCTGCACTGGCAATTTAGCCGCCGGGGAAGAAACAGTCTTGGTGCTCTCTTCGAGCTGTCTATTAGAGGTTTTGTTCGCATTTCTGTCGGCCTCGGCTTTGACAGCATCCTCCTGCCACTTTTCCAACTCTTTGATTTTCTTCTTCAGCCTGTCCTTGTCCTCCATGGCACGCTCTAGATCCTTATTAAGCGCTAGGACCATACGGCGCTGTTTTTCCACGAGTCGCCATAGTTGTGAGTTTTGAGAGACAGCCTGCTGTTTCTCTTTAACTAAATGTGCAATAACGGCCTCTGGCGAGCCGTTGGCAGCCGAAATGAGGTTGTTGATATCTGTGGGAGTGATGGCGGGGCTGTCGACGGAGGATTTGTGCGAGTGGGATGTTGGATGTGAAATAGAGGAGAGAGAGGAGATAGCGGAGTCTATGGACGAAGTGCGCGGCGTGGGTTTTGGTGTTGAGGACGTCGATAGGGGTTTGCTGGTAGAAACCGGCGGCTGGTGCTGGTGGTTGTGTGTCGTGCTCGTCGGCATGATGGGTGACGTATTGGGCGTAGAATTAGAAGCGGCAGAGACGGAAACCGAATCTGAGGGCGAGTGGGAGTGCGATGTATCGTCCTTGTCTGCAGTTGAGCCCTTGTGCTCGCTTTCCTTCTCTCCTCCCTCTGGCTCTCTGTTGGTGTTCATCAGCTCTCTAGACCGTTGCAGACGTAGAGAAAGCGCTTGGCTGGCCCCCTGACCCTGGTGGTGGCCCGCCATGCGCTCGTGGAAGTAGAGGGCGGAAGGAGAGGTAGACAGCGAGGAGACCGGGCTAGCTCTGCTGTCGAGGGAGTGGAAGGTTGGCGTGGTCTGAGACTGGCGAGGAAACGGAGAGTAGGAGGTGACTGAGGAGGTATCCGGTCTGGCGGCTGCAGAAGAAGGGGAGGGAGAAGAGGCAGCAGGAGAAAGAGGTGAGGAAGGATGTGATGCGGCCCCCGTCTGAGGAAGAGCACGTTGGGTGTGGGCTAGTCTGCTATCGGTATGGATGTTCAGGGCATCCTGGGGGAGCCGGGGTAGTTGCTGTTGTGGTTGGTTTGGTTGATGATGGTGAAGGTGTGAGGAATAGGACGGGTGCAGCGCATGGGTGGTCGACAACGGACGAGAGAGCACGGGAGCGGCTGAGTAGCGAACAGGGGAGCGGCCGTCTCCCTTCACCTGATACTGCTGCTGCTGCTGCTGCTCCTTCGAAGAACTGTACTGCGGCCGGTAGTGGTACTGTGCTTGCTGTTGCTGCTGCCGTTGCTGCTGGTGCTGGTGCTGCTGCCGCCGTTGCTGTTGAAACTGCTGGCCAGAACCGTCACCCATCGTCAGGGGAGAAACTGAGGAAGCAGAAGAAGCAGAAGCAGCAGAATCGACCGGTGGGACTGGGGCTGTTTCGTGATGGGATGGACCTGGCTGCTGTGCAAGGGCGTGTGCCAGGGCATCTTGACGCTGACGCCGGACATACGACATGGTCAGAGATAAACAACACTCCGCCTGCCCTATCCTACCACTGACAGAGATGAGAGGGTGTTCTTCCTGCTGGAGGCGCCGCGAGAGAAGAGGGACGGCTCCTCTGGCTTTTCTGGCTTGCTGTCTGCGGGCTCGCTCAGGGGCTCAAAGGCGCCATCCTCGGACTAAGGCATGTACCTAGCAGGAATAATCGTCTAAAAAGTATGCTAAATATGGGCCCGCCGAGTCTGCACCGTCAAACTAGTTAGCAAAGAATCACCGCTGGAGCGCTGGAGGGCCGTTTTCTTCTGGTACCTGGGAGCGTTGTCTGTCTGTCTGTCTGTCTGTGTCTGTTGTTTGCCAGTCGAGATGTTGTAGTTTTTATGTAGTTGCTTATTTCCTAATCAGGCGACCAGGTCACGCTTTTGCTCTATCTGCTTCTGACTTCTAACTACATCGACTTTTTCTTTACTCTTAGTTACTCCGTACTCTTGTCAATATTAACATCAACATCAATATCAACCGTGATTCTGCTTCTGAAGCCTGCAGCATGGACAGAGAGCTCGAAAAAGGCCGAGGAGTGAGGAACGCCTGCGTGAACCGGCAAAGAAGGACGAACACCCATCTCGCAAACGACTGGCTGCAGCTCTTTTGTGGCGTCCCTGGGCCTCACACATGCATCACTAAGTCTGCATACTGCACGTCTTACGTCTGTCCTCACGCGGCCGCAGGATAAGAATAGGAGCTCAGGGGAAGGCCGCGGTCGAGACAGGCCGCAAGGACAAAGACGAGACACAGAAGAAGAGGAAGCGCCGGGGAGGAGATGGAGGTTAGCGGGCGAACGCTCGTCAAGGACAGGGAATACGAGGTGTGGACACTCCTGCTGGCTTCCACGCTTCTGTGCTGCCAATCTCGTATTATTATTCTTTTTTCTTTGGATCGTGGGAGGCGACTGGTGGCGGAGAGAAGGAATGGAGAAGGATTGACAAGGGCTTGACAGATGCTTGATATGCATGAGAGATGCAGGTTTGACATTAAAAGTTGGTTCTTTTTCTTTTTTTGTACAGACGTTCCTCGCCAGACGTGCGAATTCATTCCCCCGGACACCCGTAGAATATGATGGAGAAAATCGGGATAAAATACATTAACAAACAAAAAAGAGACACCTCCAACTCCGGCCGGTCAAAGTACAGAGAAAGATCAGGGTCATGAGGAGAAGAGATGATAAGGTGGAGGTATGGAGTCGTGCAAAAGATCATGGCGGCGGCGGCGGTGATGGTGATAGTGATGGTGGTGGCGGCGGTACATGGCCGATTCTAAATGATATTACCGGCCATGCCCATGAATATGGCTTGTGCAGCGAGTTGGAGGGACCAGAGGCCGACTTTCTTGAAACGTCGTGTCCGAGCCTGCTCATCGACAACGTCTCGTGCAAAGGCGTCATATGTCTGTATAGAGTTAGTTAAACTGGGCTGCTTATGTTCGTGATGAGAAGAAAATGGTAGATAAGTACGCACCTCTGCAGATAGATCATCCATCAATCCGCTGTCAAAGATGGTCCAGCTACCATCAAAGTCGCTCGCTCGCTTAACTAGCCGGCACTGGATGGGGATGAAAGTTCGTCGGCTGTTGATGTACGCCACTATGGGCCTGATGAGAGCGTTATTAACGTATGACAAGTCGCGGTTAAAAATGGGCACTACCGCTCGCACATTGTTCAGATGTATGCGCAAGTCGGTGACCACAAACCGCTTATTGTCTTCGTTCTGGGCCAGCGTGCTGTCGTTCGGATGATAGCGGTCTGCAGTAACAGTGGCCTCCATTCTGTCGTAGAAATCGGACATAACCTTGCTCAGGCTCTCGTCCGTTTCAGCAGGAAGCATGAGGTCCGCAACAATGTCGACTGTGCCTTCATGGATCCATGAGAAGGGACCCTGGACTCCTGTGTTGAGATGGTCTATGTTTAGCCCGTCTATGCGAATTCGATTATGTTTCTTCCAGGGACTCCGGCTGCCGTCCTCTTCTAACCCGCCTTGTAGCTGAGCTCCCGTGTATCGATGCGTTTGTCGTGGGTGGATGGTGAATAGTGAATTGTCATACGAACCAGACATCATGTTCGCAGACAGAAAGTCGTACATGAGCCATTGTCGTCGAAGCCGTGGTAGATCGCATGAGAAGATGCTAAGGGTAAATGGCCGGAAGTTGTTAGGCTGGTATATGGTGACCAGGACGTCTTCCATCTTGAAAGAGTCCAGCTCAAAGTCGCCTGGGTTATGCTCTACCCGGTACGATTTGGGATCAATCTGAGCATCCGCCTCTGTCCACTTGACATGTGTCCTGTCGACTATACCCCGAATGCCCTTAACATGTACATCTTTCAACATGCCATGGCTGTTGAACCATTTGGTAAAGGATAACGTCACGTTGACCGTGTCTATAGAGACGTCGAACTGCGTGTAGTTCGAGTCCTCTGTCTCTTCGTCATTCTGCTGGCGAGGGTGATCCATCCCCTGGAACGCCGCAGCCGCAGCCGTCTTCGATGATCCTTTGCTCACATTCCCCTTGCCTTGGCCTGGTCTGCGGGACACAAACACGTTCTTGAAGGTTATCACTCCGTCGCCCCATTTAGGCACAATTGCTGATTCAAAGACAACTTTCACTCCTGATGATCGTGTCAGGTAGTTGCCAACCCATCTCGCAAGGGTTTCTAGCCGCTGTTAGCCCCTGCTTTGCGTTCATTTCAAAATGGATGACAACTCACCTTGCGCGAAAACGGTATTGATAGTAAATATTATGAGTGAAAAGAAAGTCGTCGTTCCCAGTATAATCCATAACACATGCCCAAGCAGAACCCAGGAAAAAAAAGTACTGATCTCATCGACATTGAATGGCCTGACACTTCTAATGGAAAACCACTTGAACCGTACCTTTAGCCGTGACCAGAATCCTGTAGCGGCAGCTAGAAGCTCTTCCTTCGTAGGTCGATGCATATGCGGCAGCCGGTCCATCAGATGGTATCGACCATGTCCTCCATCAACCTTTGCAGGGCCAGCTGGGCTTTCCGGTCCAGAAACTGGTTTAGATGCCTCTCCGCTCACACTTGATGGCTCCGATGGCTGCTGTCTCTTCGTTTCTGGTGTATGATCCTTTTCGCCTCCCTCCCTTGATGTATGTAGAGACCGTCTCCATCCCCAGCTGGCAGCACTCTGAAGGCCTAAGCCATTTCCAAACCTCCTACAGCCATGGTAAACACTCTTGTCCGCCGAAGCTGCTGCACAGGCTGCTGCTCCCGTCTCGACCGTAGCTGCACTCCTCGTCGAGGTTGTACCAACCACCAACAATCCCCCAGACGCAAACTGGCGACTAACCTTCCTCACATTATTCGGTCTCGAGAACGAAAATCGCCGTATAGTCCGGTTCCGAAACAGATTGAAGCTGGGAGTCTGGCCATGACAGTTCTCTGTAAACGGACCGAGTACACCCTGTCGACCGGGCTGGAGGAAGCTGAACTGGAAGCTGGAGCTAAAGCTGGTGCGCAGTGTCGAGAACAGCCGTCGTCCTATATGTCCTGACATGTCTCCTCTGGCATCATGAGCGGCCCTAAGAAGCTTCTCTAATGCCTCTTCGCTCTAATTGATGCTTCCGTTCTTCAATCATGTAGCTGAGGCGAGCAAAAACGCCGTCCAAGATTTTTTACATTTCAAGCTTCCGCAAGTTTTTCGATAAGATTACGATGTTTGACTTGTTTGCATCTCGAATTTTCCCACCATCGAAAGAATCATTTTTATCGCAGCCTCAAACATCTCGATCGACATTTAACCTGGCTACAGCCACCGTTTTTATTTGATTAGAGGATCGCCTGGTGGTGATAGACATACCGAAACCATGCCAGCTCCCACCGCGCGCCTGGATAAACCAGAGGAGAACGAGGTTCTTGCCCCAGAGCCAGTCCAGAGTTTGTTCTCCCAGAAATTTCTTGTCAGCGATGATGCGAAGAAGCGGAGGAATACTAACTACATGGCACAGATGAAGAAGATATCATGATAGATATGAGTGGTGCTCAGCCAGAGGAGCCATCGGCACTACAGGCGCAGCCACAGGGCCAGGAAGACAATGAAATGGCCGTCGACGAGGAAGGACGACTGCGATTCACACCTATCAAATCGTCCGGCGATGCATACAGAGTCGAAACTCGCAAAGTACCAATCCCACCTCACCGCCTGACACCTCTCAAGGCCGAGTGGCCAAAGATATATCCTCCATTAGTCGAACACTTGAAGCTCCAAGTACGCATGAACATGAAGAACCGAGCAGTCGAGCTGCGCACATCAAAACACACGACCGACACTGGAGCTCTCCAAAAGGGTGAGGATTTCGTCAAGGCATTTACTCTTGGGTTTGATACCGATGATGCTATTGCTCTGCTCCGACTGGACGACCTCTATATTGAGACGTTCGAGATTAAGGATGTCAAGACGCTTAACGGCGAGCATTTGGGCAGAGCTATTGGGCGGATAGCAGGAAAAGACGGGAAGACAAAATTTGCTATTGAGAATGCTAGCAGGACTAGAGTTGTACTCGCAGATCAGAAGATACACATTCTTGGAGGATTTAGAAATATCCATGTCGCCAGAGAAGCGATTGTTAGCTTGATTTTGGGAAGCCCTCCGGTAAGTCTTGTCTTCTACTTCATAGTTTGATAGGGTGTAAGGCTAATCATATGGTACAGGGCAAGGTATATGGAAACCTGCGTACAGTTGCCTCACGAATGAAGGAACGGTTTTAAAAAAGTAACTCATGAATTCGGTCTCATGTCGGCGTTCTGGTTTTGCATATCAAATGCTGTTATCGGTGTTAATTCTTTTATACTTTTATGATGCGGAATATATGGGTCTGGGAGCGAATACCTATATCATGGAATTTAGACCAAAGAAATGCAATTATGCCTTGAAATTCGAGAATATTAAAAGATGCGTTGGTACCAGGTTAAACTTCATCATTTAGCCGTGCGTCAGGGAAAGATGCGCTGGTAATATCGTCTATGAAAACATGCTTAATCCCGCTTGAGTGGGCGGTACACCTCCTCTATACCATCCTTGGTGACAATCATCATCTGCAGTCCGTCTCCGACCTCAATATGTCTCTCCACAGAACTAGTGAATGCATCGTGTACCAGCTGCTGTGCGCCCTCTCTAGACAGAGGCTCAGGCTTCCTGGCCACAGATGCGTTACCCTGGCCACTGCCGGGGACATACTGGTTCTTGAAATTGACCTGGTTGTCCAAGAAAGGCATCATCAAACTAGCTGCCGATCCAGCCGCTCTGCAGAACTCTCTCTCATAGGAACCCACTGGGTCATAGCTGTACAAAGCTCCCTTGCCCTCTTCATCAACACCGGCCAGAATCGCGTGTACGTAGTATGGGAAAAACCGTTTTGAATATAGGATAGTGGATAGACGCTGTGCACACGCTCTAACCGACATTGGCTTGTTGTGGTGGTATTCATACATCTTGACGATGGCGTCGAGTCGTTCCTTCAGAGCTCGGCCGTCGGCAGAGAAGCCAACGACGCAGAGAATAATGTGGCCGCCCTCTCCAGTGTGCTCGTCTGCACCGATCTTGAACACCTTTGGAGCATATCTAGAGTTGATGTTGTATCCAGATACTGATCGTGTGTCGCCAGCCAGGATAGCGAAATTGTCACCGGCGATGCCCAGAGTAGAGCCACCATTGTCCGTGTATCTAGCAGAAGATGCATGTTAGTCCCTAATAAAGGGTACTGCCATGCTGCAAGTAAAACTTACGGGTAGAAGCTGTGTTGTTTGGCGCCGCTTGACTGCTCTGAGAAAGAGTACCCAACGGGCAGGCTGTGAGGGTCAGGGTGGGTTAATAGCGAGTTCATCTTGACAGATCGAGCGGCTATACAAGCAGTATCAACAGGTTTATCAAGGGTAAAGACGAGAGTGAGACGGGTATTGCTCGTTTCTTGGACTGTTGACTGTTGACTGTTGGTTTGCTTTGCTTGAAGCTCAAAGCTCGAAGAACGCAAGCTGGAGTTGCCTGTATTACATAAGCAGCCTCTTCCTACTCTACGCCAACAAGGAAGAGAAAGACAAGAAGAACACCACCGGTCAAGTTGATAGAGCTACTAGGAGTCCTATCTGTTGGCGTTTGTTCGTTGAGTGATGCTTGGGTTAGCCTCATACGAAAGCAGCAGTGAGGATGAGAGCACCGCGAAAGATACCCCTGTTAATGTGAAGGGAGCACTGGCTGCCGAGCAGAATAAGCAGAGTGACAGCTTGGTTGATGCAGAGACTCCGTCCAAAGAGCCAGTCGAGGCTACACAGAGCGAACTAACAGGTCAGTAGTCAGCTGTTATCAAATTGACGCCGTGGATAATCCTTCTCACAGTTGTAAAGGGCTAGGTGCACCATCTACTGAAGCTGTCGACGAATCTACCAAGCCTATAGTTGGGCCTTTACCTCCCACCGATTATACACCGCAGCTACCAGAAGAATCCGACCAGTCCGGCAAACCAACATCTTTCATTTCTATTAGCTCGCTACGAAGAGACATGACGCTTCCTCCGGTTCCAAATCTCGACATTCCTCCGTCTCCTCCAGGGTCACCCAACCCCGAAATGAACAAGAAGTTCGAACATTTCCTTTCCCTAAAGAAACAGGGCGTTCACTTTAACGAAAAGCTAGCTTTTTCCTCGTCACTGAAGAACCCAAATTTACTCCAGAGTCTGATGAAGCATGCTGGCCTGGATGAAAGGGCGCAATACGGTACCTCCTTGCCTGCAGAAATATGGGATGTTACGACTCTCCCGCCATGGGCTTACAAAGACGAGCTGTCAAAGAGCCAGCAGAGCATACGCCGCAAGCTGGAAGAGAAGAAAACTGACCGTGATGCAATCGAATTCGTCTCCAGCTCTGGGAACGGTACTCCTGGGAGTGGTAGGCTAAAATCCAGTGCGGCCGAGCGGGTCATGGCTGACCTCAGTCGAGAGCCGTCTCCGCTTAAGCTAGACCAGAGCAAGCGGAACGATCAGGATAAACGACATCGACGGGTGGATTTGGAATATAGAAGACACCGATCACGGTCACCAGGGAGAAGGAAAAGATCGAGGTCTCGATAGGATGTTTCGTTTATATCTGAGCATGAACATTGGGTTAGGAGTTTGGGCGTAACTGGAGAACTAAATATATACCCGGAATAGACAGATGTTACATATAACAGTCACTTAGCTATTAACGTACATTTATTATTATCGTTTGCTCTATCGTCCTGCTTACTTTAAGTAGAATCATCGCTGGCGTTGCTGGTATTGGCTGGGCGAGGTGACATGTTTGCCTTGTTTGCCTTCTAGGCTGCGTCTAAGTCGCAAGCTCACCAAAACCTCCAAGCTGCATCAACAACAGACAACGTCCAGCAACAAGCCACGACTTGACAGTAGCAACTCTTATCTTAGACCGTCTTCTCGGTTTTTTGACTCTGTACATCCACGTCTCTCTTCCACTTACGAAGATTTTGTTCGACTATCCATCATGAACCACTTTCCGGAAGTCTGGGGTCGTGTAAGCACGAGGACAAGACACAACCCGCCATCAGCTTCGTTTAGCTAACTGCTTCTTTGCTGTAGCCGCGAGACGATGTGTATGGGGCCTATGATCACTCATATCTCCAGACATCTGGTCCAACAACTCATACCCAGCGCCCAATCGTGACAGGAACTTCCGTTATTGGTGTCAAGTTCAAGGATGGTGTCGTTATAGCTTCTGACAACCTGGGTGAGCTATTCGGAGGATGTAACGCATAATAGTATTGCAGTGCCACTAATATGACTGTGTCAGGTTCCTACGGCTCTCTTGCTAGATTTACCGACCTGAAGCGTCTCCGGGCCTTCGACAACTCCTCTGTAGTTGGATTTGGCGGCGACATCTCTGACATGCAGTACATCGACCGCGTTTTGAACACGCTAGACATACAAGAGAACTACTCTACATACGGAGAGCATTCTCTCAACGCTAAAAACTTACATACATACCTGTCCAAGCTGCTTTACCAGCGACGATCCAAATTCGACCCTCTCTGGAACCATATTCTTGTTGCCGGGCTCGATGATGAGGGCAAGCCATTCCTTAGCTCTGCAGACTTGTTGGGAACGACTTATTCCGCACCAGCTCTTGCCACAGGGTTTGGAGCCCACTTGGCTGTCCCCATTCTCCGTCGATTGTTCCCCGAGGAGGATGGGATAGATAACATCACGAAGGAGGCGGCCGTCGATGCTATGAAGCAGTGTATGAGGGTACTTTTCTACCGAGATGCGAGAAGCTCAGACAGATATTCCATCGCTGTTGTCACCAAGGAAGGCGTGGATCTTAAGGAGGATGAAGCTCTGGAGAACCAGAGCTGGGCGTTTGCTGATAGAATCAGGGGTTATGGCACTCAAGTCAACTAAGCATAGCCAATATTTTCTATTTCAATTTGGTACTGCTTAGTATTCTTCAGCCAGCCCTGGGGTAGACTTAACAATTATATCCAGGAATCGACTCGTAATGACCATATCTTGATGCATATAAGTGTCATACCATATTCAAAGTTTAGAGGAGCCATTAACATGGACAACTTTGTTCCTACAAGTTCCAATATTTTCAAGCGATACTTCCACGCTGTCCCCATCCTTCAGCCAAACCTGAGGCTTTCTACCCATTCCAACCCCTTGAGGGCTACAGTAAGATTTTATGTTAGTAATTCGAACGTCGAGTAACGAATGCAATGCAACACTTACGTTCCGGTGAATATAATATCACCAGGCAACAGTGTAGTTCCCTGAGATAAGAAAGCAACTGTCTCCGCTACGCCAAATACCATGTCCTTTGTATTCGAATCTTGCACGGTCTTACCATTCACCTTGGTTGATATGCGTAGCGCGTTCGGGTCTGGAATTATCTTTGAGGTCACGATTCCAGGGCCAAAGGGAGCCCAGCCATCAAACCCCTTGCCTATACCCCACTGGCTTCCTCCACGTTTGATCTGCCATTCTCGATGGGACACATCATTTCCCACGGAATAACCCAAGACATACTCAAGTGCCTTCGACTTCGGCACATTGTGAGCCTCTTTCCCAATGATGATCACCAACTCACATTCATAGTCCAATCCTTCACATTCCTGGGCCATTGTAGGAACAGGTATGTCATCTGTTGGCCCGCTAGCTGCTGTGACTGGCTTGAAGAAGAGGACTGGGTATTTTGGTAAAGGCATGTTTGACTCCTTTGCATGTTCAGCATAGTTCAAGCCCAGGCATCGTATGGTCCTAATATCATTCCGAGCCAGTGGACAGAGCAGCTTCTTCACTTCCTGGATTTGATCCGTGACTTGATGATTGCCAAATATTTCTCCCATGATGACCCTGGCTTTGGTGGTTTTGGCGAGGTCACTAACGCCAGAAGGCAGAATGGCATCTCCATGGTAAACCAAGCCGTCTTTGGCTAGGAAACGAACAAGGCGCTGATGTAGCACAATTAGCTTCATACAACAACATTATGTAATTTATCAGTTTCCTTACGGAGAATGCAGGCATCTTTGCTGTCTCAACTGAGTCTCTTGTTTATGTGGAGTATATGACGAAGAGCTGCAAAGAATGAATCTACCTGATACCAATGTTTATCAGGCTGTCACAGTGTTTAAACCGAATTGCCGGAGACGTGGATTAGTAATCTCGGCCGGCAGTTCTGAGCTAGGAAAATTGTGCTCCCGTAGCTGAAAATCGATCCATGCACAAGTGTCGAACTCACGGCCGTGCAAAACAGCTTTCGATGATAACCAGGAGAGTTGGAAGGAAGGAAGGAAAAGCGACCGGATCTTAAGGTGGCAAAAATGCGATTCTCGGGATTGCAGCGGGAGGTCCTAAGCTTGTACCGGCAATGCTTCCGAGAAATTCGGAAAAAGCCTGTGGTGAGTGCTGTTTACCTACGCATTTGATTCCGCTGTCATTCCATCCCAGTAGCTAACCAATGGTATGATAGAATTCGCAGAGTAACTTTAAACAATTGGCTAGGTATGTGCCTTCTACGGCCATGTTATGAGAACCACGCGTAGCGTGGGCGACTTGGTCCATTGCTATATTCACTAAGCACCAGCAAACTCGTTGAATACCCAGCCTTGTTGTCCGCAAGCTAATAGCAAACTAGGGAGGAATTCCGAAAGAATAAAGCCATAAGCAAAAAGGATTTCGCTGCTATCGAGTTTCTGCTGAGGAAAGGTCACCGCCAGGTGGAGATGTACTCTTCGCCAGCCATCCGAAACGTCACAAGGTGATACCCGTCACAGATGAGAAGATACCTTTCGGGAACAATCAAGACCCTCCTCAAGTCTTTACCGTCCGACCTATACCTTCATTCTAATATACTGGTGCCCGGCCTTCCCATAAAAAGCCATATCACGTGATGTTGAACGAAAATAAATTTATCCGATAAACTTTCAGTGATGGAACGTGCACGAAGTGTCGAGAAGCTTGGCGAAGATGCTGGCCAGATCGAGAAGAACCGCGAAAGTTCACGCAACACCGAGCATTACGAAGCAGTTTCGAGGTGCTCGCTAATATGCATGAAGTCTACAAGAATCGCGTAACTTCTAGTAAGATGGCTTTGGTCTATATAAGCGATCAACTTGTCGATGGGAATTCATTTTCCTTTCTCATCACAGACAACCAGAACAAGTCAACATTTCTATGCTATCCAAGAGCAACTGCCTTCAATCCACTCTGAGAACCATTCGAACACCAAAGACGACTCTTTATAAAGTCAACAAGATTCCATCTACAAGAATACTTTCCAGCTTTATTCCACCAAACTACTACAACAAAATGGCCTTCTTCCCACGTCTCGCTGGTGGTGAATTCACCCCCCTTTTCCGTCTCCTTGATGACTACGATGCCCACCGCGCTTGTGCATCTGAGACCAACATCGCTCGTTCCTTTGCTCCAAAGTTCGATGTGAGAGAGCTGAAGGACGAGTACCATCTTGACGGAGAAATCCCCGGTGTCAACCAGAAGGACATCGAGATTGAATTCTCTGATCCGCAAACACTCGTTGTTCGTGGCCGAACCAAGCGCGAATACACTTCCACCAACATGGACAACGACGCAATCGAGGAAGCCCCTGCCTCTGCATCTATCGAAGATGAGCCATCTTCTGCCAGAAGGGACTCCCACCAAGCCACTGTTGAAGATGAAGAGGAGCAAACCACTTCTCGCCCTGCCTCTCCCGCCAAGGACAACAAAGTCGCCAAGGCCAGCAACAAATCTGTGAAGAAAGCTGATGCCCCCTCCTTCAAATACTGGATGACCGAACGTTCCATTGGCGAGTTCAACCGTGTCTTCAAATTCCCATCCCGAGTCGACCAGGACGGAGTAAGTGCCAGCTTGAAGGATGGTATCCTGTCCATCAAGGTGCCTAAGGCAGCTCCACCAACACTCAAGAAGATCAGCATTCTCTAAATGATCAACGACATGCCTTGCCTTTGAATGATGCATGCAGCTTTACGATCCTGCGGCTCCAGTGATGGGTATGGAAATTGATGATTTTAGTGCCTTTCTGATGTATTGTATTGCTCTGTACCTCATAAGTTGAACTTCCTTGTTTCCTTGGTGCTTTTTACGCTCGCATGCAGCTTTATGATTCTGCGGTTCGAATGATGGTTATGGGAGATCGATGAGTTTAGTGCCTTTCTGATGTATTTTATTGCTCTGTACTCACAAATTGAACGCCCTTGTCTCCTTAGTGCTTTTTACGCTCTTTATAAACGTATATAAGTAGCCTCTTGTTTGTCTTTACAGCAATTCATATGCCTATCTCTTGAAAATCTCCCCTCCCACCTCTAATGCGCAAGTGGTAAAGTAATACATATATATATTCATACAGTTTTTCGTCCTATGCTATAGTATAATATAGCGGGTAGTTTCCTCGAAGATATGTGCTGTGCATGTATAAAATAGAAAAATTGTACATATTCCCGAAAATAAATCAATGACCAATGATTTTAACAAAAAAAAAAAAAATGCAGTGAATGACTTAGAGTATTGAGGCAAATATAAATCAAATACGATTCCACCCAAACAACCGGCCAGCCAGCCCAATTCCATCCACAATGTTTCCGCTAAAGAATACTAATAAATAAATAAAAACATTAAGAAAATAAGGCATGCAGCCGGCATAAAGGATTGGCTGTAGTTTCATTAAATTCGTGACGTGGGATATCACATTAACGTAAAATATAACACAAACGATGGTCTGCTGGGTATATGTAGAGTGAGTGTAGCAGCTGGGTATAGTTTATGTAGCGAGGGTCATATAAGCAACGTCAAACAAGTGTGGGCAGAAATAGTGAACAAAATAATAAGTATATGCATGCTTTTAAGCCTTGGTGAAATAGGGATGCCTTCAATAGAATGCAAGAACGTTGGTATCAATGATAGAAAGAATTAAAGAAGGAAATGCCAAGGAGGCGTAATCAAAGGTAGCTTTCAATATGGTTAAGCGCACCGGGTTTCTGATGCGTCAAAGCCATTTGCACAGCACAAGATGATGATGAGGCTCTGGGTAGACGACTTGAGCGTCCTTCAGTCATAGTTGATTTAAGCTGGGAGAAGCGGTATGATGTTGGTGGTGTGGATTGATATTTAGCTTTCCGAGACTTACGATCGGAGAAGACGTCACGGACCGGCGATGGTGGGAAGGTAGAGAATCGACGCTGGGTTTTTGATTGATAGATGAAGAGAAGGAAT